TTAGTATTTGTGTTAAGCTAAGCCAAGCCAAGCCACTGTTTAAGCCATTCTAGCTTTTTCTTCTTGCAGTCAAGCTAAGCCTTCTAGTCGTTAAGTCGAGCCTTTTTTCTGTTTGATATTTTTTATTAATTTATTTTATTTATTTTCATAGTATTTTTGCATGATTAAATTTAAAAAAAAATGAAAAAAATTTAGGAATAAATATTAATTATCCAATAATGAAATTTATAAAAATGTCAAATGATAAATTTTTATAAAATTCTTAGGTGAAAAATTTTGTCTAAATTTATTCCAAATGGTGGAATAATTTAGATAAAGTTTTAATAACAATAATTAATATTTAATTTCAAAACAAAAAAAGAAGAAAAATTAAAAAATTAAAAATTTTAGAATTAAATACAAATTACCCAATGATGATATTCTTAGAAATTTACTAGAAATTTCACATAGTAAATTTCTAAGAAATCTCTAAGTGAAAATTTTTCTCTAAATTTGTCCCAAATTATGAAATAATTTAGGCAAAATTTCAATAAAAGTAATTGTATTCTTTTCTAAATTTGGGTTAAAAATATTTGATAATTATCCAAAGATGAGATTTTTAAAATTTTTAAATGATAAATTTTAAAATTGTTAAGAAATATTTAGGTGAGAAATTTTCTTAAATTTATCAAAATGGTGGAAGAATTTAATGAAATTTCAATAAAAATAATTGTCATATTATTTTCTTTCCAAAAAATAATAAATAAATAAAAAATTTTTAAATATGTCCAAATGATGAAAAATTTAGAAATTATGAAAAGAGAAAATATTTCTAAATTGACTCAAATGGTGAAAAATTTGAAGGCCCAAATAGTGGAGAATTTAGAAATTCAAAACAAAAAAAAATTTTAATTTGACCAAAATAGTGGAATAATTAGATATATTTTCAACAAAAAAATAAAATAGATAATTTTTTCGACGACAGAGCCTCTTGAAGAAATCAAATGAGATTCTTAAATACTTTTGAGGTGAGAAAAATTTTTAAGAATTTTACTAGATTGATGGAAGAATCTTATAAATTGTTTCTAAAATTTCAACATAAAAATTTGAAACCATTAGAATCGAAACCCTATGATGAATTTAAAATAATATGGTACCATTCTTCGAATGGGTATATGAGGGTGCTATAACCTTCTCCACATGTAACCAAACTTTCGAACCCTATTCTGGTTTGTAGACCCGAACCTATTCTTTTAGGGACCCTTAGTCGAGCTTAGGAGCTCCTTAAAATGATAGATTTTTTATGTGGCCAATCACACCTAGTTAAAAAAGATTGGTGGTGACTCTATCCATTTGTTAAGTCTAGCTATAAATTTTTGGATCTATATGTTATGACAATATTCGATCCAAAGATAAAAATTCTTGAGTTCGAGGGAAAGATGTAACTTGAAGAATTCTTAGATTGGCTACACATTATTGAACGTTTATTTGAATACCATGATGCCCTTGAATATTACAAGGTAAAGCTAGTGGCCATCAAACTTAGAAAGCATACATCATTTTAGTAAAAAAATTGAAGAAGCAAAGGGAAAGAGAAGGTAAAAGAAAAATTGTAACTTGAAAGAAGATAAAAAGATAGTTAAAGAAAAAGTATCTTTCAGATAACTTTTGGTAAGATATCTTTCTTAGGCTCCATAACTTGAAGCAAAGGGATCTTTCGATGAAAGAATACATTAACAAGGGAAGCATGTCCAAAACCAGTGTTTCTTCTAAAATCCCTTCAAATCTACACCTATAGAAAGAATGACTCATTCTCAACAAACCATAATCTAGTGCTGTCAACACTCAAACCCAAAAAAACTTTAACTGCCAAAGAGTTAGGCATATAAACTCTAAGTGTCTAAATTTAAAATAGTTACACTGGTTGAAGATGAAGATCTTAAAGATATTGATAAAGAACCTATTAAAGTACCCTAGGATCTCGAAAAAGATGTTAAGAAAACTTATGGTGATATTGAATCCTCAGTGATTATATAATATAGCTTAGTGATATGCATGTAGAAAAAAGGAGACTGGTTCTACAAGGATAAATTTCACATTAAAATTACTGCTCATAATACGGTATGTGATGTTATAATTAATAATGAAAATTTTGAAAACGTTGTTTCTATTTTTATTGTGCAAAAATTAGGCATTAAAATAGTAGATCACCCCCAACTATATAAGCTATCTTAACTATAAAAAAGAGAATGAAATCAAGGTTAGCAAGAGGTGTTTGGATCCTTTTTTCATAGGAAATAAAACAGTGAGATCTTATTTTACCTTAAATAGAGTTTGCTTACAACTGCTTACAAAATCAAGCCATTGGTTGAATTCAATCAGTCATCTAGATTTAGTTTCTCTTCTACTAATCAACAATTTAATGAAAATGCAAATGAAATAACTAAGGGTATCAAATGATTGCTTGAACAAGTTGGAATTAGAATTTTACAAAAAATTAAGAAATATAAAAAGGTAATAATCATGCATTAAAGACATGTAAAGTTCAAATAACATGATTTGGTATGGGATTACTTGCATAAAGAAAGGTTTTCACAATGGAAGTTTGACAAATTACAACTTAAGACAGATGGTCCATTTAATTCTCTAGTATATTGGGGAGAATGCCTACAAGATCGAGTTTTTTGACACTTATAGAGTATCTTCTACCTTCAATGTTACTAATTTGCCACCCTACCATAGTAAGAAGACTAATTCAAATTTGAAGATAAGTATTTTCCAACTAAAGGAGATTGATACCGAAATGTCTGCACATTATATAACTTGAGCTGATACTAAAGCAAACTTATTCAAAAATAAGATGAGCCTATCCTTGGTTCAAATTCACTAAATAAATATAGAAATAGGATAAAGTGGAATAGGGAGATTGTGTTCACACTAGCTAGAAAAGAAGAGCATGAACATGGATGAAATTATGGTCATATTCATTATTATGTAATCTACATGAGTAAATGAGTTTACATGCAAATCTCTTAATTTTATGTATGATTTTAGCAATGCAATTTGAAAGTTTTAATGCTTAAAGGGATGTTCTTAGTCTATATATTTTCTATTATTCTTTAGTAGAAAGCAGAATAAAGTTTTCTTTATCCTTAAAAAATTTTTTAAAGTATTTTTCAAGCTTTGTATCTTTTAGGTAGATTTCCTAGAGTAGTAAACTTTTATTGTTCTGTATCATTGATTAAAATTCTTATAATAGTATTTCTGTATCCTTTAGTTTTTAGTCTTTATGGTGAACTTTTATCTATTTTAATCCAATAATCATATTTTTTTATTATTTAAATTCTTATGAGTTATCTTCTTTATGAATTTTTTTATTTACAGTTAATCTTCGCATCTCAACCATCAATTTCGAACATCAACTCATAATGCAAATGTAAACAATTATCTTTTTCATAAGCTGAACTGAGAATAGCTCTTGCAAGGGAAACACCAACTATGTTTGACTGAAGTACCCTTGTTATCATTGGCAATCGGCAAATGAAAAAGAGTCAAGCAGTGCCTTACCACGGGCAGTTATTATATTTTGTCCCAAACGACAAGGTGATTGAATCGTTTAATTCAAATGATTCATAATATCTTTAAAAATTAACATTTAATAAATTTAAAATTTAAATTCTAGCGCCCATGTGTCTCGTTTCTCTTCCCAAGCTATGGCCTTTGTTATAAAAAATTATAAGCGGATTTATATTCCCTATCCTCAGACAGTTTGGGCCTCTGATAAATCTTTTGGTCTCGGGCGGCTCCTTTAATTCACTCCAAGAGCCTCCAGGCTTATGGAATCTTGGGCCAGTATGGGTCAATAGTCAACGCAAAGAAGCCCATCAAGGAGCCTACCAGAGCAGATGAAAATATCCAATAGATACCGCACAAATCAGGCTATCATATTGAACAATTTCCAATGGATAGGCACGAATTGGGCTATTATATTGAATAAAATCCAATCAATCCGACTCTAATTGGGCTTTTATAATGACTAAGCTCCATGGGCTTCACTGGAAGCCGAGATTTTTTTGAGCGACGATATACGAAGCCGAGGTAGCTTTGCTCCATTGAAACCGATAACACTTTCGTCAAATCGAAATTTTTTCTGTTGCTTTAATCATAAACATACTCAGATATAATGAGAAACAGGGAAAGAGACAAAGAGCTAGAGAGGAGAAAGGGAGAAGTATTCCTTCGAGAGATCAATTTACAAGAACAAATCTGACAAGTGACTTAGGGGTAGTACAGACGATAATGGTTCTAACTGCTCCTTTTTCTTCTGATGATTTTTGCTTTGACTTGGCAATATGGCGACGGGGATTCCAAAGCTAAGATGTCGGTCAAGTCCCGCAATTTAATCCTTTTAATTTGATCGTAGAAAATCATTCAAGAATCAATTTGGCATATTAGGATTTATAGAATCACAAAGTTTTCCTTTCATTATTTTTGTTTTCCCTTTATATTTTCTCTATATATTGGATCATTTCCATCGAAAAGGCCCAAACAGAAACATGGACTTAATGAAATTGGGCTGCCTATGTATCATCTATCTTCCTTCATAGATTGTATGTCTGATGGGACCTATTTCATAGGAGCTCGGAGCTGACTTTCTCGGCAGGGCGGGTCAGGTTTGGAAACCAGGATCCAGGAGTAGTTTTTCTCTTACTTTTAAAAGGAATATCAAGTTTCAATTCTTAAATAAATGCTAATATGGTTCTCATGCATATTTATTAAGAATTTAGATATATATTATAAAAATTGTCAGTTAGAAATATCATGAATATTACCTAAATAATTTAATCTAAATTTTAACTTCTAAAGCTATACATGTTAATGTTTGCATAGAATTTGGATAGCTAATAGTATTTCTTGTATATCGTATATAACTGTTTGGAACTTGTTTCATTAATGTCTCATTGGGTTCGACTTGATTAACCATTTGGTTACTGAAAACTTGACATCCCACACCTTTTTCTATCTTAGCTAGGCTTTTTCGATGCCATAGCCATTAACAAGATAGTTTGTTCGCTTAAATTTACACTGCATATAAGGGAAAGATTCACTTACATTAATATATATATCAATTCAGAAACAAGATATACATAGGAACTCTATTAAAATTTATAACTACTAATTCCCAAAAAAACATGTTTCAGCAAACTCGATTTAAATATTGTGACTAAGTATAAAATAAATAGTCTACTAAATTATAATTTAAATGCAGTCGGCTTTGTTCCCTTTGTTTATTGGCCAATCAAGAGGTAACTACCTTTTCAGAAAATTCTCTTAAGGTATGATCGAAGAGAGGGAAGCTTCAAACCAGTCGATAATCACACCAATCAAGCTTTTCCCTGTGAGAATTTGAACATCGTTGCATAATGAAGACGAATACCCTAACTAATTAACATATCGTTTCTTCAGAGAATTACCATGCATTTTCGCATGGCATGCAGCACTGACAAAAGAAAAGCATAACCTTGACAATTACAGAACCTAGCTAGCTATAAGCTTTAATACAACCAATGTGGTACCTTTCTCTCAACCTTCTTCTCCTTTATAGGATCCAAGGTTGGTTTCCATCCCTTGCCTGAATATTGCTTGTTCAAATAATCCGGCCTACTTTCCAAACTTTCCGGAAAAACTTCCGTTAAACATCGAACCTCCTCAGGCCTCTCGTAGACGTTTTCCTTCTTCTGCAACGGGAATTCTTGTCCTATCTCTTCGACATAAATTGCAGGGCAAATGTTAGCAAACCAAGGAAGAAACTTCGAGGAGGATAAAAGCGACTTTGATTTTAACACGGAATTCGCACTCAATAGTACACGACGAGCTTCCTCCGATGACAACATGGCTGGCTTCCCTCGCTTCACGGGTAGCAGTATATAAACCTTTTTCACGTCGAGTTTCTGGTCCGCTGGCAATGGAATCGGCCTCTTCTCATTAACTGCCGCGTGGAATTCCACAACAACCTGTTGGGGATGCTCCAGCATTAGCTCTGCCGCTGTCAAGGGCCAGCTAAACTCCTGAACAGAGCCGTCCCAGAGAATGATTTTCCCGGCGGTATCAGATGGACGGCACGTGACAGTGCTAATGTAGTTACCCATAATATGATATTGATGTGGCTTAATGAGAGAAAAAAAAAAAAAAAGCCAAGGGAAAGCGAATTTCACTGTATGAAAGATACGGTGGCGATAACAGAAAAAAGCAAAGAAAGGAAGGGTATGAGTTTCTGATTCATGTGAGTTTGATTAAGAAAGCATTTTATGCAGGAATGTCGAGACGGCCTTCATGTTCTAGGAGGTGTTCGTTAAACCGCTCCATCTTGTGAAGGATTTTATGGTGGACTTGGTAATATGTAATATCATAAAAATTGGGATCGTTGGCTTCGTCTACATTGTCTGACTTCCCTTTTATATATACAAGATTAATCAAACGGTGATGAATGCCATATGCATGTGGGGTCCATGGTGTAGGTAAACTGTACCTCGCATGAATAGAAAGTCAAAGAAATGGTTCAACCGTAACTATATTAACTAATTTAATGCTTTAAATTTGGCGTTACGTGATGAACGAGGTGAACTGAGACCTGGACCGTCCGTCCAACTCTAGCTTTGGATTTTAATTCTCACGGGTATCACTATTTTTTCCCTACGGTTTGGAGGAAAGATCAAATTATGGCAGGCATGGGTGTATGGGGACAAATCTTTTATCAAGACACGAATTCATGTCGTTGTACCAGGATTTACAAGGAAAAAATGGTGGGAAAATCGGAGTGTTTGTATCTTAAATCTTAATTATAAAGGCTACGATTTATTTGATTAAATTAAGATTGAAGGCTTGGCCTGAAGGTGATAGTATTGGTTTGGTCTCGTGATTACTTTGTCGTATAAAAAATATAGTGGACAATGATATTTATTTATAGCAAATACAAAAATGTCAAACAACAATTAAGAATTGGAGGGTGACTAAATGATGAAAACAACAGCTTAACTTCGTAAACGTTATGGGATGTAATAAATTGCGTTTGAAAATGCTACACGACCAAAGATTAGAGCTTAAGAAATTGAATGTGGCTTTCGCAATGAGGCACATTAAATACAAAAATGATTTCATTGCGAGCAAACTAGGATGTAAACAGGAAATTGATTCTATTGACAAGCCAGCAATAGGGCTCTCAATACCAGTGTTTTTATATTATGGGTTCTGTCGCCTTCATTAATTTGAACTCTGTCCCAATCAAAATTAACTCCGTGATAAAAATGTGTTTTGCACTGGTTTGAATAAAAAATAATTAGTTTTGAATAAATATTATAATTCATTACCTAAACGAGTTTGGCATGCTTTCTTATGTTTTGAAACTCGGAAGGCGACTAGTTGAGTTAGGTACCTGAGCTAATTTCAGATGAGCCATAACATGACCCCATAAAGGATCGGGTAGAGTCGAGGTTTGATGGACAAACTAATTGTGGGCCTAGATGGACTCTGAGCATCCAGGCTTTGAATGGGCTCACCATTGCTTGCATTTCCTTTGATATCTCTTAACCAATAAAATTACTTCGACTTTCTGAACCAAAATGAAAACAAGAGTTTACTATTTAAAAGTGTGGCTGCCCCTTTCTTGGGAGGAGTTAGGAGCAAGAAACAAATCAAAGAATTGAACAACAGTTGTAGATTCACTTTGCTGTTAGAAACTGTTTGAGCAGCAGCGTTACTTTAATTTGAGAAGCTACTCAAGTAATTCTTTAATTAAATGAAAGAATGAAAGAATTGGCCTTTGATTTCTACCAAAAAAATGTTCAAGTATACTAGCCTTCCTACTTATAGATTTCCAATTTTTAACAATTGTGTATTTTGGGAAATCTCCACCCTGAAGAAGCCAAACCCAACAAAAAGCAAGAGAAAGACTTCTCAGAGCACTTCAGAAATTGGTTCCAATACAGGAGTCCACGGCCTGTAATTACCCAATCGGAAGCCAGGAACAGGAATTCCCTTCCTACATTTCTCTTGCAAAACCCGAACTTCGTTCTCTTCCCCCTCACTCACATCGGGCAAAATCTTAGCACCAGTTTTTCTCCTTTTCTTTCCACGACAAGCAGCTTCTATGGTTGCCGTATCCGCATCCGTAATTTTGCAATTAACCCTCCTTATAGGGACCAAAACGTAAACTTTACCCGCCAAAAGTTCATCGTCAGCGCGTATAGCAGCCACGCGGCGAGTTCGTTTGAGATCTTCCACGGGAGAGATGATGTGACCAGGTTCCTCAAGCATGAGCTCCGCTGCCTTTGCTGGGAGCTTCACTTTCCTCAGGTTTCCTTGAGCATCAATTACTTTTGCCATTTTTTTCCAGCTAGAGGTGCAGTTTCCCATGTGGATGTTGAAGTTCTTAGTTCGCTTTAACTTGGGTTCAAGCTGCAGACTGCAAGGAAAGTACTGTTTTAAGAACCTATAGTAGTATTTACCAGTTGTTGTGGACGTCTCGACTTGAAAGTAGAAGTGGAGGCAGCGAGGGTATATATCGTGGGGGAAGGAGGAAGAGTCAAAGAATCAAAGGTAAAATCATGGAAAAAAGACACGTAAAAAGGGCAGACCAGAGCGAGAGAAAGAGTTGACAGAATGACAGAAAGATAAGTGGTGGACGTGTTTTAGAGGTTGGGGCTGTATTGGGGGAAACGCGGATGCCAGTTCTTGAGCGTGGTTGAGACGCAGGATTGCTATATGGGCTATGGTAATGCTTGTGTTGTGTTGTGGGGTCTCTCGCTTTGAAAGTAGGCTATTTTCTTCGGAATGGAAAGTTGGGGTCTCCAAAAATAAAAAAAAATGTGGGGGTTTACGTGGTCCAGGGCACTAGGCAATTTGTCCTTGGCGTAATTGAAGTATGACTTGGTATCTTACAATGTGTTTGAATGGCCTAACTTCACAGCAAAATTTTGTACTACTCCTAGCCGCCCACTTGTTTAAGAAAAAAAATTATGGCAAAAAAAGGTACGAAATCTTTACAGTAAAATAGTACATCACAAATGGTGACCCAAATAAACATCGAATCTAAAATTTAATTTAATTAATTTATGTAATTATTTTTAAAAAATAATATTTAATATATGTAAATTTAAATTTTAAAATTTTAAAATTATTTTTTATTTTCAATATTTATATCTATATTTTATCGTGTATGTGTTTATTTGATATTTAAATTTTCAATGTATTCAATATTATAAGGCTTTGTTGTATTTATGTTAATTTGTATATAAATTTTTTAAATATTTGACAGTGTAATAAATGTTTTAAATTCTTTTATTAAAATTTGTTTTACATTTAAAAAAATATTATCTTTGCATTAAACAACAAATTTTGAATAAATATATTTATATAATAAATTTTTCATCACCAAAAAAAATTGAATCCGTCTTTACGTACTTTGAACTTGTATGCAAAACATGTGGTTCTGCCGTCGGGTCCAACATAGTAACCACAAGAAATAAGAAAGAATTTTTGTCCTTTTTTTTTTTTTCACGTAACCGAACGGGGTTCAAAGAATGTTTCGCAGCGGAGCCGTCGTGCTGCACCGCGAGTAATGAAGAACAAGCGTGTAGATAATTCTATTTCACTTGCAATTTTACTAGATTTAATTTAAAATATATCGGGTTTTTTCTTGGCCAATAAAATGTATGGAGTTCAGTTGAGGGTGATGTACAAATAAAATCAAGATTTTAGGCTTTCTACAAACTATTATTGTAAGAATTTTTTGTAGAACTAAGTGTTATAGTCGAGGTTTAGTTAAAAAAAAGTATTATAATCAAGGTAAATTCAGTAAAATTTAATTACTTTCAATCAATTTCAAGGTTGAAAATACAACTCGATCGAATTCTATTTGAAATAGAGCTTCATGCCGTCTTCACCCCTGTATCTCAATGACAAAGCTATCACAGAACGTAACTAACTGTAACAGTACTTTCTTGCTAAAACCAAATCGTTATTGTAATATAGAAAGCTTAATTCACAAAACTACAATACCAGGGACTTGATGCCACAAGTACATTTTACAGTGTAGTGACATTAGCACCTCCTTCCACACACATCCAAAACCAAATACATCCAATTTAAAACACTTAGGGGCTTAGATCAAACAGTTTGATGAATACATTTTTTTTTTCCCGAAGTTGGGGCGTGATGAGATGGAGTTGGGGTTTAGGAGCCTGTAGCATCTTCGGAATGCATCTTTCTGATAGTTACCCTACTTGATATATTGAGACATCCACTTGAAGCCATCACCATATCCCATTTTGCGGACAATGCTGCACATAAATACCTCTAGTGGACGGACATTTGAGTCTGCTAGGTTTACCTTCCCCTTGCCAGTGGTAAAGTTTGTGAGCCCAAGATGGTATCGTAACTCATCCTCTGAGGCAGCATATGGTATATCAATCTTGTTTCCTAGGATAAGAAATGGGACATTTGCAAGGGCCTCATCTGAAAGGAGTGCATCCAGTTCCTTCTTTGATTCTGCAAACCTTTCTTTATCATAGGCATCTACCAGGTAAACCACAGCATCCACCTGGAACACAGGAAATACACAATTCAAAGTATTCACTCAAGACCAGGCAACCACAGCCTATAACAAGAGACAATAAGAACAAAGAGGTACAGCAGAAAACCAATAAAAACAAGAGAAAGGTGACATAATTGCAACCACTGCATGTAGTAAAAATGTCATGTAAACCCAATCCCATCCTAAATCCTATGCTGCTTGAAAGCATTGATCAATGCTGAATTACTGACAGCGAAGCACGTACAACACTTCTTTGATACAATCTTAACATTCCAGCAGGCAATTCTAGACCAGAACAACCAAGCCGACTTCTCCGAGGTCAGGCTGGCTTTAGTGCAAAATAAAGGATCCAGCAGGAATAGGGAAAGAAAACCGCCCCATGGCCCACCACCAGGGACCAGGGATCTATCATTTTGATGAATTTTGTTTTATTTGCTTTTGAAAAATCTTCACAAAAATTATCCAATAACAAGCTATGAGGTTGCAGAAAGCTACAGCAGAACAGATAATACTTGGCAATCTTTCCAAAAAGATATATTATGAAGATGTACTTTAAAAGACGATAAGCAACTACTTACAGCAGACCAGATAACAAGAATTCAGACTCTGGTTACGGTATGAAACCCATGTTTCAACCAAGACAACTAGAGAAATAAATCAATCTGCTAAACATTTCATTTAAGCATTTCATAAGGTGATCACAAGACCAATCTCACTGAAAAGTCATGACCATGAAATAATTTGAAAAGTAGCATATAACAAAGATTAGAGACACTCTTCTTCGGTGTCTCATACATCACAAGGCAGTAAAAATTCCATTGAGACTGTGTACAAAGATAGCTCAGGCACAAAAATATCCGTGACACATATGAACGCAGAATTTTGTCATCAAAACATTCATCTTTGGGATTGTTTGACCATAGAAAACGAATTACAAGAAAACAGATTTCAGTGAATGCAGAATCACTAAAACTAATAAACATGCAGCAGAGATGACAACAGATAATGCAAAATGCAATACATATGGTTGACACAGTAAAAACATTGGAATCTAAAACCAAGGAAATGTTAGTGAAGAAATTGGCATTACTTTCAGCTCTTGGTTACCTTAGCATAGTAATCTTTCCAGACTCTGCGAGCAATCTGATGACCTCCCAAATCAAATGCTTTGAACTTAATTTTCCCAATACTAAGCTCTTCAGATGTGGGATACTGAGTTGGCTGATGTTGAACCAATCTCTGGAAATAGTTCAATAATAAATTAATAATCAACATCTTTAATTACCTTTCTTTCAAAATATCCTCATTTTCCAATAAAAAATAAAGAAAAATGAAGAATTAAAAGGCCTTTTTTTTTGCCAGAAGAATTAAAAGGCTTTAATATCTTCCATTTAAACCAAAATAAAAAGCCCAAAATTCCCAAGTATACAAAACTAAAAGATTAGACAATAAAGCGATCGAATTCGATTCAGAGATCCAAAATTATACTTTCAGTTTGGCTTATTAAATTAAAAAAGGTATAAAAAACAGATTTCAATATTTTGAGCGAAGTTGGAAAATTATTTAAAAGTAAAAATAAGAAAAAGATTGGAAAAACGAACCTCGTCTTTCAACATGTGAAGCAAGGTGGTTTTACCGGCATTATCGAGGCCGAGAAACAAGATCTTAGCCTCTTTCTGCCAGAGACCAAGGGAGGCAAGAACGCCGTAGAACCAATCCAGAAGAAACATGATTTAACCGTTATGTTCCAAGTTCGGATATTCAGAGAAACTTTGACGATCTGAGAGTGGAAGGGGGTAGGATCGTGACAATCAAGGCCGCCGCTACATATCACAGAAGAAAGGATCAACTTTGACCCCACAATCAAGAAAGAGAGGGGGAGGGGGAGACACTGGGGGTGATATTGGGGAAAAAAAGTAACTCTTGCCGTCTCATTCACAAATGTGGGGCAAAATTGAAATTTCATAAACAATATCTCGGTTTGTCTGTGGGCTCCCCGGCTTTTGTATGAGGTGACGTCGTTTCTTTTGAAACCATAAAATGCATTTGGACTCTACATGCAATGCCACGACGAATTCGTATTCACGGCTTTTTCCTGTTTTCTTCTTCGGCCCAATTTTGTTCCTCTATTTTTTAAAATAATTTTCCATTGCCCATTATTATTTTTTATATTATAATATTTTATTATCTTTCGGTACTTAGTACTGTATTCAATGTGAAAATGAAATTAATCATGGCAATCTAATTTTAGTATAATCTTCGATCTTTATAATCACTTGATTGAGTGGTGTGACGTTGAGTGGTTATGGGATGGTACTCTAGTTTGATTACTTATTAGCTTGACCAAGTGCTGTTCAATCGTACTACTGCCTCCATGAGGTTACTTATTTGATTAACTAAGTGCTATGGGATGGTAGCTTAGGTTCCAAATTATGATGTTCAATGACAAAGTGAACCCTAACTGTGTTCACACAATTCCTTAGGTAGGTTTAGGTTGTGGGGCAAAGGAGTTCTTGATTCTTTGACATTAGCGAATGTTATTGCTTTGGTTTTATTTCGAGCATTAGAAAATCGCCGTCACCTTCAAAATGCCATTAAATGGTTTGGCTGGAAACTTCCCATAACCAAGTTGCCGGAGTCCTTTTTAAGGGTTATATTTTGCAGAAAGAACTAAAATCCTTCCAATTTCTGGTCTTAGGTGAAAATTTGGTAAATACGTCACCTTCTCGGAGGCATAAACCGATAAACCCCATCTCTTCCTTTGAGGAACGCACACTTCAGAGAAGAAATCACAGTCCTCGTCATCTATTTTCTCTTGTAGTGCAAGTGGACGACCCATTACGTGGAACTATTACACTTGAAACTAGAATTAAGAAGTAAAATAATAGTTCTTCAAAAAAAAAAAAAAAGAATTACAATATAGTGCCCAAGTATTATATATTTTGATCAGGTTAACTGGTGTACATGCTAGTGGAAACCATCTGACAATATTCAAGCGGAAGAAAATGCAGAAGAAACTTTATCTCTTCTCAGGATGTTTCACGATCACCACTGGACATTTAACATGCTTGGCACAATGATCGCTCACGCTTCCTAGAAGCGCTCTGTAGAATTGAAAAGGGGAAAGTCATCTTCAAGCTACCTTGCCTGGAAATAATTTATAATAGAAGTTGAAAAGAGTACAAAGAAGGAAATCACTTAGATTGTTATACCTTTTGAAGAAACCATAGCCGTGGCTCCCCATCACCAAAGTGTCGGCTTTTATTTTATCCACGATATGACATATTACGTCCTTTGCATCTCCGCTTCCGACGATTCTCTCCACATGTATCTGCAATTCATCAATAACAATGGTAAGAGAATTATCATAAACCAAAACGATACAATGATAGAAAGTGAATAAAGCAGCATGTACTTCAAAACAAGAGGCTTACGTTGCTGCTAAACTTTCCGCAGATAGCTTCGGCTCTTCCCATCACCGACTTCACCAGATCGCTGCCATATTTTTCCAAGGCTCTGATCACATCGCTGGAAAACACATACCCTGTGACAAGATCTGACTGGTCAGTGGATAAAAACCTAACCTCTGCATAGACCAAACAATAGCTGCTGAATGAATTTTCCCTTTTTTTGGTAATTTCTTATATGTAAGACAAAACCTCAACTTTTTTTTTTACCTAAGTAATTAAATACTAGAATTGATTTGGCCACTTACTGTCAAAATTTGACAGTTGCAAAGGAAACTCTTTTACTAGCTTGTTTGCGGTACGAAGAGTATTAAGTACTAGTTTTTCATATATGAATACTTATAAACGATGGAAAGCTGCAACGTTTTTAATGGAGATCTTTTATATATAGTTTAGACTTTACAAGGAACAAGAAAACAAGAAGTAGCGATTGCTAACCTGCAGCGTGAAAGGAAGAGTAGACAGGAGGTGGAGGCTTCACGTAAAGAAGCACGAGGTTGTTGGTTGTGTTTTGGGAAATCAAATTTCCAAGGCACCATGAAAGTGCATACATGCTCTCCTCGCTCTCATCCACGGCCACCACAAATTTGCACTCCTTTTTGTTGAGGTTCACAGCTTCCATTGCTACGACTCTGCTTTGTGTTTTTGTTTGCTTTGAACACTATAATATAAGAAGCTCCAAGAAATTACTGGCCTTAAAGTGTTAATAAGAAAGCAAATGAAAGCTCAAACATTTACGGATGGTAGTTGCTGTGGTTTTCTAGTAACCTGTTTTTGAGGTCCGTGGCTTTGATATTTAACACTCCGGTCCTGGTTTTTGAAGTGAAAGTAGCTGTATCCTGGAAAAATCAATTTCTCCCAAAAGAAATAATAAGAAAATCTGCTCGGCAGACAGCTCCAATTATTATAGTAAGTAATTAACTATAGTAAACAACCAACCTGTCAATTTTCAATTTTTAACTTAGAATGCAGATCAGAAGTGAACTATCGGATCAGGCCTTTACCTTGTGGAAAAATATCTCCATTGATTGACTTAAAAAATCCTGTAGTCTTCTTATGAAATCTCGATTGTCAACATCTCGCCGAAGCTAGGCCTTGGAGGATCAAATATCTTGAACTCCAGCTAAGACTTCAAGGTGTGCATATATAGACATAGAAATGTATGGATATTTTGTTTGCCCGAAAATGATATAGATAATTGAATTATTTTTCATTGATGTGATTTCTTAATTCTTATATGCCGTTACTATATTGGATAAAAAGATGTGTGTCTAAGTGCTCTTGAAGAGTCAAGTGAGGAAAAAAATCTACAATTTTGATTGAATATAAAATCTATTTTCTATTGTCAAATATATACCAGCATTTGTAAGTAAATTAATTAAATGTTTATATTGCTTTTTATTATCACCTCATCAATGATATACAAAGAAGCTTTAGATTCGAATTCAGTCAAAGTCGAAACACTATTGCAAGAAAGCCCCGGAGATTGTAACATGGAAAGTGCTTTTATGGTTCAAATCATTTGTTAGTATGTGTGCAAGATGAGAAAAGGCAGTGTGGCCTTTGTCTACAAAAAGGCCAGAAAAAGCTACTCATTTTTTCACAAATCAAATTAAACTTATAATTGAATAAATATATATATATATATATAATATTATATAATATAGGATTCAAAACTAAGATTTAAATGTTATCATTAACACAAAATTTTCTTGAATAACGTTGGCTTATAAAACCGGATCTAAAAGCCCATTTTGATGTAGTTTCTCCATTATTGCTTGCTTTTTCGATACAATAATAAACTGATTATAGGGCATTTTTTTAGAAAAGGCAAACTGATTATACAGTTTTATTTGATTATATATATATATTTATATCCTCCGCATATAAAGGACATCCCAAGTCCCAACCCTCTGAAGGTCGGCGATCGCAATCGCAGCGCCCATTAGTACATTTTCTTTTTGTTTTTTTTTTTATTGTACTTTCATGAATAATTCAAGAAGGGTTTGGCTTCTTTCGTTCTCCAATTTCTCTCATGGTATTGGTAGGTCGAGTTTAATTGCAACTAATAATTCATATATATCGATATAAAGCAAAGTTTAGTGGAGGCACATCTAGAATTTCCCTGGTCTTCAATCTCATTGCCCTCCAATGAGCAGAAATAGTGTACTGTACTCTCCATTTCATAGTTAAATGCGAGATATAATTGGAATGCCGACGCTCCAAAATGATTTCGCTTATAAAAACCTTTTGTTTCATAGGTTGCAGGGTTTTCCGACGTACAAATTAACAACATAATAATTAATAAATTATTGAATCGCATGTCTTTGACTTTGTACGAGTAATTAATTATCTATGCGAGATGGTGAATGATTATAGGTTTTAAACTTTAAGGTTTAAATGCTTTTTTTTTTTGTCCATATAATTTAGAAATTAAAAAATAATAATAAAGAATCTGCATTGCAATTTGCTGACTTCATTGGCAATCTGGTTTGGTTTTAAAGTGAACATTCGAAAAGGTGGAGGAGAGTTGGCCACCAAGTGGTCACCAATAATATATATGTGGGCCCATGGACTAGCCCAGTTTCAATCAGGGCTAAATTTTCATTACAAACCGAAGCAAGTCGCAGACTTTATAGATCCAAGGCCTTCGTCACCTTCTCTCAAATAATTAGTAGCTCAGGTTGACTTATCTTTCCTTTTCCGATATTAGCCCCACTTTGAAGCGAAGAATTCAACCACCTTCCCCTGCGCTGCTTATCAATTCTATTAAAAATTTATATTATAGCCTCACCACCTTTCTAGCTAACTCACACCATTTTTTTGAAAAATTCATTTCTTAATAATTACATCAAATTAAATTAATCATTCAAATTTTTTATAGCTTTGCTGGGACTAATTTTATTAAATTCTATTTTATAATACATAAAAATTAGCTGACCTCAAATATCTTGTTTTAATAAAAAATAAAAAAGAAAAAGATATCTCATTTTGGCCGGCTGATGGCGGCAGTGCCCAATTGATTAATACTATTTAAAAAAGGATTTATTTTCTTAAAGCGAGACACTTAGCTTTTAATTAACTAACTCGGCAAGGCAATAGCTTGTATACACGCAAGTCTACAAGTTGCTATCGAAGACGTGGATTCCATTAGCCTAATCAGTAATAGCGACGGTCGAGATCAGTCTGATGAAGTGGGCGCATGGTGTCCCCACCAAGCGCATGTTACTGCCTAGTGCCTGCCACTAGCTTGATCCGGTGCATGCTTCATCGCTGCAATTTGTGCTTGATCCGGTGCGTGCCTTCATCGCTGCAATTTGTGAGGTCTAAAATGATAAAGCCGCCACATAATTACTAGCACTTAAATCCAAATCTAAATTTGAAAAAAGACGATAAGTTCGAGAAAGAATAAAGAAAAATGCCAGCATCTTAAAATTTTAAATTGGGATATAACAGAATATTAAATTTTTTTTTGGTAAGAATTTGAAATTTTGAAGAATAGATTGGAAATTGAGAAAAAACTAATAACATCATGGAGCGTCAAAATGGAGGGGCCCATGGTCCCACGGAAGCACAGCTAATTCTTTGCTCCATGTTTTTTTCGGTGAGCGCGCACGTTATTTTTTTTTACAAAAGCGGCCCCTCTTTTTTAAATTTCTGGTGGCCAGAACGTTTGGAGACGTTGGTTCTAGATCAGACGTCTAAAATTCAAACCTGAAAGGAAAATCTTTAAATTGGACTACAGAGCGACATGAGGATTTAATAATGAATGATTAAATCAATAATTCTGTCACTGCTTCATAAAGAAAAACATATTTCCAAGTTTACCCCTATAAGAAACTTTTTTTGTTAAATGAGAATAAATATTTAACGATGTAAAATTAAAATGAGAATAAATATTTAACGATGTGAATTGATAAGAAAATAATTCAAAAGGTAATAAATTATTTTTTATAGTAGAAAATGCTCAATTGTCAAATATTATTATTTCAATTGGAAATATCCATCAAAATATTATAGGATGTCTCAAAATTTCATATTATTTCATTTTCTTTTTCTATATTTCATATATGATATAAATGTATACTTTTATTATTATTATTTATATGACATTCAAATCACTTTGCATTTAGTAATATAAGGCATAAACTTCTTTGGTTCACTGTCCACGAACAAGGAACTCTACAACCAAGCAAATATAAGGAGCTTCCTGAATGCAGTAGGATTGTAAAAATTATCCTAGGGCAATCAATTATTTTTTTAATTTTTTATTTTCCTTTTTAAGAATATGCTTGTCATTCAAATAATAATGTATTTTTTTATTCAAATAATTGCATAAATTAATTAAATTAAATATTAAATTTAATAATAATAATTTTTTTTTTAGGTAACTTCTTTGTTCTCTTAAATTTTATACCTAAGGAAAGAAAAATAAACTTTATTACCTTTTGAATTATTTTCTTATCAATGCAGAATAACTCTTTATCTTCCCCAAAGTGCATCCCAAAAACCCCAACAAACTTTCATTTTATGAAGAGTGGCGCTAAATATATCTCTTTCTTTTTTCTTCACATCATAACTTTTTTTTTAAATTTTATAAAAATGAAATTACTTAATTATTTTTTTTACAATTTTATGGAGTTTTATGACATTTTAAAAATTTATTTAAAAAAAATCATATAACTTTTTTGAAATGAATTTTCAAAAAATAATAACTTTTTCGAAAATTTGACTTTCTCAAAAGATTTATAATTTTTTGAAAAAAATTCATTTTAAAAAAGGTTTATAATTTTTTTAAATATTTATTTTCAAAAACGTATGTGAAAAAAATGATAATTAAATAATTTTATTTTAAAAAAATAAAAAATATGTATATGAAAAAAAAAGATTAAGATTCATTTAGCAGTATTTTTTTTAAACGATAAAAACCACAAAGTGTATTAACATTTCATAACAAAATGAAACTACAAAACTTTTACACAAGTTATTACGAATGAGAAATACAGATACTACAATCGTTTTCTTAGATTAAAAAAAAAATTATTGTTTGAGCTTTGAATGTTTAAAGAATACTGTTGCGCATGAAAGCAAGTAAAAAAAAAAAAAAACGGCGTCTTAGTTTACCCAAAGTCTTTTTCCTTAAAAAAAAAAAAAAAGCCAAATATTTAAATAATTTTCATTAAGATAACGTAGGGTTATTTATGGAACTTCAAGATCTGTTTCTAATTTAAAGTCCTTTTTCCAGGGAAAAAGGACGACATTGAAAAGGAAAACAGAGAAGAGCAAATTTTGACATCGATCAATAAGAAAAGTTAAAGTTCTCAAAAAACGCAGGGAAAAAAAAAAGAAAAGTTGAGAAGAAATGGGAGATGTTGTTTTGTTTGTAGACGATTTATCATCAAATTCTTCAGTTTCACACTGTAGAATTTGCCATGAAGAAGAGTTTGAAAGCTTTAAGAGCTTGGAAGCTCCTTGTGCTTGTTCTGGCACTGTTAAGGTAGAACTTTTTTTTTTCTTTTAACATGCTTATTTTCAGATTCTGATTATTGGGCTTTCTCTGTTTTAATGATTTAATTTTTTTTCTTCTTTTTGATGTTTTCAGTTTGCTCACAGAGATTGCATACAGAGGTGGTGTAATGAGAAGGGAAACACAACTTGTGAAATTTGTCTGCAGGTTTGAATTTTAATGATTACACGAAAAAAAGTTTTTTTTCAAAGATTTATTCATCAAAACAAATTTTGATGTTTCTATTTTGATATCAAACTGGGTTTTTTGTTTACCAGGGTTTTTTTTTTTTCTTTTGTTTCCTCAAACTCTGCTTTCATCGCTTTTTTTTTTTTTTGTAACTTTTTTTCAGTTTGGGGCATCCAAAACTTGTCCCTTCTCTTCAACTTTACTTTTTGTCCAAGTCTTCCTCTCTTCTTCAATGTGATTCAAGCTTGTTGTAAAACGTTTCATTGGATTCTTCGTCGGTAAACAAAAGAAAATAAAATCTTAATAATTTCCAATTATGACCCTCATTACATCATTTAAATATAGATATCTCAGATTCCTGGAATTCTCTTTCAAGAATGTTTTAAAGAATCACTGCTATGATTATTTATTTAGATTAAAAAAATGTTCCCAGAGGTTTGTTTAGTCATTAATGAAAATTTTACTGTATATTAATCTTTTTTCATGCAGGAATATGTACCAGGATATACAGTCACAGCACCATCAAAGAAGTCTCAGTTGATTGAAGCTGCAGTAACCATCAGGTAATCTTAACTTTTTTTTTTCTTCAATTCATAATTTTTTGCTAATGGCGCCTGACTTGTCTGCTGGTGGTGTTGAAAAAAAATTGTTCACTTTAACAAAATCCATTCATCTTTATTTAAAAAGTTCTCCAATATTATGTAAACAGCCAGACAGTCATCTTCTGCAATTCTTATTCTTTAAGCAGCCTTTTCTATATTTTATTAATAAAAAATTAAAAAATTTTGGTGCTTGTTTTTGTTGTCTCAGAGATAGCCTGCAAATCCCAAGAAGAGAGCTTGAACCACAGCACCAAAGATTAGTGGCCTTAGCTGAAGGAATGAACATGGAAAATGAGTTCTCTCAGTGTACTTCTGCCGCTGACAGAGGCGCCTCTTGCTGCCGATCACTGGCCCTCACTGTACGTTTTCGTTTCTTTTGGTATACAATGAGAATCTCCTTCAACCTTTAGCTGAAAATTGCTCCAAGGGATTATTAACAATTAAACAAATGATATCTCAAGGTACAACCAAAAAAAAAAAAAGGGGGGGGGGGGTTTAACCATTTCTTTGGTATGTGGCAAACCACGGTGGTAGTTGAAAATGGGTATATGGGGAATTTGTAATATTAGGAAAATCAATAGAAGTAGCTTTAGTGTGTAATTCAAACTACACCCATAATTTACTAATTTCGACGGTTAGAATGGGTTGCACCCATTGCATATAAAAACAACAACTGAATCTGAAAGGGAAACTACATGTGAAAACCATCTACCCACCATTAAAGGTTAGCTGAAATTTTTATTTTTATTTCCTCCCAACCCTTCCTCGGAGAAAATGATTTATTTTAATTATTTTTTAGTACTTGTGCGCCAGGACTTAAATTTGTCAAGATTTGAATATGATAATTGAAATTAAAAATCAAGCATTTTATCAAAAGATCAATGTGAGCAGTTTTAGTTTAATTATCACAAGCATGTTAAGTTTGCTTACGTTTGAATATGTTAATGAATTGACAGTTTACTGTGGTGTTGCTCGTTAAACATCTCTTCGCTGTGCTGAATGGCGAAACAGATCATTACCCATTTGCAATCCTTACAGTATGTATCCAATTTTTTCCTTTTTTTTTTTTTGTTTTTACATAAGCTACCATCACAGTCCTAGGAATAATTTTCATCTTTTCTGATATATTTTCCTTTGGTATATTTTACAGTTAATCTTTTTTAGAGCTACTGGAATTTTACTTCCAATGTACATATTGCTTCGGACAATTACAGCTATTGGAAACAGCATTCGACGACAACATCGTGTCTCTTGCCTATCTCATTACCATTTTTAAACATTAACTTCATTATTTACAAATTGAAACGAAGGTTTTACAATCTCAAGTTTCATATATAATGCAACTGCAGCTAAAATCGTTATTTTGCTTTCTCTTACAGGATTCTGACGAAGAAACCTCCAACTCTGATGATGAAGACGATGTTGAGCAGCAGCAACTTCACACTGTCTGACTAACTGTATTCTCTCCGATTACTTCCCCTTTGTCATATGAGCATTACATTGCTGCTCAACTTGTGCAAATTCCCCCCTTTTTTTTTAAATTAATAGAAAATATCGTAAAATATTGAGTACAGAATGATGGTCCGTATCTTAAAGAATCCTTGACCTATGTTAAAGTGAAGTCAAGGAGATAATAGAAGTACCCTCAAAAGTGTTAAAACTATTTGCATTCCGTGTGAGGCTGATCAATTCTCGAAAATAAGCTACCATCTTATCATGACAACTTTTATTAGGATTTAGGCCCACTTTTGAAACAGAGTAAATTGATTGAAAGAGTTTCCTGAACTCAAATTTTATTTGATATGATTTTTTGTGCGACAAGTATTCATCTAAAGTAAAAAATAATTTTATTAATGAGTAAACTGTAAAGAATAATGAGAGTTGCAAAATAAATAAATAATAACACAATATTCAAACTTCACATTGAAGAAACATGTTAAGCTGTGGACAATTTCAGCACTGGAGTCCTCCTATTTGTTCAATATTAATTTTTTTTCCTTTTTCTTTTTTTTATAAACCGATTTATAGCCATTTGCAAAGGTCAAATGGCAGATATCCATGAAAAAAACGGTGAGGAAAATGCAAAGAATAATGGGAAACAAGAACCTTTACATCCTTGCATGAACTAACAGTTCCAATTTCGTATTGAAGATCAAGAAGATGGTACTCTTGATCTTCAACAAAAAGAGAGTCTCTTGATAAACTACTAGAAGATTGTTTTAAAAGATAAATCTAAAGGATTACCCTTGGCTGATAAGAGAACAAGCCAAAGAAAAAAAAAAAAAACCTGGACATTAATGGGAGAAAAATAAACCCCAAAGAAAGAAAAACAAACAGAAGGGAACGTTATAGAATAAGGGCAAATGTACGCCAGCCTTGTTAAACATCAATCCTTTTCGATTTGCCTGAATAATATTTCTAAAATCTAATATTCATATGAGTTAACCAGTAAAATAATGACACGTAGCGGGGCAAAAATGAATGAAACGTATAGCTTAGCTAAATAATATAAAAGAAAAACAAAAAATTCTTGGCATAAAAAGCTTTCAATGATGATCTCTTAATTAAGTTTAGTTGATAAAGAAACAAGCCAAACAAAATTGGATATTCCTATTACCTAAGGAAGGAAGACAGATCAAAAGAACAAAAAAAGTACTGTCATCTCAAGAGAAGTGTATGCCGGCCTTGTTGAACATAGACAGTAGAGTTAAAAAACTTTCTTGTGTAAGCTTGGACGCCCTCTGTTCTTCAAAATTTCCTTCCTTCAGCACACTTAACACCTTATTTTTAAACTCAGACACATCTCCTTCTGCTTCATCACACTCCACGTCCATCTCATCATCAATTCCATCATCCAATTCCATGCTCTGATCCCCAAGTCTTGCAACATCAAAATCATCATTCCCACCCAACGGAACATTTTGCGAGCCCTGCAGTGCCTGCAAAGTCTTATAGTTTTTCTCCAAAAGAGACAGTACATTTTTCTGCTTGAAAATGGAACCAAGTGTTTTATTCTTTCGAATGAAACAAATCCTTATAAACCCATCCCATTCCTTATGATTCACTTCCGGCCGCGGTTTCCTTGGCTCAATTCTTACAACAGAAGAATCAACCTTAGGTGGAGGCCGGAAATTGTTCTTCCCAACTTTGAGGAGATGAGAAACTCGAGCATAAAATTGGGTATTCACAGAAAGTCGACAGTAAAGATTATCACCCGGCTGAGCAACCAAACGCATAGCGAATTCTCTCTGGAACATAATAATAGCACACCTAAAAGCAGGCTGATGAAACAGTAGCTTGAATGTAAGAGGAGAAGATATTTGATATGGAATATTTGCCACGCATATATCAAAATAGGGTAAATCCGTCTTCAGCACATCGCCTTGAATAACCTGAAAAACATTAGCATTATATACAATATTGTCAAATCCCCAATTCTAAAACATTCAAATTTACCAGGCTATTGACTATCTAAGCTCCCAAAGTTCAGAATTTTACAGACAAAAGAGTATAAATTGATCAAAAAATTTGGTCAATAGTACCCAATCCATTAAAATTAAAAGAGGCAAACGAAAAATAGACAAATACCGATACCTTTAAGCGATGAGAGAAAGGGGTGCCTTGAAAGCGGCGTTGAAGCTCGAGGACCATTCGAGGATCGAGTTCGACGGCGATGACCATTTTTCCGGCTTCGAGAAGCTTCTTGGTGAGGTTTCCAGTACCGGGACCTATTTCGAGGATGACATCGGTGCTCTTGATGCCGGCTTTTTGGACAATAGCGTCGACCAACAGAGGGTTCTTGAGGATGTGCTGGCCTTTGGACTTGTGGAAAGCAACACCACCTTGGTAGTGGTTGGAGGGTGCTCTCGGGCCCTTTTGCTTCTCTTTCTTCATCTTCCCTCCCGCCATAAAAAATCGTGTGTGATTGATTCGCAGAGAAAATAATGGAAAATTTCTTTGAGGCTCTACTTTAGGGTTTTTCGAGTTCAACTTAATAAATCACTAGGGTTTGGCCTTTGAGACTTCATGGAACCGGAATGGGGGTGCAAGTACACATGCTTGTCACGTGAGAAATGAGATGATTTATGTCAAACATTTTTTTTTTGAAATATATGCCATACATTTTTTTAAATAAACTAAACTAGGAAAGTCCCCTTAGTATTATAGGCTTGATACCCAAAAAAAGTAGAAAAAACCGATGAAGATAGTCTTTTATAAATAAAAGAATCAATAATATAAAATTTTAAATGTGTTATCATTAAGATTAATTTAAGAATAGAATACTTAATTATTCTATATGCAAATAATAGAATTTCTAATTCATGCTAACAGAAGTCCATAATACAAACAGCAACAACATCAAAATAGCAATTAGCAAAGCACATAAAAATAAGAGGGTATGAGCAAATGTATTTTTCAACTCAGCTGTGCATCTTTCTCTTATAACTTAAGAAAGGAAATGCATCTATACATTAATAAATATTTAGTATATCTGCATCCCTTTCCCCGGGAATTCAATTCCCTCCATTTGTCATTTTTCAATAATGCCTAAAAATGGTTTGTTTTACAAAATTGAAAATGTAAATTAAAATTAAAAAAAAAAAGAAAAAGAAAAAGCTATACAGCTTCCTACAGCCTTGACAACGTCTTTGTAAACCAGTCTGATAGGCGCCTCATCTTTGAAGATAGGTAAGCACTTGTACCGAAATAATTCTCCGCATTTGAAAGCATTATGTTTATGTCATGCTTCACTGCTTCCATGGTCCGATAATAGTTGTTCTCTAACCTCAGCCGGATCAATTCGGGATACAATGGAACTGGAAACCTGTGAGAATTCCAGAATTTTATTTATGTTTCAGTTGCCTACTTATTGCAGGCCAATGAATGAGATTCTATATCAAAACAAAAGGGATACGATCATCTGTCTGTTATTGCACAAACTACAATCCTATACAAAAGAGTGTAATAATGCACTCAAGTTATCAAAAGAATGGTATACTCCTTAGTCACACGCACTACACTTCTCTCATTGATTAGTTGCAGGCAATAATAAGTTCAGGAGCTTAATTAAACATATGGCATTAACCAGTGTCTAGAGAAGTTTTAGATATTTTGAATACCTGATATCACAGATCTTTTCGGCTTTCCTAATTAAACAGATTTAATATAGCGCATAAACCAATAAAAAAAAAGAGATGAAACAGGAAAATAAAAAGACATATATGGTTTAATGTAAAAATATATACCATTAGGTAATATTTCTAAAACAAGTGGTAGGAAGTGACAGCATAAAAGGAAAAGAAACACGATGAGGATAGTTTTGGAATGGGAATTTAAACCTGTTAAGGAATTCTGATTTCTGGGCTGCTTCATTCAGTTTCTGAAATCCATAAGAGTCCTGCAACATTTTAAATGCGGAAGAAGTTAAAACCTTGTGGAAACCAATCTCTTCCACATTTAAAATAGAATTTTCACATGCAAATTCATTTAGAATTTAGAGGAAAATTAGTTAGAAAAGAACCTGATTGCTGCCCACTGAACGCTCTAATTTAGCAAAAGAAGAGAGAAGCTTATCCCTGATTTCAGAATCAATATGTGGGTGCTCCCATGGAAAGTTAGGATCATGCAGTTCCCAAGCACTGTGCCTATACTTGCAGCCATCCTTGTAAATAACTTCATATCTTTCCCAAGGACTGTCAGGGAAATCCATAGATTTGCCTTGTGAAGCAACTATTCTACCATCCCACCAACTACCTCCCCCCCCATTATCATTCTTCCACCATACTAGGCATTTATCCCTGCGGGTCCATTCTCTCCTCATTGCAGCATCATATCTTGTCTTCTCAATAAGAAAATCAGGAAAACCTATCAACTCAGGCAGGGTCAATATGAATGCATCCCCAAACGCACATGATGAATTATCTACAAATCGTAGTGTGATTTTACAGCAGCTGTCTCCAGAACCGGGAAAGTGGGAATAAGCAAGGTTTTCAACCCTGCAAATTTCCACCGCACTCAGGTGTCCCCTTGAGCTCCATGGACCAGCCCCCTTTAAGCGACCTGATTCAATGCACTCTGCATGCCCCTGCAAATAACAAAAGCCATATTTTGAGTTGTGAGAAATAGTAATTATCAAGTTTGTACAGAGAAAAATCCAGAGCAAGCATGACATACCTGTCTGAAATATACAACTTCATCACCCAGCTGAGGTATATAACGATAACCCTCTTCCTGCTCTGACAACATCAACCATGATAATTTTCTAACAGAAGGATTTAACTTCCTTCCACTTGAAAATTTTAAGTTATAGTCATGATTTCCACCCCGCTTGGTTCTGGTGGATCTTGATCTCTCTCTAACTTTGGAACTTGACATCCATTCATCAGATGCAATGCCATTGTATGCTTTCACAGAGTTCTCTTCATTTGCTGATGTCCCTGCTACCTTCAAGCTATGGTTCCAGGCATTCTGCTCCTGAGAAGTTGCCTTCATCTTCATGGATCGTGTTCTACCAACTGCATCAGATGCTGCTTTGGTGAACCCAATTTCTGAATCATGATCATTGATGGCATTTAAACCTGTGGAGTCAGTTGTGTCATCATATGGGTTTTCCCCATCATTCATGTTTAACTTTAAACCAGAGTGAAACTGAAGAGAACTTGATCTGTCAGAACCTTCACCCATTTCTTGCATTCTGTAACCTAGATTGTGATCTACAGACAAAGTGTTTCTGGACCTCACATCGCCTCCACTGCAGGTTGGATCATTCACTGCAGTGAGGGATTTTAGTTTGGAAGGAATATCCCCTGAAATTGCTTTTGTCCTTATTCTTAATTTTACTAATTTGTGTGGAGTAGTCTCATTTGATCCACGAGATTGGTTAACGCCACCAACCTGATCAGTATGTACCGATTCATGATTTCCATGTTTGTCACATGCAGACCAATCTTTATCTCTCCTGTTAAGGCTGACATTACAATAGAATGCTGAAGCACTACCATTTGGTTGATGGTCACCTAAGGACAGTAACTCAGATGTTAAAGATTTGTGCACCTCATTAGGAGCAAACTCTTCCATCGACACTCTATCCAGATCTTGCAATGCAGGAGTCGCTAACTGTCCCTCTCCCCTGCAAGACAATACATATCCCTAAATATGGGTTTTTATGTAAGGAATAAAAATTCCAATTCATTCTAAATTTAACATACCCATTGACAGCACTAATCCTGTTTTCATTGAGGACATCAGTTGGCATTAAATCTCCTGAACTTGAATGCTTGGATGTCTGAATTTTAACCTCTCCCCATCTGATTTTGTTCTCCATGTCCCCCACTAATTTCTCTAAATGATCCCCAGTATTTATAGATTGACTTGTATCTTCTAGATCAATCCTGTTATGGTCAGAGAGCTCCATATCTGCAGCGGGTGCACCAGGGTCTTTGGAGCAGGTATTTCCATCAAAATTTCCTGGAGGTCCAGATGAATGGTCCAGTAAATTGATCTGATTGCCACTGTTCAATCTGCTGGCTGGGGCATCTGGCTTCCTAGAATCACGTAAGGAGAACTTTAAGACCAATCTCTTCCTGTTCACAATATTTGATTGAGATTCAGGGAGTTTATGTAACCACACTAGATCCTCAGATTCTTGTTCCTTCTTCATGGACTTCAGTTGTACGTTCTCCAAGTTTCTCTCAATTTCACTGTTTTCAGTACTTGAATCTTGAGACAATGACTCACTATTACATGAATCACCTTCTGAGTCAACTTCATCATCTCCATCCGTAGATGTTCCGGTGATTCTAGACATCATGCTTCGAGCATTACGTGCAGCAACTCTCTGAGGTCTCAATGGCTTTCCTTTGGAAGACTTTCTCTTTGAAGCTTTTCTGCCACTTTTTGATTTTTTTGTCCTACGGGTTCCAGATATATAGCCATCCCGCTCATCCAAATATCTCTTTTTGACTCTTCTTCCTGATGAAGTCTTCAACTCAGCCTGAAAATAATACAATTTAGTTTTGAACAGGGTCCAACAATAATGAACACTAGTAGAAGGCTAAAGCCACTTACTTCAGGGTTGTATTTTCTCCTTCGTGATCTGCGAAGGCCATCTTTGTGATTACATTCAACCTCACTGTCTTCTTCACTGTTCTCTGTGCCTCTAGATGAGCTGGAAAATAATGCCCCCTGTTCACCTTCTGTTGAACATTCCTCGGCAACATTGTACTCTGAATCAGTGTCATCACTGATAACTTCATTTTCATGTTCCCAATACATGGCATCCACAAAATCAGGTAGAGGTTCAATCACTCTTTCCAAATCTTCCAAGGGTGGCATTTCAAAATCCTGGCCTAAACTGATATCTGGGCCAATAGCAAACTTTGTGGAAGATGGATGCCACTCAATACCCAGCGCACCAAGTCGCCGTTTCTGGTACATACTCTGATAAGGTTCTGGGTACGGAATCATGCCTAGAATTTCCCATCAAAATCATTAGCTAAAGTACATCAGAATAACATGCTAATCAATCCGCAAAAGCAGGAGTTGTAGACATACTGGAATCACAAATAAGATCTTGCGTGTTCCTACGATGCGGAGTAAACTGTGTTTCCTGCATCAAAGTTATATGAATAGCACATCAGTTGTAAACTGATGCACATGCATTGCACAGAAACAAGAACAATGCTTCAAATCTCCCCCAATCGTCTATGTTTTTTTTTTTGCAATGCATATTGATACTCTCTGGACTGACAAACATGAAATCTACCACAAATTAGTTTTAACATGGAGTTGCAACATACCTGATCAAGAGCATTTCCAGCAGAATCCCAAATAAGGGGGCGATAGTCCCCAAGAAAGAACTGCCAGAAAGCACAGACAACAACCTCATAAAGCAATTGAATGACACCAACTTATATTATGAGAGAAGGGCAAAAGGAAAAAAAGATAAATAACTAAACAAAGGAGAAAAGGGGAGATTTAGGCTCTACAAGCAATATTTTCATCTACCTGATCATACTTGGCATCCTTTTGGGACTCACCCTGGCCAGTGTTAAGCAAATATATCTGCCCAACTTCATCCGAAAGTACAATTGAGGTCCCATCCCTATTAACGGAAAAGAAGAATGTTACAGTCTCTTTACAAAGAACAATTCTTAAGATTTAACAAAATAGTTCAGATTTAAAATGCAGATAACAAGAATTACAAAATTAGTTTTTCAAAAAAAAAAACAATTGCAGGAGAAAGCATCAAATATAAACCACCAAAGATAGACAACTTAATAAAGCATTATTGGTTAGTTTCTTGTCATTCAAAATTCTAAGCACGTGTCATGCCAAATGCTTCAAAGGAGTAGGCAAGGTACTTTAATCCCACATCGGATAGGAAAGGAAAGGTCGTTGGGCATATAATCATTAGCGTTACACAACCCAATAAGCCAGTTTTGTGGAATGGCCATGTGACGTGCACTTCCCTCGCAAGGGTAAATTGTCGAAGTCAAAAAGTTAGGCACACATCATAAAATTCATGCTTTATCATTTTGATGCTCTACAACTTTTTCAATAGAACATCATGGTTGAGCAACCACATACAGACTAGAACAACTGGAATGCCAACAAAGCTAGAACAGTATACAAAGTAATGAGGAAGAGCATATATAATCCAAGTTTGGCATACAGCAAAAATTTGTGTGAAAAGATCCAGAAAAAATACTCTCTAAAAATCCTAAGCCTGCATTTTGTGGTTGTCCCATGAAGTATGAACTACTAGAGAATTAAGCATCTGATGTGAAGATAAGTACTTCAACTGAGCATACATATAAAAGCTTAACATGACCTTTTGTACCGTATTGACAGGTCCATACAGCCAAAACATCAAAACAATAAACAATAACTAGTTGATTTGATCATAAAACCAAGTCTGACAAGAGAATGTGTGCAGTCAAGGATCAAAAAATAGATGGACACAAACCAAAATATGGAATGCTATAAGGGTAAAAGCAATTGTATGGCTAAGAAGGATCAAGCCGATAACCCTTGTCTTGATATACAAACTTTTTCAGAATAATAAAAAGGGCATGTCATCTTTCCAACTAAAGAAAGCAAAGAAAAGAAATTAAAGGGTGAACACTTTCACTTACGGAGAAAACTTTCCATCAACCAACTTAAAACGACCAATTTCATATATCCGGATGGGTATGCCCTCCCATATCTGGAAATATAGTTCCCAAGGAACTCAATAAACATCAACACTTGCAGAAAATAATAAATAAACAAATAATTTGGCAGTTTCAGAAAAGTTAACATATCAGCAAGAACAAGAAACTCACATCCCAAACTATTGTTTTCCCATCATATCCAGCACTCATCGCAATTCGAGGGTTGAAAGGATGGACATCCAAAACATAAGACTGCCAAAAATTCAACACTGAAGTGAGGAATGACATTCTTTCCAACAAGATGACAACCAGTTCACAAGCAAAAGGATGTGCAGGAGCACCAAGGCAACAAATATGTGAAACACTACGAGAACAAATCAAATAATATTAATTGCAAGAAATTCATCTTAAATCTAGTGAACAAAAAACTGAAATCTGGCCAGCAAGTACATTGTGTTAATTGGAAATATTTTAATAATGAAGTTCAGCTTAAGCAAACGAAGTTCATTCAAGTTATCCTCTGAATTAAAAAGAAAAAAGAGCAACCTACAATCAACTGCATTTAGAAAGAGGTGAACAACACCAATGATGAAGAGTTCTTGTAACCTCGGAAGGAAATCATCTCTCTATAATTGTTTTGTCATGGTCAACAAGAAAAACAAAATGACAAACAAACCAATACCATGATCATATCAATTTGTTGTGAAGGGCAGGAAAGTGCTAGACACAACTTACTGATGCAACATGACCAGTCAAAGAATGTACCAAGCTACCATCAACAGCATTCCACACACATATTCTGCAATCTGAATTAACAACAAATAGTTGAGATCCATCAATAAACTAAATTAGCAATATTTTTTTTAAAAATACTAAATTACCAAAAGCAGCTGGAAAAGAAGCAAGACAGCATTTCATCACAACCTCAAGGCAACATAACCAGTAACAGTCATGTGAACAAAAACGAGAAAAAGCACAGACAGCTTTAACAATTACAAAATGGCCTAAAACTACCAGAAGTTTAACAATTAAAAAGAAAACTCGGCCAGTAACCAGTAAACTAAAAAGCCATATAACCTGATGAGGAAAAATGATGAAGGTTTTTATATTTTCAACAACAGCAACTAAAAGCATTTGCTTAAGAAGGAGTAGAAAAAAGATTCAGCATGTTCTACAATTTACAGCAGAAAGATTCTAATATAAACATGGGTTACAAGATACAGTTTTATTGATGGAGAACTGGAAGCATCTCAAGATATATAATAGCCTCTTATAACTTGCAAGTAAAAGCCCATATACCAAAAATAAGAGTTTACATATAAATTACCAACCCCCTGCAAAAAGGATAATAGGTTTAACTATAAGAACTTTAAAAAAGATCATGACAAGTATAAAGTCAGTCAAATGCTTTGCAGAAGACTATGTTTTCCATCTTCCTTGTATTTTTCCCCTCAACTTTTCATAAGATGTTAAAACATAACTATTTGAGAGCAGAACAAGAATAACAGCTACCCTTCAAAAGAAATTTTAGCAAAAAGTGGTGTACACTTCTGGAGGGCCTCTAAAGATGCACTTCAAAAGAAATTTCAAAATAATTATGCCAACAAACACAAAAATATACAGAGTAGGTTCCAACAAAATCAGAGCATAGATGAAGCAGATAAGTCTTTCCAGAATGTTGTGACACCACTAATAAAAATCAAAGAATAAACGCTAAAGGACACCAATTAAGAGCTGGTGGGTTTTGGGCACATATTTTATAACGATATACTGGATGCACATAAACCAACACAAGAAAATCATTACAGACATTTGAACTTAATGCTAAGTCTGCTAAGTTTTAAATAAACTTTCATCTTTATAATCACTACTTTACCCATTATAGCTGCTAGAACAAAACGATTATCGAGGCTCCAGACAATCATATTGACACCACGAGGAGTAGGGAGAAATCTCTGACGTGGGCCGCCTCTAGGAGGTTGAGGAGGTAGTGGGGGAGGTGGAACTTTCAGATGATATGCCTTTGTCCAACGTCCAACTTTTCCCTGTGAATGTGGAAGGATTGTAAAAGAATTAATCTTCATTTAGTTTCATATTGTTGAATTTAAATACAGCACAATAAACTTCATCGAATTTAAGTGCAACATAACTCCCAAAAAAGTTCTTTTTTTTAAAAAAGGGCATTTCTAGTTTAAGGCATTGACTGGAACTTCTTTGTGGTACATCAAAACAACTCACATGGGATCTACGTGATCTGGGAATCCAGATGATTGCACTACCATCACGAGAACAGGTAACAATGTTGTCCTGACAGAACCTAAAAACATTAAAATTAACGAAGTGAATCTCAAAAGCTAGATGACAATATTGAATACTAAAACAATAAACAGAAGATGAAAAAAAGAACAACTGAAGAAAGTCTTATGTTACAATATATCACATAACTTAGGAAAAGGACATTACAGACCAGGAATTTTTAAATTTTGGAATATTGTCCTCCTTCGTAACATCAGACATTGAGGATCTTGAAGGTACAGCACATCCACTGCACAAAAAAAGCAGAAAGAAGCAATGATATTTGTTGAAAAGAAGAGGTAAAAAAACAATAATAACAACATAGCTGGCAATTATAACTGACCAACCTAAATTGGACGTAATTAACATCATTTTCATGGCCAGCCAAAACATCCAGCTCATGAACTGGTTGTTTTGAATCATCTGTACTAGGCTTACAGGCAATCCAGACCTGCAAGTATCTAACTCTTACAAAAGAAATCTAAATGATATAGATCAGTCAAAGTTAAATAAATTTAACAGGATTGTATGTGAACCAAAAGATGCATTTGACATGTTCACATTGTTTAGACGCACCCTGGCAAAAGTGTCAGAGCTACCAGTGACAAAAACTGTCCCATTGACGTTGAATGCACAACATAATATTTGATGGGTTTGTGGAACATTACTTGAGGAAGGTCCATTATTAGATGGAAAATTGCTCCTCCCTGCTCAGAACTTATCAGTTTCAGTGTAAGTTCAAAGTACACAATACAACCATTAACAAAACAATCAAGAAGCAGTTCTCCAACCGATAGCAGCTTCAGAAGGCTTCGGCACGTATATGTGTGGGCTACAATGTGAATATCTAGCATCCCAGATTCGACAAGTCCCATCATCAGATGACCTACAAATGTTAACAGAGCAAATAACAAAATTAGTTATCAACTAAAGTGCCATAAATTTATGATTTGCTGCCTCCCAGCCAAGTATGATAGAATAAAGTGTCAACATCAAAGACACTAGATTGAAAGCTTCCAGATAAAGCTTCTTAGAATTAGAAGAAACACCAAATAAGTAAATGCTTACACATGTAACAAACATATATAAAACCTAAATCAAAGACTCTACTATCATAGCAGATCAACTAACTGAGAGAAGCTACAACAGGAAACTGCAACTGAGGAAATGAGGCTCACGATAAAAGCTGGAAAGCAAAGGCAGGCCTGGGATTAAATGCAATAGCAGTAACAGCACCAGTATGCCCTCGTAAAACTGACACTGGCAACCCATCTGGCAAGCGCCACTGTAGATCATAAAGAACAAATTAGTTATCCAAGAGTAGAAAGAGTAGCATCTTGTAAAGCAAGGTAAAGCATTCTTACAACTCGAATCACAAAATCATTCGAAGCAGAAGCCACCAAAACATTGTTTGAACTAACAGCCAGGTCTGTTATGTCACCCTAAATTGCAGGTAACAAGAAAATTACTTCAGCTAATGTAGTAAAGAAATAAAAAAACTACAGGCTAAACTGATAGATCATGAATGTCATATATCAAATAGACAATATGAACTCACTTCATGTCCACGGCAACTGGCCAAGCAAAATGCAGTTTCCATGGACCAAATTTTGACAAGGCGGTCATCTGAACCGGTAATAACATATCTCCCAGAACGATCAAATATGGCTGTAAGACAAACAATATTTGCTTAGATCCATTATCTATTGATGCTAGAGCAGTTGTACAAATTATGCACATGATCTCTACTGACCTAATATAGAGTTTCATAAGGAAAATAGAATGAGAAATAGAGTAAGATTATTCCTATTCAGTGAGAAGAAAGGGTTCTTGTAAGCTTTTTCAGTTATCTTAACAATAAAACCATATATTTGGTCAGATATTTAACTAATACAGATCTTCCAAATGCTGAACTCAGGGTATAAAAGTACCTGGAGAAAACGGCATGGCCAACAAAGAGGTTGTTTTTTTTTTCCCCATAAAATAAGGTCTCAAAGTAATTATATAGGTACCAAATGGCAATATAAATTAGAGACAAGAAAAAAAAAACCATAAAGGAAAAAAGATACTAAGAAAATTTCAGGGAATAACAACAAAAACAGTAAGTGCAATTTCATTGATCATTTTAGTGACAGCCAAGCTATTACTCACACTGGAACAACTCAAAAAGGCACTAGGTTACAAAAGAATGAAAAATATTGAAGTCAACTATGAAATTCTTTTCCCTAGGCATTTAAAATGCCTAAAACACATGTTAAATATCCAATCTAAAACCAATTGGCAATAGGTTGAGAGACCCAACTTAAATATAAGACCACAGGAAACCCAAGACTTAACAGATGTGGAATAACACCAATTAACAACACCAATTAACACTCCCCCTCAGATCTAGCTCAACAAGGGGCCTATACGTGGGCAACCTAACAAGGAGTAACAGGCAAGAAAAACATAACAAACTTGGGCTCTAATATCATGTTAAGCATCCAACCTAAAATCAATTGGCAATAGGTGAAGAGGCCCAACTTGAATATAGGACCAGAGGAAACCTAAGACTTAATAGATGTGAGATAATACCACTTAACAATACCATATATATTATTTAAAATTGTATACTTCGAAAATAAAATACCAAACACAATCTTTAAAACCCTACACTTACAGAAAAAGCAAAACTAATTGATATATAAAATAGCCTAACTAACTTATGTATAAATAAAATCACAATTAAACTCATTAAATATAACAAAATTATAAAACATAAGCTTTAGTTCAAGCATCTCCCTTCCATGCTGCAATAACCTCTCACTAGAACTTTCTTGTGTTCCAATCAGCAAAATCAGAAAAAAACGAATGAATGAATGCTACCAAAAGAATATAGAAGAAAGGTAAATTCCAAAATTTGAGTTGGACAGACAATTTGAAGCCAAAAAAATTGTTTAAACAGACATATTTCATTATTTGCACCATATTTCATCATTTTTTGGAGAAAAGAACCCCAAAGCACTACCAGACATACCAGGAAATTGATAATGCTTTCAAATTCCAAGGGTTTCTTTAGATACTAACAATACCATATGAGAAATATCTACAGGAATGAAATTCCCTAAAAAGCAGATTTTAACTGTAAGTTCAGTTGATCATACCACAATAGACAGCATTTCGATGTCCCCTCAACTTCTTTATATTCTGCATCTTTTGCACCATGGTAGATGGTTTAGCAATAACATAGCATGCAGAGCGAACAGAGGGAGCTCGGTGGTGCTTTCTGAAACCTCCCCCAATTTCTCTTATACTTAGGCCCCGAACTTGATCAGCTTGCATATGAGGCCAACGAAGATAGGCAGGCATACGCTTGCCCTGCCTATTCTCATTACTCTTGTCAGCTGCATAACAGAAAGGTAAAGTTGCCAAATAAGAAGACATACTAAGCAACCATCTAAGGACATAAATCATGGAAGTGAAATACATTGATAAAGCAATACTTTCGTCATCCTTCCCACAATCAAACTACAAATACAAAACTGCCTTAATTTACAATTCTCATCTGTAGAACACAATCCAAATGGAAAAAGTTGCAGCAGGGGCAGGGCAGTGGTCAACAGACAGTGCATAAAGTAACACTATGGAAGTAACACATACAATTCAAAAGTGAAAAGGAACCAGATCCCAATAATGTAGGGACATCAGCAGCATTTGGAGAACAGGTATCTCCCACAGCTTTGCTGCACAGTGCACACAGTAATTGCTTCAGAAGCTTTACCAAGTGATCCTTCTCAATATGAGGATACCTGAAAGTTATACGAGGCAGAACTTAGTACTTTGGACATGGAACCAAGACTGAACAATTAACGAGAACATAAAAAGTAAATAAATAAAAGAAAAGATTGTTTCTGGGCAAGTTAATCTATCCCAGCCAATTTTAAATAAGATGTGGGGTTAAATACAGCATTTCCCACCATTGATTCGTTACCTTTAGTTTGACTTTCGATGATTCATTATGTAATCAATCAAAGGGCAAGCAATCATGTCTACCATATTTCAAGTACACTTGGTTTGCTTAGGGAAAGGCTATTATAGACCTGTATTGTTCATCAAAAGGAAGAAAAACAACAACTAACCAGCAAGCAAGTATTGTTTTAAAGGGGAAAAACATGGAGTTAGGCACTGTTAAAAATGTGAGGAATAAGTGGCTAGCATTATGGACTACAAGATAAGCTATCATGATATCAAACATATGTAGTGTAAAGTTTTTTAATAAACAGAACCACAAAGTTCAAAACTCTTCTTTAACATTGATGATTAATACCAAATTATATAAGATGCACACATACCTCTCCACTAAGCTGTTATAACTTAATGGGAAGGAGATGCCATCATCATCATCATTCCCACTACGTGCACCACTTCTTGAAAACCAAGCATGATATCTTCTCGGTAAAAGCTGATGTTCTAAAAGTTCGTTTGATAACTGTTCAAAAGTTCTCTGGCAAGGGCCAGCTGACAGAAATTGCATTATCAAGAAGTAAATTTCTCTAAGATCTATATCTACATTGGTCTTAGCAGTGCGATCTGTAACCCTCCTTTGCTGCTCAACCAAAGCCTTCTCTGGAATTGTAGTTGAGACATTCAAAGGTGCCTTGCAAAGAGAGGATGCACCAGCAGAAGACGAACACTTCCAGTCCATGTTTGGCGCAATCCAACCTGAGGTAACCAAAAAAAAAAAAAAAAAACAGTAATGGGAAAATGAACTCATAAATCATAATGGTAGTTTATTAATTGCAAGCATCAGCAATCATAGCCAAAAAAAAAAAAAGACTAAAAGACATAACAAGGATGTTCCACGTAAGAAGACGGGCAGCTAGTAACTCAATTCAAGGACAATTATAAGCTAATTCTCAGCAAATTTATTCTCGTAACAGTTGTCACAGCCGGAACCTATAACATTCCATTGCTGGAGTCTAAAACAGATAAAAGTCAATACCTAAAGTTTCAACGCTATCCGGATAAAAGAAACCCTAATTACAAGTAGAATCCTTAGGGTTTAAAACATTATAATTAGAAAGAAAAAAAAAAAGGAAAGTATACTTCGATTTAAACCTTCAATTTGTTAAAAATACTTCCAAACTTCAGCATTTAGCCATTTGCATGAGCAAACCAGTCAACAAAAAGAGAAGCAAACAGCAAAAAAATCTCGCCTTACAATATCTAAGGAAAAAAGCATCAAATTGGAAGGTATTAACAATCAGAAACAACAGAAAAAATTAAAATTAAAGGGTTCAAGATCTAATCGAAAAGTCACGTGCAAAAAAAGCAGCCAGGGAGAATCAAAACATAATTTCATAATCCAAAGTAGAAAATTAAAGATCTTATTACCTTAATAATTAAAGTCGATTTAGAGAAGGAACATGGTGCGCGAGCTTTCCTTTACTTCGCAGCACTAATTTGGAGAGCTTTGTTTAGTTACTACAATTTAAAAAAAAAAAAAATGTTAATAAAAAAAGGAAGCAGAAGAAGAAGAGGGTTGAGGAAAGATAACGAGAATCGAGAAGTAGCCAAAAAGTTACATTATGAAAATTTGAGTTTTTGCTAATACTACAACTTGTTTTCTGGTAAAGTTTTAAAAAGAAAGAAAATTGATGGAGAAAAATATTTTAGGACAATGGCTGAAGGTGTGCTAATTATTAGTAAAGCTAAGAAAATAATTTTCCTAGTAAATAAATAAAAGTAATAGAACAGGGGAAACTAGAGAGCGCTTTGGGGTTTTCAGACAATTAAGCCCCCATGTTAGAGGCGGCCTTTGACAATTTTCCGCTCATAAAGAGCTGAAGGAATTAGGGTTAAAATGGACTTTCAATCAATTGTTGGTTAAAAAGTCAGAAAGGGGGCTTTTGGAATTGCGAGCCGTTGTTGGTTGATATTTATTATTTCCTCTCTTTTAATTTTTTGAGTAATTATTATTTCTCTAACATTGTTGTCTTTGTCTGACAGAAATAAAAATAGTAATCAACCAGAATGCACCAAAGGTATTATAACTAGCAAACCATTTAATTACACTATATCTAGTGATTTTTTTCCTTAAAATAAATTTGCAAATAGAAAAAATAACCTTGGCTGTTGATAAATTTAAAAAAAAAAAAAAAGAAGAGAAAAATGTAAAGATGCCATTTGTGGGAATCCGTTATAATTTTTTTTTAATCATTTTCGCGAAACTGAGACTTCTTTTCTCCAAAGTAACGGTTAATGACACATCGACACTCCGCGACTCCATCCCACAAAATATATTTGATTAATTACTTGCTCCTTTATTGATATTACCATATTTTTTTCACATAAAACCATGAGCAAACGAAGCTGTTCGCTAAGCAGTTACCCATACTCCACAGTCGAAACTAGAAAGGCAGATAAATAAATGTCAGCACAGCCTAATCCTGCAGTTCTCAAGAATCAGTTAGCCTCACCATCATAATTCACAAAGAGTTAAACACAACTTTAAAAAAAATAATAAGAAAAGAGTTAAAAGAGAAGAGACAATGTTTTATCATGGTTAGTTAACAAAGAGAAGTAACTCCGCTGATTAATCACTTTTCCATCTCATGTTTCAAATGAGGTAGAAACTCTAGCAATGCTGAGTACCTACACTAAGAAAAGGTACACTGGATAACTATATGTTAAATCCAACAACTTAAGAAAGGGATGTGATTATAAGCTTTTCCCTCTCACGTTTCCTTTCAGATGCTGGTGGATGCAGCTTACTGTTGTGTTTCGGGTTGCTTCCAATTGATTTAGGAACTTCAGGCATCAATAAAACGAATATCAAAGGTGTGGGGATGTATCTGCCACACGTTTAAGGCAGCATATTCCTCTAAACATTCTTTCAACTGAGCTTCACTATATCCCTGTTAAAACAAAAAAATTTAAGCACTAAGAAACTTCACATAATCTTGACAACCAAATATTCATATTTCAGTCTCCAATAGAACAAGAATTAACATGCCAGAAGACAACTCATCCGAATATAAGCAGTAAGAATAAGCAGCTAACTTTTAAGAGTGCTAAAACAGAAGAATAATACATCTATACCCACCAAAAAATGTCAACTGCTAGAGTTGTTTGATTAGATGAATCAAATCATCTTACTACTATTATTTACTGGTTTTTTTAATTTCTTGTAAGGGCATATAGAGTGACATACACCATAAAAACCCATTGGTTATTGCTAAAACCACGCTCAGGGTTATAGGCTACCACATTAACTGAATTGTGCTCGTAATAAGTTACATTTTGTCATAGCTTCTACGTTAAGACAAAATTTATTTCCATCAAATTGCAGTTCTACAGAAATCCTAGAATATCATTGTTGGTAAGTTTGTTTCTAGAGATGAAAAGTCAAACAGCGACCACAAGGCACTCCATGCTATATTATTGTCCTTTGGAAGGTGACTGGCTTTCAGTGTCAGATAACGTTTCATTTTGCTAAATAATAAGCAACAATAGCTCAAGTTCAACTCTCTTATATCGAGAACAAACCTTTCTAGAAATCCAATTCAGTGCATGGGCATAGCTCACATCCATCTTGTTAGCCCTTGCAGCTTCATCCCGTAAGATTGAATATATATCTGATATGGCGTCCAGACCAGATTTTTGACGATCATCAGAATACAAAGAGAACTTTGACATTTGCATCAGCCTAAGAGCCTCATCCACATCACTCTGGGCCACAGTTTCAGAGAAACGAAGCCTTGATAGTGCCTGTGAGAAAATTATATCAATTTCATGTCAATTTGCAATTCAAATAAGAAAAAACTGCTCCACCTAAAAGCAGATGTTTTGCACAAGAAATTCTGATTGTCAATCCAAAAGATAATTTCATCGTAAACAACTGTTTAAAAAAAAAACAATTTTATTGTAAACAATAAATCTGAGAGCATTGTGGCACCTACATTTCAGATCCAGATATCCCACATCCTTTCCGCCCTTCTCTTTGCCCAACCCAAAGAAAAGTCACCTTCCCCAGCCCGTTTAAGCAGACCAAGGAGTAGGAAGGTATTATCAATTATAAATAAAAAATAAGTAAAGAACATCAGGACTTACTGCTGATATCCTAAGAATGCTGAGTAGAGTCCTCACAGTAGTATACGAATGTGGTGTATTTGATTTAGCTTCTTCTTGCCGAATGCTGGAATATGCTGTGGCAATATACTCTTCCAGCTCCTTTGGAACATAAGGGGATAATCTTCTTGCAGCAGAAATATATGCACTACAAACCAAAAACAAAAACCAGATAAAACAATATCCATAGAGAAATCAAGGCATCTATGAAGTTTCCTGACAAACATAGTGGTGGAACTTCAAGAAAATCAACAAATTTAAGATATCAATACATGTAGCTAATGAAGACATGTAAAATGAAAAGGAATAGGTATCTACACAACACATAGGACACTGTCAACTAATGTAACAGATCAGCTTTCTTCAAATTCAGAAAGAACATATGCAGGAAAAATTCACAGCTTCTACTGGCTCACATGACTTTGCAACCCAAGTTTATCAAGTTCATAAAAATTAAAACCTAGTCAGCAAAATGACTTGCTTAAATAAAGTTATACTTTAATCAAATGGGAAAATAGTCATCGATAAAGTTCAGACAAGTTTTCCATGTAAGAGGAATTATGGTGCTTACCGAAGAACAGATGGTTCAAGTGGAGTGAACCCAAGAGCAGGAGATTCTTTATTCTGGTGTACATAAACAACATGCCTTGCCATCTCAAGATCAGCATCCATATCTGCTCGATCTAGGATCAACCAAAGTAGATCAAATCTTGACAGCAGGGCTGGAGGGAGATTGATATTTTCTGCTGGAGTTCTGCGTAGGTCATATCTTCCCCTTCAAAACAAGTTATATGACTCAAGTTAATAAATTTGATTTTGCATATAGATCAATTACTCTCATAAAGAAGGAATTCACTTCTTTTTCTCCCCCACTTATGTCCCCTTTCAATTCATGAAAGGAAATTGCCAAAAATAATATAATGTCACATGGAAACAACTTTGAATGACCTACAACATTCTCACCAGGCTGGATTAGCAGCAGCAAGAATTGCAGTTCTTGCATTCAGAGATGTGGTGATCCCTGCCTTCGCAATACTGACAGTCTGTTGCTCCATAACTTCATGTATCGCTGTACGATCAGATTCATCCATCTTGTCGAACTCATCAATAGCACATATACCCATATCCGCTAACACCTGAAACAGGGTCAAGGCGTCCCTATTAGCTCATAGGAACCTTGGAAATAATAATTAGAAGAAAGGGAGCATATTTGACATGAGATATACTAAATATATTGTAAAACCAACTGAAAATTATAACCATTAACAGAACAAGGCATAATTTGTAACATGGGCGATACAGAAGAAAGGTTGGCATGATCACATGATTCTCACAGTAAACAGTTACAGTAGCCAAATTCTTCTAAGCCATCTCATACTCATAAAACATTCAACTTAAATACAATAAATTATAGTGCAAAGAAAAGAACAGATCTCACCAAGGCTCCCCCTTCCAAAACCATCTCATTTGTGACAGGATCTTTCTGCACAGCTGCAGTTAAACCAACTCCACTGCTTCCTCTGCCAGTGGTATAGACTCCCCTGGGTGCTACATTTATAATGTGCTTAAGGAGCTGACTTTTGGCAACACCAGGATCACCCATCAAACAAATATGTAAATCTCCTCTGATCTGCAGTGTAACCATAAGTCATTAAAATGCTATTAGTCTGTCTATATAAAAATACAAAATGAAGCAAATACAAAACTATAAATTAAAGAAGTAAGTGTAGAAAACAAAAAGAAAAAATATTCTTTGAATGCTGGGAGGGGTGGAAGGGATGGAAGGGAAGTGGGGAGAATAATGTCACATTGCTCATAGGCACAGCTTGAACTCTTCAAGTAAAATAACAATAAAAAGATTTGCCCAATATTTGTAGTGAACCATATTATTATTGATAAATGATAAGCAGAAAAATGACTGCCAGCAAATAGACTAAAAGAAAACATAAGATTGACATATCACCTTCATCCCATCCTTCAGCTTCCGGTGTGGAGCACCCACAAGAAGAAGAAGCAAAGCTTTTTTAACATCTTCATGTCCATAAATTTCAGGTGCTAATGACCGTGCCAACTTGTTATAAATGCCACCATCCTCAGCTAATCGTGCAATTTGCTCTTCTTCATCTCCCCTAAGTTCATACCTGCAGTAGAGCACAATTGAGTATAAATACAGGCACATTCATATTGTTTAGCTCATAATTTGTTTCAGTATATTGAAATGCAAGATCTCCGTTTCAGATGCCTTCTTTACAAGCTCACATACTGACATTATTAAGCATAAAGATGGATGTTAACCACAAGTGCATTTTGGTGATGAGTTTAGGAAAGTGGCTTACTGTTCATATTTTTTCTTGAAATGAGTGACAGACATGGCTTCCAAGTACGTATCTGCAACTAATCCAGCACGCATTGCCCTAAATCCGGTGTAAGGAATAGGAAGAAAGATCCCTGATAATTCAACAACATCACCTGGAGCTACCTGAATTTGACGGACAAGGTAGAATATAAATAAAATGTTAGCACAAAGGAGTTAAATTTCATTATGAACAGGTGCAAAGTCTAAACTGAGGTATTTCATGAAACCAACTTTCTAGGTATTTCAGCTACAATGAAATGAACATGAACACCAACCTTTCTAGTCATTTCCCCTCTAAAATGAACTGTCATTGACCGTGGAATGTGGCCTTTTGGAACATGTTCTGCCAACTCTTGAATCTTGGCCTGGAAAAAATTATCTTACACATTACAAACAACGCAGAATGACTTCTTAATGTTTTCTTAATAAATCATGTTAAACTAGAACCTCTTGAAACTTCAAAAACTTGGATGCTCTAAGTTGAAGGATAAGGTTCCCCTTCGTCCTGTTCACTAAACAACGCTTTGATGGGCACTCGAACAAGGGCATGAATACTCGAGCAGTTACATCCTGTTTGGATAATGAATGGAAAGAGAAAAAATAAAAGGTAGTATAAAGGAGAAGAGGCCAAACTGACATTTTAAGATCCCTTAAAAATCAATTAAAAAGATAACTATGGCATATGATATCTGGCATGAGTCCTTTTTCTAGATGACTATTCAACTATCAAATTAAACAAAATTGCATTGAACCAAAGAGAATATTCAATATTTAGACAGCAAATCTGACAAGAGTTAGTTACCTGGTAAATTTCATAGCCACATTCTTCACATGTGTACACCGCTACCTGCATCAGAGGCTTAACATCTGAACAACGGGTCACAATACCAGATATTTTTACAAGCTGGCCAATATATGAAGCCTTCACCTCCCTAATGGTAAATGGCCTCCCTTTTGAAGGTGCCCTGATATAAACTTCACTGAATCCAAAATAAGTGAGCATCAGCCAATGCAATTATATGTATCACGAACAGAGTAGATATTGCAACAATTTAAACAGAGTAAATGCATAATAAAGATTCTAAACAATATACCTAATATGGATATCTTAAGATCACATTATACCAGAACCAAAAAGAGCTCTTGTAACAAATTTATCCACAAACAACAACTTACAAATTGCAAACCTGACCACAAAACAATAAACTGTAATTAATATCAGATAGCATCTAAAGCTAGCAGTGTTTTGACTTAAGATTGCATTAATTCGGGGAGCACCATTTTTAAATGGAACAGTCAGCAACCACTTGCCATAACCAACCTTTTCGTTTACTTGGTAAGAAAAACAGAAAGCTGGTAGAAAATGCTTTTCATTCTAATGGTTTAGTCATATAAACTCCATCCTACACCTCAATTCAATGGTTCATTTCCCACACAATAAGGATAATTTGATTAAAAACCTACAGAAACCCTAAAATACCAACATAAAACTGAAATTAACATATAAATCTCTTAAGGAGAATTTAGAACAGGTTAAGTGCGTTAAGAGTGAAAGAGTTGTCGTCTTAAAGCTTACTAGTAACGTTTAATCTCAGGAGGCATCTTCTGACGTTGGTCAGACCCATCTGCATTATTGGTTCCGTCCTCAGCTCTTTGTGTCATCAATATATCATGATCATCATCATGAAAGGCCTCAGTGGGCTCCGGCAAAAGCTCTTCGATTGCAGCAGCGAAAATTCCAATGTATCTTCGAGTGTTCTCAGTAACCCGCCTGAGAAATTCCTCATCCAAGTCTTTGTACTGTGAAAAAGCAAATTAACTAAATTAAGGGTTTTTAAGTAAAAATAATAATAATAATAACGGTGACCAAGAATAAATTAAGAGGAAAATAGGAGAAAAAAACTTACGTTAAATAGGTCCTCAAGATCGATCTGCACTGCTCTAATTTTACGGTTTGCAACATCTTGCTGAAATAGAGAAAAAGTTTAGGGTTGAAGGAAAGATAACAAAAAAAAAAAAAATACTAACAATTTTCTGATTATTTTCAAGTAGAAAAACAGAGATCTAGGGTTTCAAATTGGAGAGGATGACGGGAAAGAAAGAGGGAGACTCACAAGGATGTTCATGTATTTGGCCTCGCCATTTGCATCTGCGAAGTTTGAGAGGAACTCTTTGGCGAGAACTGTTAGGAAATCAAAAACAAAAACAAAAATCAGGGAAAGGATAAATCCAGCAGAGATAGCAAGAGGGGATAGGGCGCGAAGAGTACCTTTGTCGGCGTTAAAGTCGAGGTCCTTCATGGTTCAACTTCACTGAATGTGAGAGAGTCAACGAGCGAGCGAGCGAGCGAGAGAGAAAGAGATGTGAGGATGAAAATGCGAAGTGGGCAGGCAAAACAATGAGATTTGACGGCAAAATATGAGAAGGGAAGTACGGTTTTGGCGGGAAAATGGGTGCTAGAATTTGATACATTGTAGCCAGGTGTAAGTTGTAAGCTTGTAACGTCGTGCGCGGAAGGTGATGTATGCTCTTGATGGACTTTGTAGACAGAGTATGTAGTTCTATAGGCGGTTAGTTTATCGCAGCCGTAAGATTCTAGAGAATGAGAAAGAATCAAAAAGTGATGTGGCTGCTGGGATTCGAGCCCAGGTCTCTACGGCCACAACGTAGAATTCTAACCACTAAACTACAGCCACAGTTGTTGATGCACAGCCGATTTACATTTTTTAGAAACTAATAGAAAAAAAAAGAAGGGAATAATCGATAATTACACATGACATTGCAATCACAATACGCATTTTAAACATTTTTAGTTTAGTCTCGTTGAATGGTTTTTTTGTTTTTTTCTTCCCTTCTAGGGGAAGCGTGTTAAAAAGAAGATTAAAAGTAACTCCAATATTCAGCTGCTTGCCATCATTTGGTAAATCATAGGATGCTAACGGTATAACTAAATTAGAAAATTATGTCACCCTGGAGCATTTTGATCCTGAATAATCACTTACGACAATGTCATAAAATATTACCAATAATGACATATTATATCAAGAAATTTTAAACCGCCTCAAGCTTGGCAAGCAAATGATTCATGTTACTATTAGACCATCTATCAGTAGTCTCCAATAAAAAGTGGACTAAAAAGGAAGTGAGAAGCCGGATAATTCATGTGGGTGTTGGGATTTTAATGTGTTCTCAGTTGAAAGATATGAGATATCCATGAGCTACAAGGACCCTTCCACGTATAGATAACTGGAATTTTTGTTGCATTTTCATCATTTCATTCAAGAATTTCCCATCATTGTGACAGACGAGAAGCTCTGCAAGTGTATTGGTTGTACTCGAACAATGACTCATTTCAAAATGGTTTTTCCCAAGTCATAGAATCCAAAACCCTCTGATGAATCAGATCAACGGACTACACACGAAATATGCCAAGATGTAAGCAGCAACAATTGAACTTGGAATATCCTTCAGGAATTTCTGTATGAACCTTTGGACGAATGAATCACATCAAAGTAACTGAATCAGAGCAATCCATACCAATTTCACTTTCCAACATCTAGGGGGTAATTGGATTCTGTTCCTTCAATTTTGCTAACTTAGCTTGTATAAGTCTGTCCAAGATTGGAGGCTCCAGAGGTGTCGGGTCAAGACAACGCTCTGAAGCAGCAACAATCACCTACCAAACAGAAATAACACCCACATCTTCATTAGTTACCAGTGGAACAAAAATTAGATAAAAACGAGCAATAAACAGTAATTATAGGATATGAAAAGATCAAAGACCATAATCAGGGAATTTTTCTATCACCTCATCAAGTAAAAAGTCAATTACTGCTTCATCTTCAACAATTTCCTTTAAAGGAGTCCTTAAGAACTGAATATCCAGCTGAATTTGCTGGAAACCACTTCGATTAAAGGTCTGGAGTCTGACAAATTCTTGCAAGCTTTTAAGACAAAGTTTTACAATAGTTGTTACAACTGACTCCTGCAATTACAAGCAAACTCGGTTCATTTTGTTTCAATAATATTTTCCCACTAGCACAAGAATTCATAGGTTATACCTGTGTATATTCAACTTTCGTAAAAATTTCAACTTTTTGCTTGAACAATTTTGCTAGATGTGTTTCTAAGAGCTGGCTCCTGGCTCTCTGGGTATTTGACCTACTCATTTTATCATCTCGTAATGGGTTGCTACGTGATGAGGTGGTGCTTCCATTGCTGTCAGACCGCCAATGCTTACGCAAGAGCCCTTGAGGTAAAATCTGCTTCACCTCAATTCCTATTGCTTTCAACTAGTGCAAAGAAATTTGAGGTTAAGCACAATACATCTTAGAAGTTTTGCATAATCAGAATATTTAGACATATTGAAATATGCAGGAAAAAGATTTAAAAATTGTATCCTTGTCCAGTCATAAAAGTTAAAAGAGAAACTAACCTCCTGAAGAAATAAATCAACAAACATATGAACTTCTCTAGGCTCCTTGTGCTGCAGATATTAAAAATAAAAAATTGTGAAGGGTTCAAAAGTTGAATACCGAACTATTTTCATGATAGAAATTTCTTTCAAAATTAAGGATTATAGCACAGCATACTAGCCTTGACCCAGTTTGGTGTTGAAAACCTCTTTCTTAGCAGAGCAGATACCCTCTGAGTTCTCATATTTACATACTGTGAAATGGAACAAAATGAACTTATAATTAACAATTAGGCAACTGGCTTTGCTTAAATTAAAAGATATCTGAAATGGTCTATCCAATGCCAGAAAATAAAAATCATCAAAATTAAATATGTGCTCCCTTGATACAGCGAAATGGCATGACCAACAACAATCAGAATTTTCCAAACTGATCAACAGAATCGGGGTAGAACAAATCCCACAGCTCTAATATAAGTACTACTTTCAGTAAAGTTCAAAATGAAGAAAGGAATCAATTCCTACATGATGCAAAAGCTTTTCCCCAGCCGACCGAAATATTCGACATATCTCCCCAGGAACAAAAGCAGGTCCATTTTCAATGCCTCGAGCACCACCGCCAGAGAAGGAAGCAGCTATTTCCTGTCAATAAAACATGAAAACATGACAGAAGCCCAAGAGAGTAGGGAGTGTACTAGAATTATTCCACTTCACATTTTGAAATGGTTGTCAGCTGGTAACATAAAATTATTAGGTGATGACAGTAAGTTGCCTCGGTAATTCTTGGGATGACAGTTTGTTCAATGAAGATGGAAAGTTGAGCCAGCACGAGGACAAGACCAGCAAGAACTTTTTCACTGTGTGCTCCTTCTGTCAAACCTTGATCCGGACTTGATGAATTCTTTCTTCCAGAAAGCAAGAGAAAACGATCATCAAGAGCACTTAAGAAGCCCTGAAATCCTTCTTGAACCCAATCAATTATGAAATCTCTCAGTTTAACTAGCAGCCCTAAGTCATCATCAAGAAATTGGCAGAAATCCTGCAATAAGCAAATAGATTAAAAGAGAAGCCCAATGAATAAACATACAATACAAATTCTTGTGCAAAGAATAATGAAAAACATAAAGGTACAAGTTCAAAAACAGAATGCAAATAACAAAATAAATGGCAACATACATAACCCACCGAAAAACAAAGCAGCTGCCAAATTAAGGCCATTTTTCAATCTAGAAAATATTTCAAGCATTTACAAATTCATTTATATGCATCCAAATAAGAGAGAAAAATGCAGATGATCAACATAAAAAATTGACTCGCATTATTTACACAAAATAGCATATAAGGGATGCAAAGTTTGAGTCGTTTCTGCATTCATAAAACAAGAGTCTCTTCAGCATCTCATCAGTTACCAGTAAGACATCCATGCTGCCTTGGAGCACTGCTTTTCTGCTGGCCTCCAAAGCAACCTGCAAGGGGTGCTCCTCTGCTGCCTCTTTTGGGCTAACATTTACTCTCAGGAGGACATCTGCAAATTGAACAGAATGAACTCAGACTTCTAAGGTAATTTTCATTAGATAAACCTACATCAATCAAAAAGAATCAAGTTTATTCAACTTTTCAAACTTTTAAAAGTTTATATAGAATCTATGGATACGTATGATTTAACACTTAGTGCACCTATCATTTTTCATAACCAACTCCCAACTAAACATGCATTTGAAAATATTAATGATGCAGCTATGGACATCAACTCTAGAATAGCCACAGTTGTGAATGGCAGATCATAAATATCGTTTTGCTTGAGCCGGATTAGGTTAATTACATTTTAGTCAGAATTCAAGTGAACAAGGAATGGAGTCTAAAAAATTGGAGAATAGGTTAATCAGATCTTCTTTAGACCCCTATCATGAAATAGGTAAAAACAACATGCCCACCATAGTAAATCTAATTATGTTGTTATCTTTTGGGTGATTTGAAACTCCAAAAGAGTAGAAATAATTTTTCAGGAACAGCAACAGTAAAAAGAACCTGATATGTCCTGTAGAAGGTAAGTAAATGTACTGGCAACATACTTTTTAACAGCACCTTGGGCAGCCTGAGACCACATAGAATATCATTATATGGAGCTCCATCCCTCAATATGAAAACTAAGTACCTTTCTACTCAGATCAGAGGAGGACGAAATGCAATAAAGATTAAAAAGACAAGGGTTTCAAATGAAATTCAAGAAAGACCTCCAGAGAAAAATCGGGTAGAACAGCCTCATGTAACACTTCATCCATTAGAAGCACATCTGCCCATATAGTCCCTACAATGGATTTGGCACTCGATAAGAAAAGTTTCAAATTAATTTTAAGTTTCAAAATAAGAAGAAAACAAATACTATAAAATATATATATATATATATATATATAAGCTGTAAATCAAGTTATTTCATGAAAGCAGGACAATAAATAATTTCAACAAACTCAGAAGCAAATAAATTTGAGTCCACACCATCATTAGCAAAAAATAATGGTATCAAGAATCAATCCTCATGGAGGCATATATTCAACAAGCACAAACATCCAGAACACTCCCTTGTCTCCATCAAGAACGATATGCTAAAGACATCTCCAAATGTCAAGGAAGATAATAAATTACTTGAATTATGCAGACACTTTAGAATTTGCATTTGTAAATAAGGATAGACCTTTTAATTAGTTATGTTAAATATTTGGAGTAGCATTGCCGAAATCATTGAGAATAAGTGAGAAAAAGCACATGCACACTACTTACGAAGAACACCCAGGAGATTGGCAGAAGAAATCCGTCTCTTTACATATTGCTCAGTTGTTTCAAAGTGACTAAAGAAAAGCCAGCATGTGAGTAAAATGTTGTCATGCTTTGTACACTGAGACACAATAGAGTTAGAACTTGTAAAACAATGGGAACTCTAATGAAGCTGCTTACTTGATGACCAAGTCTTGTGCAAGTGTAATTAGTTGCCTTCCTGAGTCAGGAAATATTATTCGATAAGCACGGATGGCCTCCGCAAATTCACGAACAGAAGCCTAATTTAAATAATTGACAACAAAGGGGTTATTCATTAATCTATCTAGATGGCACTTTTCCTCCTCCCCACTCCCCCCAGCCTCCTTTTCATTTTAGGGATACTGGGGATGACAGATTTAACCACAATTAAAGAACATAAACACAAAAACAGAGTCCAATATTCTAAATTAATAAGATATCAATTTGGGAAAAGACATCATCTGGTCATTAACAAAGATCCACTAACAAGGATATAAAGCACAAATCTACAAGCATTCAACTCCAAACAAAATTGTAGAAAATGTTTGGTCACTGGCCTACAAATGTAATATTAAGCATACGTTGGATAGTGAAGATATTTGTTTAACATTTACCTTAATAGACAGCTAGAATTGCAATGGAGTAGTAAAATATTTCATGCATCATGCTGCATTATGCAGCACCCTTATCATTGAAGACAATGAATCCTCAAAAGTAGAAGGCAAGAATTTCCCCAATGTGAGACAGGAGTTTCACAAAAGAACTTGCATTATCAAAAATTAACATATTTCAAAGAACCAGCCATTTGCTTTGCACAAAATCGGTTTCCTTTTTCCTTTTTTGATTCCTTTATCCAACCCAGTTCCTACCCAACAAGCCATTTATAAGAAATTACAAAAAAAATGCTACTCCATGCTCAGTTACCTCATGAGCTGTAGTAGGACTCAAGTCAGAAACTTTTCCCTGTTTAGAAGGATCATTAGAATCCATAGAAACATTCTCAATTTCATCTGTTTTAAGCTGAAGGTCCCAAAGAGATTGCTCTAACTTTTCAAGTAGTTTTGCCTGTAAGTTATCCACCTGCCCAATTACAGATAACCTCTCATGCACATGTACATATTTCAAACAGATATATATATATATATATTATATTTATATATATATATATATATTATATATATATTATATTATATATATATTATATATATATATATCAAGAGACATCAAAAACTTGTTTAGAGAGTAATACTACCATAAGTTTAAAACATATGGTGCACATTTTAAAGGCTGTCAGCAATCAGAAGTTTCAAATATTTTAAGAAGTCATAAGAGAAAGAAAGAGAGGGTGAGATAATTTTCGTATTTTTGCTGATGCATTTTCATGCGGAGTAAATGGCATGCATGGTAATTTACTGTTTAAGCTCCATTGTAACTTTCACACAACCAGCTAGATATGCCAATCTCAGAGTTGCTGTACATACTGGAAAATCCAACTGCTTCAAAAGCACTGCAGCTTCAGCTCTAGCTTGAATAGATTCAGAATCTGAGAATAGCTTCCCCTGAGAAGGAAATTTTAACAATAAATTACAAATTTCTTTAATCTGCTTAAATCACCATATGTGCATAAGACAAGAATAGACATACCTGCAAGTTCTTTACTATTATAGCAACAGCATCTTCAGATGCTCGTTTACAGTCCTGGAATGATGAATCTCCGTATGCCTGGTAAGAAAAACAACGGTGTGTGTTAAATGTTTTGAATACAAAATTTTGACATAAAAGCAAAATTATGTACCAACAACAGAATTAAAAAATAAAATAGAAGAGAATGGACAAGGTAATAGAAAATGACCTTAAAAATTGGCATTGCTCCAGTGTAGAACTTGACCGCATCAGCATATGCTTCTGACTTTATGCATTTTCCAAGTCTAGCGGGCAGATCATAAATGAACTGTTCTTTTCCACATAAGACAACTTTTGAGTAACTAATTGATGCATATATATACAGGAAGTAATATTATACTTATCCTATCTGAAATTTTTCCTTGATAGCTTCAAATTCTGAGCTGTAACATCTAAAACCATAAATTTGCCACAGGATTTACAATCTATTATTTGATAAAATATTGCATTACACTCACAATTGTTACATCTAGTTAACATGCTTTCAGTTCAATCCTAGGGCAGCTGTCACATTACTCACAAGTCACAATAAACATTCGATAGTTCTTTAATACCTGCACTTTACGCAGAAGATTGCGTGTTCGGTGCAACTTCTCTATGTGTTCTCTCTTCTCAAAAAGAGAAGTGTTGACCCCATCACTTCTAGATTGCACTGACATTATCTGCAATTATGAATGAAGAAAAAATATGCTTTGCTGTAATCTCCTTTCCCCACTTCTTCTCCATGCATTGTTCAAAAAATTCAACTAGAGCTGACATGAAAATATTCAAACACACCTTGTCAAGAAGCTGTCCCATATTTGCTTCCATGCCTACAATATTACTTTTCATCCTGTGAAAAGCAAAGTTTCATTACCTACACATTAGGGTTCTTAACTAGTGCTTATGTAAGAACTTCAAAGATCCAATTTGTATCAATTGGTCAAACAAACAATAGTTACTATGACATCAAAAATCTTGCTGAAACAACAAAGAACAAGAGAATCTCCATGAAGAGATATAATGTTGATAAACCCTATTCATTCTTCCCACATTAATAGGATACTGGCAGTGGCAATTGTTAACTAACGGTTTTAAGAATTGAAAGAAGTTACCTTTTAATTGAATCCGTGGCACTGATAAACTTGTTATAGTTCTCGTAGACCAACATTTGCAAGTCAGTATCCAGATTCTTGATTTCGGCTGCCATTTCAACGTGCCTCTTAAGAAGCGCTTCCAAATTCGATTTTTGTACCTACAAATTTCAATCCAATCCATGCTTTAAAGGATCAAACCTTCCAATTGAATTACAAATCCAATCCAAACATCAGTAATCTAATCTAGAACACCAGTTTCATTCTGAATAATTGATTTCTATAAATCTAGCTTTAGAATTCAATCAAATTTTAATCCATGATTTAGATCAAAAGAATAAGGAGAAGCGTACTAGGAGGTTCATGTACTGATCGGGATCGAAAGAGGTGGTGTTGATGGCATCCAAGGTGCCGTGCTTTGAAGGGGCGTTGGGAGTGGAGGAAGGATCTGGAGAATAGAAGCTCGATAGTAGATCTCTCATTCTCTTGGCCTTGTCGTCCAACGGAACATCGTCCGTCCCCATCTTGTGATCTTTCTACTTTTGATTTGTTCTCAGCGAATCAGAAAGAGAGAGGTTTTGGTTTCAGATAGGCAAAAGGGAAATTGATAAGGAGCGAGTGAAATTTTCGCAGGCAAGGGAATGAACTACAACGGTAAGCAGAGTGTCACTAAAACGACGTCAGTGACCAAACGAGCGTGTCTTTAGATTCTCATACGACGCAGTTCGAAGACGGTTATTTGTTCAAAAGAACCAAAAAATTCCCAAATTATAAATGGACCAAGAAGGATATTCCATTTATACAGATTTTATTTGCTTGAGTGCAATTTATGTTTACAACAATTAATTTCCCTTAATTCAGCTATATATCCATTAAAATTTGTCATATTTGATTTTTTTTTTTTTTGCATGGGGAAATAAAAGATAGATTTTGTTAACAGTGTCTTTAGCATTTTTAAGATTATATTATATAATAATATCTTCCCTCAATGTATTAAAAATTATGAATAAAATTATCAATTATTATATTAAATACAAATTTATTATCATAAATAATATATTAATTAATCTTAAAAAATGTTTTAAGGACACTTCTTAAGAAACCCCTAAAAGATATTATGAACGTTTTTTAGATACAATTATAAGCTGGCTATTACAACACAAGTTGATAAAGAAAGTCAAAATATTCAAACGCCGCAACGTTTTTTATGTTTGGTAGGAACCAAGAAAATTATAGAAATTGATAAAAAAAAATCTGAAAGAAGAAAAACCAAATGAGGGAAAGGAAAAAAAAAAATTTTTTCTTTCCTTAAGTTTGGTCTAAAAATTTGAAAATAAATAGATATTGAGTAAATTTATAAATAAAATAATTAATTTAAATTAGAAAATGCTTTCCTTACAATTTAAAAATAATTTATAAAAATAAAATATACAAATCCATCTTCTTTTTTTTATGTTTTCCTACCAAATAAAAAAAAAAACACTTCATTATCCTTTAACTCCCATTATTCATCGCTCTTTTCCTTCCATCAAATCAAACGCAATGTAAGAGATTCTCTGGGTAGAAGTATGGGAGATTGATTACCTGAGCATTAACTCGCAGTACTACTACTTTTCTCGTGATTTCATCATTCATGATTCCCTATTTCCACCATTACCCAACTTTCAAATGCCCAATGCAAAACTCAAGTATTGACTTGGTTAACACTACTGCTGCTTTAAAATATTTACTTTTTTTTTTCTCATTTCCTTCGTTTTTTTTTTTTTTGTTTTAAAATTATGATTTTTTTAACATTTAAAATTTTTATTTTGTATATTTTAAAATTATATTTTATAATTTTTTTTACCTTTTGACATTAAAATTTTTGAACTTTATTTTATAAAAAATTTTAATTTTAATTTTAAATATATTAAAATCAAAAAATTTTTTAATTCTATAAAAGTTAATACATGACAAATATTTTAAAGTAGAGAAAATACTAAATTTTAGTTTCATGATAAATCTTGAAATACCAAGACTAATTAAGGTTTAGATAATTTATTATATCAAAGTTATTGAAATATGGTTCACATGTAAATAAAGAACCTCACATCATTATAAAATTTGAATCAAATATCTTATTTATACATGAATGATCCAATAACCTAATAGTTTAAATTTTTGAGCTCAATTAGTGTTTCACATGTATGTATGAGTTTTTTAGTGTATTCTTATAGGCTTCAGATGTGGTTTATTTTTCCAACGAGTGGTATTAGAGCCAAAGTTATGAGTTTAAGTTCCAATGATATTATTGGGAGGAGATTGTTGATAAATCGAAAGTTGACCGTATTCATTAACTCTGTATACTCGAACATCGATATATGCTCGAACGTCGGTATTAAAAACACTCAAGTAAACATCCAAGTGAAAGTGGACAATATAATGAGTCAGCCCGATGGAAAAAATTATTTGAATATAATTCACATGTGAGTAAATAATTTTAAATTATTAAAAAATCTAAATGAGCATACTGAATTTCTATGCATACCATTTTTATCCCTTGAATTGAAATAAATTCAAATTCACAATTCTCTCCGATGGTTAGGGGATAAAATATTTTCAGGAATAAACAAATCATAATGATTTTTGTTTTTATTTTCAGTCATTTTTTGATGTCTTGCAATTGATTCATCAAAATTTTTTTTTTTTGCGTATTTGATTAATTTGATGTTTATTTTTATAAACTAATGAAATACTTATAGTTTGATATAAAGTAAATTGTCCATCAATTTTTATATACCAACGAATTGGTTCGATAATCAATACTCATTTTTTGAGTAGGTATTGATAAGTTAAAGTTAAACTATCCGGATCCATCAAAATCTCCAGATTCGTTACTCTTCTTCTAATAGAGTATAGAAAAGTTTCATTTAGATTTTTCAGGCCAAGCATGAAAGAATATGCTTTGATATTTTTATGCATGAAAAATATAAAAATCTAATTATTTAAACTTTTAAACTTAATTAATATTCAACGTATATATATAAACTCTTTTATATATTTTTATGAATTTCAAATACGATTTATATCCCTCAATAAAAATTTTATGTTTACACAACCATACAGAACATGAAAGTTTTTAGACGCGAATGATCAGTAACATATTTGTAAGAAACATATTTATCACATTCATCATCGACAAGGTGAAATTTATAAAGATATTATTAAGTTGGACAGCTATTCTTTTATGCATTACTAGAAAAAAACGTTGTCACATTAAGGCTCCTCTCCAATATTTTAAACGTGAAGACTGGCCAACGTCATTTTCAGAGACTTTGAATTTAAATAGCAATACTTTTACCTGCCTTAAACAAGCGCTATTTTTACTATTTACTGATAGTATTTATTTCGCATTAGATTACTCTATTAGGCGTGAATAAAAAACTTTAGTTTATTTGTAAGATCATATTTATTGAATTGCATTATGGAGAAACCAAAACAAAATGATAACATCAACAAGTAAATTGTTTTTATTTTGCAGTACTAGCATTTGTAAGATAATAGCCCCAAAATTTTATTATTTTACTTATAAAAAAATTTCATATTTGTTTAGATTTAAATTACAAAAAATCGTATCATTGAAATTAAAATTATTAAATAAAATATTATTTAATGTAATAATTAAAACAGTCCTAAAGATACTCTCAAACAAAATCCTTTGAATTTAAAGATTTAAAACAAAAATAATAATTATCTTTGATAAAATTTAAAATTTAAAAGCAATGCTTCAAATTGTATTCCTATGCAGCAAACTTGACTGGTGTCCTTTATGCAAATGAATAAAGATTTTACCATAAGCAGGTGCGTGACAACTGACAACCACCTCACCAATATTTAAGAAACAGAAAAAATCCAAATTACCTGCCTTGTTTTGTAACGTAGAGGCAAAAAAAAAAAAAAAAAGGTTACCATTTAATGACTTATTAATTTGGACAATTTTGCTCGTGCCTCGGTGGCCCTTATCTGGCAAGATTTCCAATTCAACAACACTTGTTGGAAATCATTAATGCTAGCAAATAATAAAATGAAAGATATAACAATTTGTTGGTTTTCTACTCATACTAGTAATAGTAATTTTGCAGAATTTCCTTTTGTTTTTTTGTTGGAAGTTGAAAAATATATATAAAAAAAGCGAATCCAGTCGGTATATTCCAAAAAACCAAAAAAGAATGTAAATAATGCGTTGAATGCTTAGCTGGCGTCAGTTTGCACGCCATCGGTGACACCGAACCCACTTCTTCTTTCAAAAGTTAACCAGTGAAAAGACCTTAAATACACCTCCCCTCGTTATTAGTTTATCCACCAACATTACCAGACAACCAATCAAACCCCTCTCCTTTGCCTATAAAAGCCCCCTTTCCCCTCGTTTGATATCCTTCTTTCGTTTCGCCTTTGCTTGCTCGCGTAGTCTACACTCTCCGCTTCTCTTCGCGTTTCTTTTCCTTCAACCAGCTAAGTGTTCTTAATTTTCATTCTTTTCTCTTCCTTTTAAGTCTCTTCGCTCTTTCTGTTTCCTTTTTTTATCTAGCTTAGATCTAGGGTTTTTCGGGTTCTGCTTTTTTTTTTGGCTGCTTTGTTCATGTCCGATAAGCGGATCGGGCGATTGGTAGTCAGGTCTTCGTAAAACCATTCCTATGATTTTATATTTTCTATGAGCTCAATCCTCATGCGTCGAATCCGTATTCTCCACTCGTTTTCGGTCGTCTTCCTTTACTGGTTCTACGTTTTCTCATGAATTATCCCCCTTTTTGATCATCAATCTCCTCATCTAGATCTAACACGTAGTTAATTTCTGACTTAAAATTTGAAATCCCTAATTTGTCATTCAATTTATTAATTCCTATTAAATATTCTCCGGGATAAAAAAAAAAAAAAAAAGAGAAACCCTTCCCCTGAGATGGCTTCTGTTCAAAGGCCAGCGAGTTCCCCCGATTCCGATCCACGATATGCTAACATCGACGAGAGGAAAAGGAAGAGGATGCTGTCAAACCGTGAATCCGCAAGGCGGTCACGTATGAGGAAGCAGAAGCAGCTCGAAGATTTGGTTAACGAAGTGAGCACATTACAGAAAGATAACAGCCAGCTATCTGAAAGGATCAACGTCGCCACCCAACGCTTCATCGAGATGGAATCCGCCAACAACGTGTTAAGAGCTCGGGCAATGGAATTGACCGAGAGACTACGGTCCCTGAACTCGGTGCTGTACATTGTGGAAGAAGTCAGCGGATATGCCGTTGATATCCCGGAGATTCCGGATCCTCTGATGAAGCCGTTGCAGCTCCCCTGTCCGATGCAGCCAGTTATGGCGTCGGCTGATATGTTCGAGTATTGATGGATAGACTCTTCTTCCTTGTTGGGCAAATATGGGTCCTTTTATTGGGGTCTGTTTTTTCTAGCGAGTCGTTGGTTAATGTTATCTTTTTCCTTTTTCTTTCCTATGTTTCTGTTACTTTTAGGTAATGTGCAATAAGGTTTATGTTAATGTGGAGTCTGTTGAATGGGGAGTTTGGTTTTGTAGAAACCTTTTGTGTTTTCCGTTTTTGTGTACTTTTGGATTTCTATGGATATGTTGAAAGTTTCTGTATTGTCAATTTCTTTGTGACTACTTGTTGATGTGGATGCATTAACAGGGTTGTTGTAGAGTGTGATATAGGCATAGTTGGGGTTTGTTTTTGCTAGGTTTGGTGGGAAGAAGCCAAGAAAGGGAACTCAGTTGTTTGAAACTTTTGAGTTTATCTCGTGCTTTGGTTACATCACAAGAACAAAAAGGTAAAAAGGTTTAAGAACTTTGTATCCACCCTTTCTTCCTCTAGGCATTCTTAGCATAGAAAATGCGAGCTGGAATGTGCCAATTATTGTTTTGATGATAGCAAGTGGTATCTTTGTTTGGATAAATTATGTTGAGAGTTTAATTGAATTGCAGCATTTATTTCTATTAGTCACTCCAGTAGTTCTTTCTCCAAATTATTCAATTTGGTGATCGGAGGGACATGTAGTTGCATTTTGGTTGGGAGTTTTGGATTAGTTAGAAGCTGGATTAAAACTTTGGCTTGCATATTCACTGTGAATTTGATTCTGTAATAGGAATTCTAAAATGCTTTATCTTGTTTGTGCTCCTTGCTCCTGCACGGGCTGTGATTTTTCTTCATTGTTAGTGATATGGACTCTTTCACAAGTCTTGTCTATTAATTGATTAATGGAGTTTTCCTTTAGTAAAGTGATTAACGGTTCATATATCTTGAGCAATATCCAGTGTTATCCAGGATTTTAACATGTTGGGCAGTTCCGCTGGGGACTTTCTTCATTCTTGTGAATGCTGTAAATAAAAACCTCCCACTAGGACACGCAATGTTTGTGATGTTAGAAGTTCGTTTCTTTTTTGATGATTTATGATATTTTATAAATTTTTCTAGATTTATCACACGTTGACGGCAAATGAACTTTCTAGGTGGATGGGATATTTCACTGTGGGTGCCTTGTCTCCCAAGACCCATTCCATGAATATGGCGATGCCAGCTGTCATGCTCTAGATTGAAGTTTCAAATGTGGCTTCCTCCCTATTACTAGTAGGCTTTCGTTGGATTGCGGATGAGGATGGACTCGTTCAATTTCAACTGATAGTTCACCGAAATTGAAATTTGTGCGAAGGAGGAGGCACCCGAATCACGTGTGCTTAATTCATACTTATATGTATATATTGTCAAATTCAAAAAAAACACGTTTCGTCGGTTAAGCATTCCCCCCCCCCCCCCCACCCAGCTGTGAGTCTGTAGCGGACGATTGCGTAAGCAAGGCAACCTTAGTCAATGCATCACGGTTCTACAACTTTTTCATCGTCATGCAGCTTCGATGAACGATGACTGCCGCCAATCTCAATAGACGGCCACTTGGAATAATATCCAAATATTCTTGACGGTAGACGATTTGGCCAAAGCCAAAAATATATCTTGAATCTTGCTTTTGCTTCGCCAGTGAACTTTTATTTATAGAATCATTAATTATGTCTGAATTTAAATAAGAAACTAACTCGTTGCATTCTTATAAAAATAAAACGTTCCAGTCAGGAGATTAACTCAAAGATTCTCCTATGCAAATAATGCAAGTTTCTTTTAAACCTCCATTTGGATGCCACAAAGGAATTCATGCAACGGACGAAACCGAAATATAATTTTATTTTACTGATCATTTCATTGAGAAATAAAAATATATGTATGATTGTGATTTATTTGTTGGTGAAGATTCTGCTAGTATTTTGATGGTTACTTTTTCTCCCCATCCTCGTCACAGTAATTGAGCCAGCATCCGATCTGAATCATAATTGCATCTGCACTTATTTTCGTGATAAATAAATAAAACATAAGATGCAAAAATAAATGTACATTAATAGGGTCTAATGCTTTAAATTCTTCCATAGATTTTTAAGCAAGTCTTCCTTGAGTTCAGAGTTACTTGAACTTGCATATTCTAACAGAGAATTTCTCAAAAAATATCCATGGGTCACTGTGATTTTTCTTGTGCTGATGAAAGATGATGCTGGTGAATGAATATCTAAGAACATAAAAAATAATCTTTCATTTTCTCAGTCTCATTTTTTTAATTATATTTGGTGTGAATTTACCTTCACTATACACTATAAGGATAGCTAGGGTACCTGCACGGGAAAGTCCAATTAAGGCATGCCTCGTTATGAATTAGATCAAGTGTTATATTAAGACAGCGTCTGAAAACATCGGAAAGTTCCATGTAATCCATAAAAACGATTTGAGTTACCAAATTATCTTTTTCCGGATTGTATGGTATAGGATTACATCAGTTGAACGAGGAAACCACCATTGACATCTTCAGTTTCACACAAACAAATTAATAGTCTTACAACATCTAAAACTCCCTTTTCATCATCATAGGAAAAGGATCATAAAGTAAAAAAGCATTTCAATTATCATAAGTGCGGCACTCCTTAGTCTCCGGGTGGTCTTTGCAGTAATTCTCCAAAGGATCGTTTTCTTTCTTCCTGTCCCTGGCGTGGCTGGCTGCCGCACTGAGCTCTTCCACCTCATCCCAAGCTGCCACACACTCTCCGCTCGCTGGATCATCCGAACACATCTCCTCTGCTTCCTTGATGCTCTTTTCCACCTTTTCTGATATGCTCTCAGGGGCAGCTCTCACCGGTCTGATTACCTGCATCCGCCCAGTCCCCAATTGGGAGACCCTTTTCCGGGGCTGGTTAAGGTATGGGACCTTAACCGGGCTACCCTTTACGGAGTATGGTAGGTTGGCCACGACTCTTGGGGTTACAAGGTTAAGACTAGACAGGGTTGCCATTGTTGCTTGTTGGTGGTTGCAGTTCCTGCTTTTGATTGAGTGAAAAAGTGCGTAAAGTAATCCGGAGATGAAACGATAGCAGGTAGGTTTTTTAATTGGGAACTGTAATGGTTCGTGAACACAAATTTCTTATCATCTTGGGACCAATAAGAAATTTTCACGTTGGATAAAAGCAGAGATATTCAATGGAAATATCATTTTTTTCTCCAACATTTCATGGGAATATCTAGTTCTGAATATTTATTAACCATACATAGGAGTGTTACAGATCTAAGGGGCCCAAATGCTTACTATAAATCAGAATTTTAACATTTTCAGCTGTTTGATTTAATGATTAAAATAAGTTTACAAAAGATATCAAAATTAGAATTTGAATCTTAATTTTTTTTCCTACGACTCACAAAAAAAAAAATCAGAATTTCAACAATTATTCTAATAATACTTTTTTCTTGTTTTCAAAATTATAATATTTTACGATAAATAATTCAACTAAAACATAAAAAATTATTTCAACAAGAAATTATCCACGAGAAAGCGTAAAGGATTAGAAAGTATCCATAACAAACGTAAAGGATTGAAATATCCATGAGAAGTGTAGCGACCAAAATAATATCTCGACCAACCAAAGTTCTGCCTGTAGAGATAGTGATATGCTGAATTTTTTTTTTTGTCAGTATATTTATTTGTCATTATGGAACTCACAAGAAATATCAAGATATATGGATTGATAAGATGAAAAAAAGATAAAAGGATAAAAAAGTCACTTCAGTATTAATTCAGAAAAAAAATATATTATTAAATTTTAAATTTTATAAATTTGAAAGTATTTAAATTTGTAATATATTTTTTTAGGCTAATTAAACAGGAGGCAATATATTTTTTAGATTAATTAAACAGATAAATAGAGATTTAATATTAAGAATAAACTAAGAATTTAAAAAATAAAAGAAATTCAGAAAAAAAAAAACAACTTTGCAATATATGGAAGGTGTGCATTATTTTACAATATTTGGAATCCAAATTTTACTATTTGTTTAATCAATTGCTATTATTCTTACTCATCTGAAAATATTGCTATATTTTATTATTGTTTCATGAATTTTCAAGTAAAAGTAAGTATCCTATAGTTAAAACAACATCCCTAAATACCAAAACCTATTTTATTCCTTTTTGTTTAATATTAATACAAATTTTCATGAATATTAAAGTAAAAACAACTTATTGCTTGTATTAAAAGTGAAAGCCCTCAATATATACTAAACATACATGATTTTGAGGTTAGTTTGAAGGGAACTCTTAAATGATATTAAATGGATAATAATAATTATTATTATTGTTTTTAACTATATTATAAATTAAAAAATTAAGATGTATTTAGCAGCAGTAATTAAATTTATTATAACAAAACATTTTTCTAAAGTTTAGTAACACTGGCCCAAAAAAAAATTTTTGTAGTGTTTGCGCTGGAATAAAAAATTGAGTTTCACAGCTGGTGCGTTAAAAAGCTACTTTAGATGAGAGGATTAGCTTCTAAATTTTTTATGCAGACAGATAACGGAGTGGTTGGCGCAATAAGAAATCGGGCTACTCTACTGCAAGTGTCTACGATGAATTAACGGTAAGACGAGTTACGATCGGTTGGCACAGGCTTGTTGGTGCAATATGCTTTTTTCAAAGTTTGCTATAATAGTTGTTGGTAGTTAAAATTTTGGTGTATTTTATATTAGATAAAAAATTTAATTATTTATGTTTATTTATATTTTAAATAATTATATTTAAACATAAATAATTATTATATAATAAATAATTATAATTATTCGAATATAAATAAATTATTATTTATAAATATCATGATTATATAAAAAATTATAACCATTTAAATAAAATTTATATCTGTTCATTTATTATAAATAAATCTTTTAGTATAATTATTTTATTGCTTCTGATCAAAGGATTTGAAGTTTTGTTATATCTTAAAAGTATAATTATCTTTAAGAAAGTGTTCTTCACATTTTAAAGCTAAAATTTTTTTATGTTATTTTTTTCTCTTATTTATTTTTTCTAATAATTTAAAGATAATTATGAAAATTTTAAATTTCGTATAAGGAAGATATAAGAAAAAGAAAATAGCATGATTTGGAGATTAATATTAGAGAAGGCTCAAGATGTCAAAATATTAATGTTTCTATGAACAAAAATGTTAATTTTCATAAATATATTCATCAAAAGTATGTATTTTATTTTTTGCATAATTACTGGTAAAAAAATTGATTGAATTTGATAAACACGTTAGCAATTAATTTTATTAGTTTGTAAAGTCAAAATACAAAATGTAAAATATTGATTATATTACATAAGTTTATGTATGTATTGAAATTGGCTCCACAATTATATTATATCTATTTGAAAATTTGATACTTATTAGGACAGATAGAAAATAGCCTAATAACATAAAAGAGAAAGACATGATTGATTTATAACTAAAAGAATTATCACTTGTTATCAAGTAACGAATTAAATTGGGTTCTAATGAAATGATCAATTATTTAATTGTCATGTCTTGGTTATATATAGAACATGTAAATTGTCCCATAGTTTTTATGAAAATAATAAAAAATAAGTAAAGGTATTTACCGTGAAAAATTAGATATAAGTTGAGAATATATACAAAAAATAAGATTTGACTACAAGATTAGTTTTATTTTTAAATCATGACACCAAAATTAAGATAATAAATTGAGTCAAGCTATTTGTATGATTCTATCTTTATTAGTCGTTTATAAATTAAATGTTAATATATTTTTAAAAATTTATTATTGGTTTAAATTTTGACATGTGTTCAATTTTAATGAAAATCAATTAAAATTAGATTGATATATGTGAGTAATTATTAGTAAGATATGATGTTTCATGAATTAATTGGTGGATAATAAACCAAATAATTATTATTATCAGAAATATGAGCAATGTGACATGTATTTTGCCTGCTAAGTGTATTACTGTAAAAATGATTTTACAAAATAAAATTTTATTATAAACAATCACAAAGTAAAAATCATAAATAACCGTCAAAGAGTTAATAAATGGTTATAAAAAAGCATTGTTACTTTTCGCATATGAGACATTGATTAAACGAAAAGGCATGTCATTAAAAAATATTGATGCATTTGTCAGTTACTAGCATTTTAAATGATGCCCATCAATGTTTAATTAGGCATGTATATAAATTATAAAAGAACATGTAAATTCAATGTTCCAAAGGTACCAATACATGTATGTGTTTAATTCCATTTTGTGATGACATGGAGAACATTAGTATAATTTTCCATATATTACAAAAATGAACTAAATGAGATGGAGTGTTCTTTCTTGTACATATAAGAAAGATATAGACTATGGAGATAGAATGCCATCATCCAATTAATACATTATTAGTTAAAGACAATGAAAATATTTTTGCTTATTGTATCCGAAAAAATGATCTTTTACAGGCTGTTAAAATGAAAAATGAATAAGTTTTCAAGATTTTCAATAGTTTCATGACAATGACAATGATGTAGCTGGTTATATACCATATTAACATATAGGTTTAGATAACAATATCGGCTTATAAAAATCATAAGCTTTAGTGTTAGCCAATCAATGATTTAATCAATACAAATTCATCATGAATTTTTGCATGAAATGTGAGTAGAACTCATATTATAATTAGTGTTTCTACTATTTTATGAAAATGATTCTTTAGATTCATGTTTCATGACTTGCATTGATATGGTGATCTAAAAATGAACATATTAATCATAAAATAGTTGTGAGAGTATTTGAAATTGGAGTTAAATATACTATGAACTCTTATTGTATATAGGCATATTGGTCTAATGAGTAAAGTTTGAATTTATTAAATATTCAAAAATGTTATGATCAATTAAAAGTGGTAAATAGTAGAGATATATAGGTTACATAATGGTAGAGAAATAAAGTTCTCATAAAATTTTAAAATTAAATTTAGAGGTTTCAATAATCATGAACTTATAATTGGCTATTAGGCAATTACTATATGCATTGAAAACTCATGATAATATTTGAGATAGTTAATTTTCACTAAAAGCCATTATTATAAATGAGATAACTTCAATAGACAAATTTACATAATTTGTAGGTATGATGTGGATTATTATAGTTGGCTTAAAATAGTCATAAGCCAAAATTGATGCCACAATCTTGATCACATTGTGGTAATTTTTTGTTAAGTATATGATCTAATTCATGGATTGTACAAATGATTTATCATCTATGATTTTATATAGTAAAAATTTCAAAGTATATTTACTTTGGAAGCCATGAGTAATTCAAAAATCTTGTGAATTTGAAAACTTTTATAATAGCAAAAAGAATGCTATTGGATCCATTTGGGTGATGAAAATGATTTTCTTCATGGTAACAAAATATTATTAATAGTGTCCATGATGAAATAGATTTATATAAGTATTTATGAATTAACATAAAAAATCTTAAAATGAGACTACAGAAGCATGATTATATTTAAAATCTGCTTATTGATGTAAACTCTTATATTGAGTTAAAATATAAAAGTTTTGAAATTTTTATGAAAATATTAAGATATTTGTTAGTTATCTTTCACTAAGGATAATTTTGGAGGCCTCCTACTTAAAAAAAAAATCATCGAATAGTGAAAAGATAAATGAAATGACAAATTGATTAAGTATATATGATATCTTAGTAATTGAATGAGATATTATTTAATAAAAGAATACATGCTTGCATACGGTGGGGGTGATAAGAATCAAAAGAAATAAAAATTGTCATCATAGTGCTATAAGATTTTAATATAATTTTATGAGTAAATTATATAAGCTAATAAGTTTAAAAACTTATTAAAGTAAAGTCATAAAAATGTCTTTAAAATCTTAAAAAGACTAAAATCATTTGGTTTATTCATTGAGTTTATCCAATTGTATTATAAGTATAATTGTATTAAAAATATATAAAAATATGAAAATAGAATGGTTGAAATTAATAAATATAGAGTTGTGGTCACAACTAAAATTAACTATTTTTTAAAATGAGAAGAATGAGGCAACAATGGTTGGAGCATATGAATGACATGCAAAATAAAAAGTTTGGACATATTAGTATGAAGTAATTATATTAAAGATTCAATCTTAAGTTGGGGTAATTACTATAAAAGAAAATTAAATTCCAAGATATTTGGTTAGTAGTGCTACAAGTAGAATGGATTTAAATCCTTACTATTAGACACTAATAATGGAAACTCAACTTTGAATTAATAACCTCTAATTACAAAATTTAATGAGTGAAAGCAAGTTATTATTATGTGTCTGTTAAATACTAGTAAAATTCATTCAAATTTTAGAAACTAATATGATCCATTATGTGGGAGGATGAGTTTTTATACTCTTAATGGAGTTTAAAATATCTAAAGCAATGGAGACATAATGAAAACTCTATCTATATAAACATAAAAATGATGCCGCATCAACAAGAAGAATTGGGGTATCTCTTATAAATGTTTATGAATAAGATAAGCACATGACTATAATAGTGCTAAAAACGATTATAAACCTCTGACAGAAGAATAAATAAGTATTATGTATATTATATATTCAATTCTAACACTAAGAGTCGAGGTTTAATCTGTGAACATCATTAATTTTGTTAAAATTTTAAGATATATACGTTAATTAAAGGTTTAAATTGAAATATACTTTCTTGTATTTATAATATTTATTTGTGTGAAATGTAAAAATTAAGCACCAACATTCCAAACTAATAGAAAATTATTGGTAGTTTAGAATGTAATGCATCTCACGTTAGATAGAAATATTTAATTATTGATGAATAAAATTAATTTTTATATTAATTTTATTTATATTTTAAATAATTATATTTGAATAGAAACAATTATCATATGATAAATGGTCATAACTATTTGAATATAAATATATTATTATTTATAAATGTCATGATTATACAGAAAGTCATAACCATTTGAATATAAATTTATGTCTGTTCATTTATTATAAATAAATATTTTGATATAACTATTTTGCTATTTTTTATTAAAGAATTCGGGATTTTATTATATTCTAAAGACATAATTACTTTTAAAAAAATATTTTTCACGTCTCAAAACTAAAATTTTTTTATATTATTTCTTTTCTCTTATTTAATTTTTCTAACAATAGCTTGGATGAGCATCCTCAATAGGCTTACCGCCAAGGATAGGCTGGCTGAATGGGGCATTCCTACATATATGGTGACTGTATACTCTACAAGCAAGACAAAAAAGAGCAAGGATCACATATTCTTCACCTGCAGGTATTCGAGGGACGATTAGAAGAAGGTGCTGCTTCTTTGCAATTTGTAGAGGGAGATTGTTGGCTGGGAAAATGAGTTCCAATGGGTAGTTAACAGGCCTCGCATAAAGGCGCTCATAACCTTAATACTGCGGTTGGCTTGGGGTGCTTATATATATTGGGTATGGACTAGGAGAAATAAAAGGTTTTATAAGTCAGAAGAAGTTATGGGAGACAGGGAGAGCAACTAGTAAAGAAGATCAAAGATGTAGTTAAAATAAGACTTTTAGGATTAGAGGCTGTAACAGCTGATCATGTAAAAAAATTAAATGAGAATTGAGAGTTAGGTAACTATATATTTAAATTGTAAGTACTGGAACAAGTGTACATGTCATTTGGTAGCAGCACATTGCTGCTTCTTGGATAATACAAAACGACATTTATTAAAAAAGAAAAAAAAGTTTGACGGTTTAAAGGTATTTTAGCTTTGCTTTGCTTGCTAGGTTTAGTTTTTCTTTATTCCACAGCTTCATTACATTCTTCTACTCTTTTTGTGATTATTTATACCCCATTGATACCTTCCATTAAGCTTATCTTATTCATTTCTTTTGCATTATTATCCCATTTTTATTAGTAAAGACATGAATTTTCTTCGTACCGGAAAGGTTCAGGTGGTTGTCGTCATTTTTGTACTTATAATCGTTTTTACAGGTAACTCAAACTTCATGAAATTGACTTTCTTTTTATATATTTTTTCAGTAATATTTGTTGTCACTCCAAATTTGAAATTAATTTAGTTTTAAACTACTAAAAGGAAGTAACTCTTCATATTCGCCTATCATTTCTTTTTATAGCCAAAAAATGTCGAGAACTATATGATGATGAGCAGGCTATCCATAAAACTAGGCCTCAGCAATATAATTGCTTCGACATGAAAACTGGCAGTGCCGCATGCATTGCGAGGAATGTTTTGAAGTCGTATTATTTGACAAAGTACAATTTGGAGCCGGAACAAAGAAATAAACCCGAGGTTCCTTTCGTATCAAAATACAACATGGCGCCTTACGTCGGCTCCGGGTGGGATATGTTGGAGAGCCTTTACTCTCGACAACGTCCCAAAGGTGAGGCAATCAGTAAGGCTATTGGAGCTTTCATTGGCGATCATGTTGGGAGCTATGTCGCAGAAAAGCATGTTGGGGGCGGGCCGGGTGTTGCGGAAAATGTTGGGGCTTGGAATAAGGGGAGACTGGCGTTCATGTCGGGGAGTTTATTGGGGGCCTATTTAGGAGGAGAAGTTGGGGTTATGGCTTATGATATATACGATGGATTTGACCATTTGTGCAATTACCTTTTCCATCATCAAGGAGAAAAGTCTCCAAGCTCCAATCATCAGGAGCTGTGAAAAGCCACATTATGCGTCACTGAAAGAAAGAAACTAAGAAGAAAAAACCATGTTAGGATTCAGCTTTATTGTGTAATTGTCAAATAAGCGACATGCAGGGACCATGTCGTCAGATTATGTAAATCATATAAAATGTAACGCAAAGGATGTAATATGTTGTATGAGTTATTTATTTATTCTCTTTGATATATATATATATATATATATATGTATATATGTAAGAAGCTTTCCGACCGAAGGAAAAGAGGAAAAGAAAAAGAAATTCATAAATTCCTCTGGACTACCATCTTTTAACAAGATGACGATTGGACATGCATAGTATAACAGCATTATGACTTCATACTAGGAAAAAAAGAAAAAAAAAGCTAAGGTTGCCAAATATGTATCAATCAAATAAAGGCAGCTACAGGATTTGTCCCTATCAATATTTTCTTGTTGGAATCAGTTAAAGAAAAAAAAAAACCTCTTCCAAAATCCGAAGTACTAAGCAAAATGTGTATGCTAAGAATATCAAATGAGTTGCACGTTTGAAGGAATTTTTCGATTGCCTTGCTTGTTCATGCATAGTATTTTTTATTCCATAACTTCGATTCTTTTTCCTTCCCTTTTACGCCTATTTAACCCTTAATAACACAGTCACGACAAGTTTATATATACAGAAACTTTTTGCATAATTCTCAATCATATTTCTAAGCGATTATTGAAGACATGAAGATTTTTCAAAGCGGGAATGTTCCATTTGTTTTTCTTAATTCTAATACTTTCACTCAATCTTGCAGGTAATTCAAATATCAAGTAGTTGCCCTTTTTCTTGTAGTTTCCACATGTACTTAAATATATGTCCGTGGGGGCAGATAAGAAATTGCTGAAGGTCTATAGATTCTTTTTGGACTGCAACTTTTTAACATGATTGGACGGACAACACGATGAGTCCACCCCTAGAAAAGCAAAAGAAAAACCGAGAATAAAATTACATGATGCGTATGAGCAAAGGTCAGCATCGCCTCTCTCCTTCTTCCTCTCCTTCTTCTCTCCTTCCTCCTTATTGTTTCTCCCCAAACCTCAACCTCAACGCCCGATTCCCTTCTTCATCGTTCCCTATACCTGGCCACCTGAGAACCCATTATAGAAACGCCTCCAAACCAGCCATGACCGCCCCCCGATTCCACCACCTCGTCCCTATCAACTCTGCTCTATCTGAAGACGGCACCGCCGGCAATGGCTCTGCTATCGCTTCCGCTACTTTCACTAAAGAAGACGATGGTAATTTACTTCAGGAATTTTAACCTTTTTTTTATTGCATTTTGAATTTGCTTTAAGTTACAAGTTAATTACTTAAAAATTGAAATTTGAATTTGATGTAGAGAATGATGCAATCGGAGTTAAATATTGTCTCCCGCCACCCGAAATTAGAGATATTGTTGATGCTCCACCGCTTCCCGCACTGTCATTTTCACCATTAAGGGATAAAATTCTGTTTCTCATGCGGAGATCTTTGCCTCCGCTGGCAGAACTAGCAAGACCAGAGGAAAAGCTTGCTGGTATTCGAATCGATGGGAAATGCAACACAAGGAGCCGCATGTCTTTCTACACTGGTATAGGAATCCATCAACTGATGCCTGATGGCTCGTTGGGACCCGAAAAGGAGGTTAGAGGATTCCCTGATGGTGCTAAGATTAATGTTGTTACTTGGTCAAATGATGGTCGACATTTAGCCTTTAGTGTTCGCGCTGAGGAAGAGGAGAGTAGTAGTAGTAGTAGTAGTAGTAAGCTCAGAGTGTGGGTTGCTGATGTGGAAACTGGAACTGCTAGGCCTCTGTTTCAGTCACCGGATATTTATCTGAATGCAGTTTTTGATAATTATGTTTGGGTGGATAACTCTACCCTTTTAGTTTGTACTATTCCTTTGTCGCGTGGAGACCCACCAAAGAAACCTTTGGTTCCTTCTCGCCCCAAGATTCAGTCCAACGAGCGGAAAACTGTCATTCAAGTTAGAACATTCCGGGATTTGCTGAAGGATGAGTATGATGAGGATTTATTTGATTACTATGCCACCTCTCAACTTGTTTTGGTTTCTTTGGATGGTACAGTGAAAGAGATAGGCACACCGGCTGTTTACACATCTATGGATCCTTCCCCTGATGAGAAGTACCTTTTGATTAGTTCAATTCATAGACCATATTCTTTTATTGTACCATGCGGAAGGTTCCCCAAGAAAGTGGATGTGTGGACATCTGATGGGAAATTTGTTAAAGAACTCTGCGACTTGCCCCTTGCAGAGGACATTCCTATTGCATTCAATAGTGTACGAAAAGGGATGAGGTCAATCAATTGGAGAGCAGATAAGCCTTCAACTATATACTGGTATATATCCATGTCATTTACTCATTAAATTATGCATTTGTAAAGATGAAATTGACTGTAATTATATGAAACTATAGATGTTCATGAAGTCAGAGAGCAAAGCTTTTTGTGAAATCATGAGCACATGGAAGATGTTAGGTGTAACTGTGTGATCAACATGTATAGGTTTGATGTAACCACTAACTTCAGTGATAAAATTTAATGTAAGCTTTTCCTGATGGAGTTATTTCTCTATGTAATTTACGTTCCTGACTCTGCTGAAGTTTTTAGGGCAGAGACACAAGATGGAGGTGATGCAAAAGTGGAAGTTTCGCCGCGTGATATAATTTATACACAGCCTGCAGAACCACAAGAAGGTGAACAGCCAGAAATCTTACACAAACTTGATCTTCGCTATGGGTAAGTATACATGTTTCATTTCTTAAATTTATCTTTGTCGGTTTCTTCATATTGATTTAAATCGATGAATACAGCTGACCTTTCCTTCTGGTGTATTTGCCATGAAGTCTCGAAACCTCTGAGATGTGAACTTTCTATTTGACTGCTTGCTCATGTCAAAACTATATTGTCAAAGTACAGGAATTTTAAAAATGAGTCAAGACTTGTAATATTTGGAGTAAGACGTGTCCATTGAACTGAATTGCTACAAACTAAAATATGTTTGAACACCCTCCCTTGGCACTCATTGGATTCCCTAACACAAAGATCTTTGAGTTCCCACAGCAAATGTTGGGTTAAAGGTTTTTCTTAGCATGTGTCTTTAAGATTTAACTGCCATGTATTAGATGCATCATTCTAACTCTATAGTTTATGGCAAAGGGATTGATCAACTTATTAAGTTTTGAGGAGTAGATCAAGCTGTGTCTTGCTGGGAATAAATATAAATTATTGTGCAGACAGTTAATGGCAAGCAACTGTTTTGTTTTGAAAATCCAAATAGAGTTTTAACAATGTTATCTAATATGTGTAATTCTTCATATTGACAGTGGGATTTCGTGGTGTGATGATTCACTGGCTCTGGTCTACGAGTCGTGGTACAAGACACGTCGAACAAGAACCTGGGTGATATCTTCTGGATCAGAAGATGTGAGTCCACGCATACTTTTTGATAGGTCATCTGAGGATGTGTACTCTGATCCTGGTTCTCCCATGATGAGAAGAACCCCTGCTGGGACTTACGTGATAGCTAAACTAAGGAAGGAAAACAATGAAGGGACTTACCTTTTGCTGAATGGAAATGGTGCTACACCAAAGGGGAACATCCCCTTCCTTGATTTGTTTGACATGTAAGTGTTTAAGAATTCAACTTTCTTTTTTTTTCTTTTTTGTCATCTTGTTATGGGGCCCATTGGTGCCATTGTGATCTAAAACAATTTCTTCCAGAAATACTGGCAGCAAAGAACGAATATGGGAGAGTGACAAGGAAAAGTATTATGAGAGTGTTGTTGCTTTGATGTCGGATCAGAAAGAAGGGGATATACACATTAATGACCTGAAGATACTTACTTCTAAAGAGTCAAAAACTGAGAATACCCAATATTACATTCAAAGTTGGCCAAATAGGAAATTATTTCAGATCACAGACTTCCCTCATCCATATCCACAGTTGGCATCATTGCAGAAAGAGATGATTAGATACCAGAGAAAGGATGGGGTTCAACTTACTGCAACATTGTACTTGCCACCAGGCTATGATCCATCAAAAGAGGGCCCTCTTCCATGTCTGGTTTGGTCTTACCCTGGGGAATTTAAAAGCAAAGATGCAGCTGGACAAGTTCGTGGTTCTCCTAATGAGTTTGCAGGCATAGGTCCAACATCAGCTCTCCTATGGCTTGCTAGAAGGCATGGAATTCTTCTTTTTCATATTTGCTATGTACACTTTTTATGTTTTTAGTTGCCTTCGCTGGTTTTTCCTTTTGAGCTGGATGCTGGTAGAATAAATTATGGTTACCTATATTTTCTGCTTTGCAGATTTGCCATTTTATATGGGCCAACAATCCCAATTATTGGTGAAGGGGATGAAGAAGCGAATGATAGGTAATGCAACTACTTATATGATTATATATAATCATTTGTGTGTGTATGTATATCCCATCATATTACTGTCTATGTAGGTACGTAGAGCAACTGGTTTCAAGTGCAGAGGCAGCTGTTGAGGAAGTTATCCAACGTGGAGTATGCATCTTCAATCCGTCACATATTATCACCATTGGCAGCATGCTGATTATAAATTTCTGACTTGAGCTTTTCTGATGTGCATGTGTTTAGGTAGCTCATCCTAATAAAATTGCTGTTGGGGGACATTCTTATGGAGCATTCATGACCGCAAACCTTCTGGCACATGCTCCTCACCTTTTCTGTTGTGGGATTGGTCGGTCTGGAGCTTACAACAGAACCCTTACACCCTTCGGATTTCAGGTAGTGAACTTGAGCGTTTAAGTATATTTAATGAATACATAACGCCAACTGGCTTTTGAATTTTATCACCCTTACAATTTCTATCCTTTTTTCTTTGTTTTCATCTTTTCTCGTTGGATGGATTCATGGCTTCCTTTCCCTCATTGGCACAGCATGAGGATAGAACTCTTTGGGAAGCAACTAATACCTATATAGAGATGAGCCCATTCATGTCTGCAAATAAAATCAAGAAGCCGATCTTGCTTATCCATGGGGAAGAAGACAATAACTCTGGAACACTAACCATGCAGGTATATGGCTTTCCACACCCTCGTATGTGGCCCTTCTGAGTTAAAATTTCTACCAGATTTATCAATTGCCCACAGAATAGTTTACTGATAAGGTTTTTTTTTCTTTTTATCCCATCATCCATTTTTGAATTATGCAATGTTAGGTAGCCCTCTCCCATCCCTTTTTTTTTTTCCCTCCCTTCATCTTGCCACAAACACAGAACCTGTTCCATTTCCTTTTAGATCTCTTCCTTACATTTTTGTTTGCCTACTTGTTGGGCATATACATACGATGCAGTCGGATCATTTCTTCAATGCTTTGAAGGGTCATGGAGCTCTTTGTCGCCTTGTCATTCTACCCTTCGAGAGCCATGGTTATGCTGCTCGAGAAAGCATCATGCATGTCCTCTGGGAAACAGATAGATGGCTTCAAAAGCATTGTGTGTCAAACACTTCTGAAGTGAGTGCAGATACGAGCCAAGATAAAAAAAGCAACGAAGTTACAGAGTCTGAAAGCAAAGCAGCTGCTGCTAGTGGAGGTGGTGGTACAGAGCTGGCAGATGATTTTGAAAGTGAACAATTCCATTCAAAGCCAAGGTCATTAATGTGGTAATTTAATAATTCCTCTGTTGTTTCTGGTCTTTATTTTCACCACAGTTTGTTGAAGAACAGATTCATCAACATAATAACTCTTATTGAGTATGTTTTTGTAGATTACATCGCTGAGCTTTGGCCTCCGAGGACTAACATTGGACTGAACATGATTGGTATAAAATAGCAAATGCTGGAAATTTCGACCCATCAATTATCATAATCCTAGATGATTGCTGTGGACATTAACTTCTACTGGAACCCCAGAATACAATTTGGTTTGAATTCTTAAATCACAGGTACCCGGCACATGGCCTGTGTGATCTAAAATCACGTAAACATAGTGCTCATTTTCGTTATCTTCCCCACTCTCACTGCGTGTATTAAAGCACTTCAGCCGATCAAATGCAGTAATGCAGTTGGCAAACTGGAAATTCAGGATTTATGTATTGTTGTATCTTAAGCAAACTGTGACAAATTACAATGGCCTATTTATTACCCTTTATCATAGGTTGGTTGTTTTAAGTTGCAAAACACTTGGGAGTTGGGACGACTTCCGGTTGTTTAGCCATTCCAAATTGCTTGTTCTTATCATGTTTATCTACAATTTCGCCTTAAATAAAACATTCACAAACTGAAATACCAAGGTGTAGGAATGATGGAATGGAATCCCGGTTCTACTGAGATGCAACTAAGAAGAGCAAAGAAACAGAAAAACTTGGCTTGGTCTAAATAGCTTTAAACTGCATCAAACATGTCCAAGTCTGAAATCTGAAGCATCCAAGTGCAGAATGCTTTTAGAACGTTATTAAGAAATCACAACGATGCGTTGGTACGGTACCCCTTATGTCCAGATGTCAGAAGTAACCAGGCCGGCTTGCTTGTCTGGAAGAGAAAGTTGCATTTACTATTATATTTTAAGTACAAACAACATATCAAACAGATGCAACAGAAACAAAGAAGCCACAAGGGCAAAAGATCGAACCGTTTGGATTTGTTAAGCAGATATGTGATCAAGATCTCAATACAATAAAATTATTCTTAAAACTCCAAATTGAGTTTGCTCATCTTGAATCTAAGAGCCAAACGAAGGGAACACAATGATCAAAATAAAGCCGAAGCTGTCCGCTATTTCACAAGACAAAACATTTATTCTTCTGCAACAACACTGATTTCACCTTTCTCAAGCATGTCATAGAATGCTCTCGCTTTCCTCTGCTCATTCCAGTGATGCATCTTCCAAAGCCCACCAGCACAAAGGCCTAGTGTTATCCCCGTAATTATCTCCTTGATAACACTTGGTCCTTTCAAGGTAGCATGAGCAATCCTAGGACCAGCCATTTCACTTCTATGGATGAATCTAGTAAACCTAGAAGCAAGAATTAAACACTTCATTTTCCAACTCTACATATGGAGAAATCCGGGAATTGACAAACCAGAAATGCATCAAACATAAAATTTTAGGTACTATAACTAGCAATTAACCCCATATCCAATCAACACATAGAGGGCTAGCCAGTTTTAATTTGCAACATAAAATTTCCTGTTACTCCTGAAAAAATATGGCTTCACCAGCAATGATTTCAAACCCTTTTGCTCCAAATGGAAGAAAGATAAAGACATATGCAGATTTGTTCTCAAATACTGTTCCCTTTCACTCAAGATGGTTATAATCTAAGCTGCTTATTCATCTATTTGTTTTGGAACCAATAATGCTTGCATTTGCATATTTTGTTAAAACTAATTTCATGTTAGTTCCATAAGAGATTACAGGCTTAAACCCAACTAAAGCCCCAGTAAAACTTTATCACTTGAGCTATGCTCAATGGCTATACCAACTCATTCATTATTTAACGCTTTACACGTCAAATTTATCAATGAAGCCTGACCTTAATGCCTTTCCTATTTGCCAATGCAACAAATCAACACCTTCAATTATTCATTTTTTTGGTTACTTCAATTCAATAGCAGTTTTAAGTTGCGTAATTACATGCTATCTCTTAGGTCTAAGCGCTCAAATTAATGACACGGGTAGCTTGATATTTCCACTCTCTTAGCTAGCCAAACGGTTAAATTAAAGACGTTATCTAAAACATGCATTAGACTTAGAAACAATTTTACAATACTTGTCAATCAATCATGCAATACAGCTAATCCGTTGTCTCCCCTTAACTAATGTTCAAAAAGCAAACAAAAAAATAAAAAATAAAACAAAAGCTTTTGCATTTTAAGAAAGACTTAAACGACATTTATGAACTTATCAATCACTGAAGGTAAAAAGCATGTATATTTCCCACTGCTGTTTCGAATCTAAGTAGGGTGAAAAAAAATTTCACCCCAAAATTTTCAAAGCGTTAATGAAATAATCGTAAAACAAAAACTTGATATTAAAATAACCATCGTGCACGCTGTTAAACCCCTCAAATCGATCTCAAGATCTTTCAAGACTAATATCTAAAACAAATAAATCATCATTTTCACGCAAACAGATAAGATAGAGACAGTGAAAAGCGCTGGGATATCGTCACGAAACCCGACAAAGAAAATCGAAGGAGAAACCGAAGGGGGAAATTAGGGTTTACCTGAACGAGGCTGCGTTGAGGACTAAGGATCAAATTGGATTGACATTCGGTTTTGTCAGAGAAAGAGGCTCTACTTGATTTATTTCTTCCAAATTCTCTATTTTGCCCTTCTACAATAATAGGCCCAGAGTCACAAAATAAACTGATTTCTTAATGGATCGAGAAAAATATGTACATTTCTTCATGGGCCGGATATCCAACATTGGTTTTTTTTAGGAAACATCTTTTTATTTTTTTAATTAAATAATAATAATTCAATTATGAGAAATAGGTTAAAATAGGAATATCACTTGCATGTTGTACTAACTGAAGTTCAAACGATTCTACAAATCCATTTCTTTGGCCCTAGTGTAAATTGAATTTGTCAAACTTCGAATTAAAAAAAATACATATGCTATCAGCTCATTTCGCAGTGAAATTTCTAAGCAACTAATAACAATAAAAATATGGAGTCGATTTACTTGTTCAAAAATTTCAATTAAAAAAAACATGCTAACACCTTCGTTTGACTCTTTACAAGCAAATCAGTTTTACTCATCGATGTGACAGATTTAAATTGAAATATATTTTTTTAATTTTTTGGTGCAAGAAATCTGTTAATCTAATTATTTCCATAAATTTTTTTTTTGCATTTTTAGGTTTTGAATAATTAATTTTTTTATTATTTATATTTAATTTTTATTAAAAAAATACAAAGTAAACAACAAAGGCGATTCCAACAAGAAAGAGAACAAAGATTGATTATTATAATAAAATAAATTGACTGATTAGCATGATTAACAATAGTTACGATATCACCTAAAAATTCAATGAAAATATTATAACTGAGAACCCATTTTCATCCACCTATAATTAAGGGTATAAATGATACATTAGTATTCGCAAGTTATTCGAGTTCGATTCGAAAAAAATTCGAATTCAGTTCGATTATTATTGAATCGAGCTCGAATTCGAGTAGCTCGACTTATCGATCGAGTCGAATTCGAGTATTCTTATATCCGATTCGAATAATTCACGAGCTTAATCGAGATTTTATTTTTAAATATATTTTTATTATTTTAATTAATAAAATATTTCGAGTCCGAATTCGAGTATGAATAATCGAACTCTTATCGAGCATACGAATCGAGCTTATTTTTACATATTAATCGAGCGAGCTCGAGTAGCTCAAATTCGATCACGAATCGAGCTCGATCTTGAAAAATAAAACTCGATCGAGCTCGAGCTGAGTATCGAATCCCGAGTTATGAGTCAAGCTCAAACTCAAACTTCTCACTATGCGACTCAATTCGACTCGATTACACTCCTACTTATGACACACCTAACCATCACGATAAAATAAAAGAGAATAAAACAATATATTATTGAATAAAATTTATATAAACTTTTTTAAGTTAAAAATTATGAAAAAATTTTATTAAAAATAATTTAATAAAAATTTTAATAAATTTAAAACGATTAATCAATTAAATTTAATGTAAAAATTAATAATATATAAAAAATATAAAAATATTATTTATAATTTAAATTTGATTTATATTACAATAAAAATATTATCAATATTTTATTAAAAATATATATCAAAATTTTATTTTTTTTTCAAATTTTATACAATTAATTTATTTTTAATTTACTATTATTTTTTTAATTTTAACATTTCTAATAAAAAGCTTTACCAAATTCGCCTGACAGTTCTTTTAAGTCTTTCCCGTATATTACTACAAAAGAGAACCACCAAACAATTGTACAACTTCAACTCCCTACTCTTTGGACTTTTACTTCAGCCTTTTTCTTACTCACCTATTCCCAGAACTCCCATAACCTTTGGCAGTCTCCATTGTTTCTTCACCAAATGGAGCACTAACTCAAAGGAAAAAATGGGGCTTTGGTTTTGTTCTCCAAGATTCCTTATTTTCGTCTTCCTCGTATCTGCGATTCCCATCGCTTACATCATCTCCGAAGAACGTGCCAAGCCTACCAACCACGTTTTCCACTACCATAGCGCCGGCTTTTTCCGGGAGTGCGCCAAGTGGGACGATCAAGGCCGTCGATTCCTCGTCAGTTTCTTGGAAGGTGGCGTCGGTGAAATCCACGTTCCCAACGATTACACACAGGATGTCGTATTGAAAGAGGTCACAGTGGTTAAAGACTTTGACTTGACCGGAAATGCTTCCCTCGGCATCGCCGTTGATCGCCCCAGAAACAGGCTGCTTGTGGTTGTAGCTGACTTGCTCCGCAACCAATACGGCGCTCTCGCGGCTTATGATTTGTCCACGTGGAAGCGGCTCTTTCTAACCCAGCTCAGCGGCCCTGGTAAGTATCAATATAACAATTTATCTTTTCATTTTTTTTTTTTACTAAAGTAAGTTAAATTTGAAATTGGGTTCGCTAATCCTGTTAGGCTGATAATAGCATCATAGCATGTTCAAATGGCCTTTAATCTAAACCGTCCAATTGTTTTCGTTTGTTGGTGATTTGGTGGGGCAGGCATATGGCGGTATAGGTGTTCGTAAGTTGTTTCTTAAAAGAAGCATATTTTTTCAAAACAAAAAAAAAAGAAGCATAGCTTTTTTTTAATTTGTGGAATTCTTTGCAAAGAATTATGTTGGAATCTGAACTTGTCTGTAGCTATCAATATTTTGCTTCTGTTGGAGGTATCTCATGGATGTTTTCCATCATGTTTATGGCTTTTATGTGTGATTTTATTTTTTCATTTTACATTAGAATTGGATTAACCTTCTTTTTTTTTTTTCAATGGTAGCTGTTCATCTTAGGAGGAATTTGCATGATATTTGAGAATACTAAAGCATTGGTTAGTGAATAAATGTCTGAGGACGGTGTGGCTTGTGAACTGAAGGCTATATTCTTCGTACGAGAAGGCTAGGATTGGGGTGTGGGGCTAATGCCTATTGGTTTATGGAGATGATTTTGCTATGCCTATGGTCACATCTCAGAGCGGGATGTGCCTCTCTTCCCCTTCTTGACTTTCAAGTTTCAATGGTAAAAAATATCTTTAAAATTAGCATTGCGTTTGATTCTGGACTTAGCTGTGGTCAAAATTCAAGGCCCGTATTAAGAAGAATGAAGCAGTCAATAGTTGACTTTGGGCCACTTGGACTCTGGACCTATCTGTTTGCTCAATTTTTCTGCATCCTTAAAATTACTAAAGGCCAATCATGCCAGCTCATAGCTCATACTCTGCTCTGATGTACTAACATAGATTTGGTGAAGTAACTGATCACATGACACAATAAATAATGCAATTCTTCCCCTCCAAATCAGGATCCAACTCATCTCGTGACATTATAGTATTTCTTAATAACTTCTATTAACTTTTCACATGTTCAATGCTAAACCATGATCTCTTTGTGCATTTAATAACCTATAAACGGTTTTCTGACCCTAGTTTCTTGATCCTTAGGTGATGAGAAGTCCTTCGCGAATGATGTTGCATTAGATGCAGATGGTAATGCGTATGTTACTGATGCCAAAGCCAGCAAAATATGGAAGGTTGGTGTCAATGGCGAGTTCTTATCTATCCTCAGAAACCCACTCTTCACTCCAAAAGAGTGGTACAAAAGCTTGGTTGCATTGAACGGAATTGTTTACCACCCAGATGGCTACTTGATAGTAATTCATACGTTCAGTGGCAATTTGCTTAAGATTGATCTAGCCAAGGGAGAGGAAGTGAAGTTGATTGAAGTTGCTGGAGGTCCACTACTCTTTGGTGATGGTCTAGAGCTAATTTCTCCAACAATGCTTGTAGTTGCCAAGAACCCTTCTGGGAGATTGGTAGAGAGCTCTGATGGATGGGAGACAGCTTCTGTTTTGGCAAAGTTAAAGGGTCCTACGCATCGTTTGGCCACGGCGGCGACTGTGAAGGATGGGAAAATTTATCTCAACCATTTGGTTGGTATGGGGTACCCCAAGAAGACACATGCCCTTGTTGAGGCTGTTTTCTAAACTTGGAAATTGAAAATGAAATTGCAGTTACAGGATATGAATTAATCAAAATTTCATGTTGTAAATTGTTGCTTACAGGATTCACTTTTTGTTTATTGTACCACAAAAAGAAAACAAATGTTAGTTTTTTAAATGAGAACTGGTCTTTCTTCCTGTGAATTACTCGTGGAAATGGCATATTTTTCCTTCAAATGATTGATCAGTTTAAATCGGCGTCATCATATCAAAGTGGATGGTATTTTTATTCTCTGCCGGTGTAGATGACCGTACCTTAAGCACTTGCTTTGCTCTCCCAACGAACTGATGTAAAGCACAACATCGACAATAAATGCACTACCTTAATGATAAAACATTAATGCATTAACTTTGAAACCTATTTGTTTTTTTTTTTTTTTAATTTATTTGAGCTTTATCAGTAACAAAATCTTGATCATTAAAATTGAAGTATCATATTTTGTTTTGAGTTTATTATGGAAGATCATATTTACCCAGGCATCCTGGATGTAGATTGTAAATAAACGGTGGAAGGCTCCAGCCAACCCTTTTCTGAATGCTTCATGTCATCGCCGGAGAAGAAATGGGGACAAAAAAAAAACGGAAAGAACAGTCTGACATCACTTGATACCGACGCAAAGCCATGACAGAATTGTAACCATTTGAATAGGTGGCAAAAGCTGAAAATAGAAGGAATTTGCTTTGGCATTCAGTATTCATCTTGTACTGAAGTCACCACTGTAATCATTTTTAAATTCTTGATTTCTGGTTTATCTGGGGTGGAAAAAGAGTTTTGTTTTTTGTTTTTTTTTTTTTTTGTTGGGTTTATTTTAGCCTGTAAATTGTAATAAAGCTCATGACAACTTGAAATGCTATAAATTGCATAGCCTCCAGTTTTGTTTACTCCTCGTCCAGCAAAGATATCGAACATTGCCACGAGCGAAAATATGGGTGTCGTGTCAAGGACGAAGAGCGGGGTATATTTCAGTCATTTTCAAATTTCATTTATTTCTTTTGCCTTATTGGACCCTTTTTTTTTTTTTTTTTTTAGCAAAGGAAGATTTCTGCTTACTAAATACCCAAGTCTCCCCCATAACTGAAGCCACACTTTCCTAATCAGTGGAATAGCCTCAAACAATTCTATTTTATCTGAAGGTCTTCTCAGATGGTCAATTGTTTTGCTGTCTTTTTGAAAATTTTGCTCTTTTAGCATCACACATTCTCACATATACATGCATAAGTGATTAGTCCTTCCTGCTACCAAATCCCATTCAAGAACTGTTTTTTACTGTATTTTGAAGCATTTAGATGATGAACCATATGATGGAGAGACAGAGAAGTTTCTCTTTCAAATCCACAAGATTCTTGGTGTTTTCTTTCACATTATCTTCTTGTTGTATCTTCCTGGCTTTCTTGTTTACTAGGGTCATCAAATCCAACCCTTCCATTCATCAGGACACCCATTTTCAGTTCAACAAATAATTTCTTATTTTGGGTGGTCATAAACCCATAACTGTAGAGAGCTTGAGTAGTTTCAGTAGTAACGATTTGGCAGGAACCGTAAAGCATTCAACAGTGAAAGACCCTTTTGTTAAGCCTGGAAATGCACCCGGGTCTGATAAGTTTCAGTTTCTAAGGAGATCCAGAGACAAGAAAATGAGAATGCAGCGCTAGAAGATGGTGATAGTGAAACTGAGGATCCTGAATGCTCTCACTTTCCTCTGCTAATTCCAGTGATGCATCTTCCAAAGCCCAGCAGCACAAAGGCCAAGTGTTATCCCAATAGTTATCTCCTTAACAACATTTGGTCCTTCCAAGGTAGCATGAGCAATACTAAGACCAGCCATTTCACTTCTATGGATGAATTAAACCTAGAAGCAAGAATTAAACATTTTATTTTCCAACTCCACATACGGAGGAATCTGGGAACTCCACAATTATATATAATTTTAACAATCAAATCAATTGACAAGCTAGAAATGCATCTAACATAAGAATTTAGGTACTATAGCAAGCAATTAACCCCATATCCAATCAACACATAGAGGGGCTAGCCAATTTTAATTTATAAGATAAAAATTCCTGTTACTCCCCAAAAAAATTTGGCTTTACCAAAAATGGTTTCAAACTCCATCAGTCCAAATGGAAGAAAGATAACGACATATGCAGATTTGTTCTCAAATACTGTTTCCTTTCACTCAAGATGGTTATAATCTATACTGCTTATTCATCTATTTGTTTTGGAACCAATAAAGCTTGCATTTACATATTATGTTAAACCAATTTCATATTAGTTCCATAAGAGATAATAGGCTTAAACCCAACTAAGACCCAGTAAAACTTTATCACTTGAGCAATGCTCAATGGAGCCTGATCTTACTGCCTTTCCTATTTGCCAATGCAACAAATCAACACCTTCAATTATTCATTTTTCTGGTTACTTAAATTCAATAGCAGTTTTTAAGTTGCGTAATCACATGCTATCTCTTAGGTCTAAGTGCTCAAATTAATGACACGGGTAGCTTGAGATTGCCACTCTCTTAGCTTGCCAAACAGTTAAATTAAAGACGTTATCTAAAACATGCATTAGACTCAGAAACAAATTTACAGTACAGCTAATCCCTTGTCTGCCTAGTGCCTATAACTAATGTTCAAAAAAAAAAAAAAATTGAACAAAAGCTTTTATATTTTAAGAAAGACTTGAACGACATTTATAAACTTATCAATCACTTCGGGTAAAAAGCAAGTGTATTTCCCATGCTGTTTCGAATCTAAGTTGGGTGTATAAAAATTTCACCCCGAAACTTTCAAAGCGGTAATGAAATAATCGTAAAACGAAAAATTGATATCAAAATAACCATCGTGCACTCTTGTTAAACCCCTCCAATCGATCTCAAAATCTTTCAAGACTAATAACTAAAACAAATAAATCATCATTTACACGCATACAGCTCAGATGGAGACAGTGAAAAACGCCGGGAAATCGTCACGAAACCAGACAGAGAAAATCGAAGGAAAAACCGAACGGGGAAATTAGGGTTTAACTCAAGGAGGCTCCGCGTTGGGGGAAATTGGATTGAGATTCAGTTTTGTCAGAGAATGAGGCTCTATTTAATTTCTTTCATCAAAATTCTCTATTTTGCCCTCGTGAAATAATGGGCCTAGAGTCACAAAACAAACCGATTTCTTAATGGACCGATAGGTATATGTTCATTTCGTCATGGGCCGGATATCCAACATCCTTTTTTTTTTTTTGAGAAAATATCTTTTATTTTTTTAATTAAAAAATATTAATTTGAATGATGAGAATGAGGTTAAAAGAGGGAATATCACTTGCATGTTGTGCTAACTAAAGTTCAAAAGATTCTACACTTCACAATCTAAAATCCATTTCTTTGGCCTTAGTGTAAAATGAATTTGACAAACTTTTAATTAAAAAAAAAATACATATGCTATCAGCTTATTTTGGCAGTGAAATTTCTAAACCATTAATGACCATAAAAAAATGGAGTAGATTTACTTATTCAAAATTTCCAATTAAAAGAAAATGCTAACACAGTCGTTTGACTCTTAACAAGCAACTCAGTTTTACTCTGCGATGTGACAGATTTAAATTAAAAATATATTTTTTTAATATTTTGGTGCAGGAAATCTATTAATCTAATCCAATGCATTTCCATACTCCTTTTCGCAATTTTAGGTTTCGAATAACTAATATTTTATTTTCTTATTATTTATATTTTATTTTATTAAAAAAAAAAAGTTAACAAAGGCGATTCTAACAAGAAATACAAAAGAAAAAAAAGATTATTATAATAAAATAATTAGACGAATTAGCATGATTAACAATATCACCTAAAAATTCAATAAAAATATTGAAATTGAGAATGCTTTTCCATCCACCCATGACGCACTCAACCACAATCAATAAAATAAAAACTAGAACGACCAAACATTTGAGCAACTCCAGCTCCCTCCTCTTTGGACTTTTACTTCAGCCTTTTTCTTAGTCGCCGATTCTCACTAACTCCCATAACTTTTTCCAGTCTCCGTTGTTTCTTCACCTAAACAAAACACTAACTCAAAGGAAAAAAAATGGCGCTTTGGTTTTGTTCTCCACGATTCCTTATTTTCGTCTTCCTCGTGTCGGCGATTCCCATCGCTTACATCATCTCCGAAGAACGTGCCAAGCCTACCAGCCACGTTTTCCACTACCATAGCGCCGGCTTTTTCCGGGAGTGCGCCAAGTGGGACGATCAGGGCCGTCGATTCCTCGTTAGTTTCTTGGAAGGTGGCGTCGGTGAAATCCTCGTTCCCAACGATTACACACCGGATGTCGTATTGAAAGAGGTCACAGTGGTCAAAGACTTTGACTTGACCGGAAATGCTTCCCTCGGCATCGCCGTTGATCGCCCTAGAAACCGGCTGCTTGTGGTTGTAGCTGACTTGCTCCACAACCGATACGGCGCTCTCGCGGCTTATGATTTGTCCACATGGAAGCGGCTCTTTCTAACCCAGCTCAGCGGCCCTGGCAAGTATCGATATAACAATTTATTTTTTCACTTTTTTTTTAATAAAGGAAAATAAATTTTAAATTGGGTTCGTCTAATCATGTTTAAAATCCTGTTAGGCTAAGCTGATAATAGCATCATAGCATGTTCAAATGGCATTTAATCTAAACCATCCAGTTGTTTTCGTTTGTTGGTCATATGGTGGGGCAAGCAGATGGCGATATGGGTGGCCCTAAGTTGTTTCTGAAAAGGAGCATATTTTTCAGACCCAAAAAAAAGCATAGCTTTTATTTAATATGTGGAATTCTTTGAAAAGAATCATGTTGGAATCTGAACTTGTCTGTAGTTATCAATATTTTGCTTCTGTTGGAGGTATCTTATGGTTGTTTTCCACCATGTTAATGGCTTTATGCGTGATTTTATGTTTTCATTTTACAGTATTAACCTTCTAGTTTTTATAATGATAGTTGTTCATCTTATGAGGATTTTGCATGATATTTGAGAATACTAAAGCATTAGTTAGTGAATAAACGTCTGAGGCCGGTGGGCTTGTGAACTGAAGGCTATATTCTTCATACGAGAAGGCTAGGATTGGGGGGTGGGGCTAATGCCCTATGCCTTATTGGGTTATGGAGATGATTTTGCTATGCCCATTGTCGGTCAGACTTCAGAGAGGGGTGTGCCTCTCCTGCCCTTCTTGACTTTCAAGTTTCAATGGTAAAAAATATCTTTAAAATTATCATTGCGTTTGATTCTGTACTAAACTATGGTCAAAATTGAAGCTTCGTATTAAGAAGCATGAAGCAGTCAATAGGTGACTTTGGGCCACTTGGACTCTGGACCTCTCTGTTTGCTCAATTTAGAGACTTTCCTGCATCTTTCAAATTGTTCCATCTGCCTATCAATTTCACCCATACGGCTGTCTCTGTAATTCTTTATTGATAAAATCAAGAAAATAATGTTTCCGACAAAATGCCAATCATGACAGCTCATAACTCATAATCTGCTATGCATATACTAAAATAGATTTGGTGAAGTAACTGATCACATGACACAATAAGTAATGCAATTCTTTCCCTCCAAATCAGGGTTCAACTCACCTCGTGACATTGTACTATTTCTTATTTGGTTCTATTAACTTTTCACATTTTCAATGCTAAACCATGATCTCTTTGTGCATTTAATAAACTATAAAAGTGACCATAGTTTCTTGATCCTTAGGTGATGAGAAATCCTTTGCGGATGATGTTGCAGTAGATGTAGATGGTAATGCATATATTACTGATGCTAAAGCCAGCAAAATATGGAAGGTTGGTGTCAATGGCGAGTTCTTGTCTATCCTCAGAAACCCACTCTTCACTCCAAAAGAGTGGTATAAAAGCTTGGTTGCATTGAACGGAATTGTTTACCACCCAGATGGCTACTTGATAGTAATTCATACGTTCAGTGGCAATTTGCTTAAGATTGATCTAGCCAAGGGAGAGGAAGTGAAGTTGATTGAAGTTGCTGGAGGCCCACTAGCCTTTGGTGATGGTCTAGAGCTAATTTCCCCAACAAAGCTTGTGGTTGCCGGGAACCCTTCTGGGAGAATGGTAGAGAGCTCTGATGGATGGGAGACAGCTTCTGTTGTGGCAAAGTTTAAGGGTCCCATGCATCGTTTGGCCACGGCGGCGACTGTGAAGGATGGGAAAATTTATCTCAACCATTTGGTTGGTATGGGGTACCCCAAGAAGACACATGCCCTTGTTGAGGCTGTTTTCTAAACTTGAAAATTGAACAATCGTTCGGCAAACGAACTCGCAGTTACAGGATATAAATTAATCAAATTTTCATGTTGCAAATCGTTGCTTACAGGGTTCACTTTTTTTATTTTTTTTATTGTATCACTTGTTAGTTTTTTTAAAAGGGAATTGGTCTTTCTTCCCGTGAATTATTCATGGAAATGGCGTACTTTTCCTTCAAATGATTGATTGGTTTAAATCGACATCATCATATCAAAGAGGATGGTATTTTATTCTTTGATGGTGTAGATGACCGTGCCTTAAGCACGTGCTCTGCTCCTAACAAAACTTATGGACAATAAATGCGCTACCTTAATGACAAAACATTAATGTATCAACTTTAAAACCATTTTGTTTTTTTTATTTATTTATTTGAGCTTGAGTAACTAAATTTTGATCATTAAAAATAAAGTATCATATTTTGTTCTGATTTTATTTGGAAAGAACATATTTACCAAGGTATCCTGGATGTAGATTGTAAATAAACGGTGGGAGGCTCCAGCAACCCTTTTCAGAATGCTCCATGTCATAGCCAAGGAGAAATTAGGGAAAAAGGAAAGAAGATCTGACATCAATTGAGACCGACGCAAAGGCTTTCCCAAATAGTAACCAGTTTAAAGGGTGGCAAAAGTTGTAAATAGAAGGAATTTTCTTTGGCATTCAATATTCATCTTGTACTGAAATCGCTTTTAAATTCTTGACTTCTAGTTTTTCAAGGGCGGAAAAAGAGTTTTTTTTTTTTTTTTTTCCGGTTATTTTAGCCTGTAAATTGTAATAAAGCTCATGGCAACTTGAAATGCTATTAATTGCATAGCCTCGAGATTCGTTTAATCCATGTCCAGCAAAGATATCGAACATTGCCACCAGCGAAAATGTGGGTGTCGTGTCGAGGACACGGAGTGGGGTGTAATTCAGTCATTTTCAAATTTCATTTATTTCTTTTACGCTTTAGACTTTGCATTTTTTTAACAAAGGAAATTTTTTGCTTACCAAACGCCCAGTCACCCCCGTAACCTGAAGCCACACTTTCCTAATTAGTGAATAGCCTCAAACCACTCCATTGAATCTGAAAGTCTTCTCAAATGCTCAATTGTTTTGCTGTCTTTTTGAAAATTTTGCTCTTTTAGCATCACACATTCTCACAAATACATGCATAAGTGATTAGTCCTTCCTTCTACCAAATCCCATTGAAGAACTGTTTTTTACTGTATTTTGAAGCATTTTGCTGATGAACCATATGATGGAGAGACAGAGAAGTTTCTCTTTCAAATCCACAAGATTCTTGGTGTTTTCTTTCACATTATCTTCTTCTTTTATCTTCCTGGCTTCCTTGTTTACTTGGGTCATCAAATCCAACCCTTCCGTTCATCAGGAAACCCATTTTCAGTTCAACAAATCATTTCTTATTTTGGGTGGTTATAAACCCATAACTGTAGGGAGCTTGAGTAGTTTCAGTAGTAATGATTTGGCAGGAACCGTAAAGCATTCAACAGTGAAAGATACCCCTTTTGCTAAGGCTGCAAATGCATCCGGGTCTGATAAGTTTTCAGTTTCTAAGGAGATCCAGAGACAAGAAAATGAGAGTGAAGTGCTAGAAGATGGTGATAATGAAACCGAGGATCCTGAAACCGAGCAAGAGGATGCACCTGGATCTTTAATAGAAGATATTGAAGTTGAAAGCAATGAATTAACTGAAGAGGATGAGGTTAGAGCAAATTCAGTTGACAAACTTGAGCTTCCAAGCGGTAAGGAACACAAAGAAGAGAAGAAGACAAGAGTAACTTCAGTTGATAAAAATGAAGTTCAAAGTAATAGGAAAATTGAGGAGAAGAAGGCAGATAGCTGCGATGTAACAAAAGGAAAGTGGGTTTATGATGAGAGCTATCCTCTGTACACAAATGGATCGTGTCCTTTCATTGATGAAGGTTTTAACTGTGATAGCAATGGAAGGCGCGATAGAAATTACATGAAGTGGAAATGGCAACCACGTGATTGTGATTTTCCTAGGTAATTTTGATTTGCTTTATACTTTTTCTTGGATATGCAGATTCTAGCATTTGCTATGGTAAAGACTGGTTTTTGGTGTGGGGCTCTCTGTTTTAGGTTCAATGCAGCAAAAATGCTGGATTTGATCCGAGGGAAAAGACTGGTCTTTGTAGGAGATTCAATTAACAGAAACCAATGGGAATCCATGCTTTGTATGTTAATGGGAGCCATACGAGATCCAAAGAAGGTCTATGAAACTCATGGGCGAAGAATCACCAAAGAGAAGGGAAATTATAGTTTCAAATTTGTGGTAATTAAATGATTGTTTAAAGTTTATTTGCTCTTTGTATCACTTACTTGCGGTAGTTGATTCTTTTAGGTTGTTTCTGCAGGATTATAAGTGTACGGTTGAATACTATGTCTCTCACTTTTTGGTTCACGAGAGCAAGGCAAGAATAGGGCAAAAGCGGAAGCCCACTTTAAGAATTGATGCAATTGATCATGGTTCATCAAAATGGAGAGGAGCTGATATTTTGGTCTTCAACACTGCACATTGGTGGTCTCATTACAAAACAAAAGCCGGGTTAGTACCATCAGCAAACTGTGAATCTTTAAAAAAAACCTCCGCTGGTAAACTCTATAGTTGTTGATGTGATCTTCCTTTCAAGTTTTCCATCCTTCATTAACTGTAAGCTAGAAAGTTAATCCAAGATAGCTGTCCTTTAAGAATTAAGATTACATTGTTATGACATGTACTTACCATCTGAGCTAAACATTTATCAGGAAGTAACAAGTTTGATGTTTACTGTCAATTTCCATATTTTAGGATCAACTATTATCAGGAAGGAAGCCAAGTACATCCTCGACTTGATGTCTCTACTGCCTTTAGAAAAGCTTTAATGACCTGGGCTGCATGGGTTGATAGACGCATTAATCCAGGCAGAACGCAAGTTTTCTTTCGAAATTCAGCACCTTCTCATTTCAGGTTTGCCGTTGTTTTTGCTGCTGTTTAACTTTCTTTTCCCTTGTTAACATCTACTCATATCGGTTGACAAAAAAAAACAAATCAACTTATATCTCTTTACTGAGTAGGCTGTGATCATTATTATATAGGGGAGGAGGGTGGAATTCAGGTGGCCACTGTATGGAAGCTGCTTGGCCCCTTAATGACACTTCAGGCATGGCATACCCTGAGAAGAACAAAATTGTGGAGGAGGTCATTTTGCAGATGAAAACTCCTGTAACATTACTGAATGTAACTTGTTTATCAGCGTACAGAATAGATGGTCATCCATCAATATACGGGAAAAAACCAGGGAATCGCAACTCGCATATTCAAGATTGCAGCCATTGGTGTCTTCCTGGTGTTCCGGATACGTGGAATGAGATTTTGTATTTCCATTTGCAATCCAAACAAAGGAGCAAGCATCAATCGAAAAGTCAATCATAATCCTTGGCATGTATATTCTCTCTATTCTTTCAGTTTATAATCTCGTCTGATAGCATGCAAAATGTAACATTTTTGGGTCATGTCTTCGAAATGCAATTGATAATGTTTGGATGAGGATCCCCCGTTTGCGAGTAAAATTCATAAAATTATAAAGCTTGCTTGCTTAGTTGGTTTTACATGGCTTTTTGCTTAGTTGAAGATGACCCAACTGCCGACCCTGGGAGCTTGGACTCGATCTTTTTAAAAAGGTTAATTAAAGATTATGGGAATGAACATCATCAACATTAAGGAATGCCACATTAACGTTGGCAAACATAGTGGTTTCACAATTACTTAAAATCACTACTTCGAAAAGTATTGTTACAAATACAATTGTAGAACTGCAACTTTTGATACATGAACAGGGGATGGGGGGATCGTTGATATGTTGGTTCAACTGTCATGGTAAGACCAAAGATATCAAAAAGGGAAACATTAAAGCATACATGAAAAATGCAAATAGCTATCACAAAAAATAAACTTCCGTTATTTCTATAAGATAAATTCTTTCTCCATATTTATCGTTTGATACCTAGCTTGTTGGCATTATAAATGCTTAAACCTTATTTCTTGACACTAATATCTTTGGGAGTACATTTATGCAACTATACGCACATGATGGCATTATCCTATATGCTTGCTTATGAAGAAACTCCTTTTCCTAAGGTGAAGATAGGAAAAAAACTGAAGGTAATATAGAAACAAAAACCAGATGCACATGCTAAACCACTCAAAAGTGCATCAATGAGACTGGTATTTCTTTGCTCTACCTTGAGAGACTGATGTATCATCTCTCTTGGAACCCTCAGGTTTCCTAGCCCATGCAGGTGCTTGATCTGGGCCATAACGATAATCATAAAAGAGCTCCTCACTAGCTTCAATGCGCTCCTTGGCAAAAATTCCTACTCGATGATCCCCAGCCACCAACATTACCTATGCAAGCTAAGGTATTAGCTAAACCAACAAGAAATGTCCTCGAAAGAATTACAGACAGATTACCTTGGCATAGCAATTAGGGTTAGAAGAGTGGTTTGCGAATTTCAATTTGTCTCCTTTGCGATAAGCATCAAGGACGTACTGCAAAGACAAAATAGCATCTTCTTTCAGATTCCATACGCCTCTCAAAACAATGAAGGTCGTGGTGTAATGTATACATAATTAGAATTAGATAATGAAGCACTGAAATTGTGAACCAGATACTTTCATTATTGGAATCATTGCAGCGTTCTTAGATATAAAAAAGAGATGTTTTTGTTAACAGAAGGAAACTTCAGTGTCAAATGTGGGGTTCTCAGTGCTACTTGCCTGATCATTCAAGTCAAAAAGGAATGATGAATTTGCACGATCATAAATTTTACCACGTTTGTCTGCTTCTCTGTGGGAGATCAATTCACCAGTATATTCTCCAAGATAATCATTTTTGTTGACGGAATTCTGAACCACATCATTGGGATCACAGAAAAGAGTTAGAACACAACTGAGGGAAACACAAGACAATTTCACTATCCTAAGATTTTCCATTAGAGAAAATAATACTATCCTACTTTCAGAAAGGCTCCCCATCCAGCAACATCAGACTTTGCCAAGAGGATCTGAAGAATAGAAATATGAAAGATCAGAATAGAGAAAAAAGAAAAATATTGCTTTAAAACATTTTCAGAGTATAATTTTAAAACTAAAACACTTTTAAGTTGCTCACTCTCTGCTGTTGCCTTAGAAGCAGCCTCATGTTTCCACACTGACCATCTCCTCGTTTTGGTGGCTCACCCAATGAACCCCCACCACAACTGCAAAAGGTACAAAATATTTAATACAAGTCCTGGCAATACATGAAACATAAGCATTTGTCTCCAGCAGTTGTCCACTCAGTGTGCTTTAAAACCTAGATAATATATCAAAAGAAAATGACAAAAAAGAACAGAAAAATAACTTTCTTCAGAAACCAACATGGAGTTTCTAGTTGGACTATTATTTATTGCGAAAATCAAACATGATTTCGAAAAACTATTCCCATCTCTAAACTTTGAAGATTTGGGTACATCTACTACATACTTGGGAAGGGTTTATAATATCTACAAGTAACTTTCAGCATGATTTTTAACAAGGAAAGTCTCCTTTAAACGAGGAATAGCCTATAAACATAAGAAAATTTCTACAGGACATGATAGTCACATGTTATACAAGATCATAGAGAATATGAAACTTTACCTAACCCAACAATTCCGACAAACATCTGGGTCACATTCACGCCCAGCAGCAAAACATGGGCACTGCCGACTTCTGCATTGACTCTTTGCACAATGGCATCCCCTAAACCGGTTCTTGCAACTCTTCGAGCATCTGCATAATCATATTTACTAGTTTCAATTATTGTCTAAATTAAATTTTCTTCTTTGAATCTATTGTAATATCTCTAGACTTGATGTAGTTTTAGTTTAATAAAAATAAGCTGAAACAACTCAGCTTACTCATAAAAAGTGCAGTTAGACAGATGCACTGAGATATAGGTTACTGTATCCATAGTCATCTATATGTTTCATATTTTCAAGTTAAAACAATTTAGCTTACCCACAGTACTTTTCGCAGCAAGTTCCATTGTGCATACAAGGGCATTGCTTTCCACACATTGATTGGCATCCACACGGAGTATATTGCTTGCAAGACTGATTTTTTCCATCAGCAATTCTTTTCCACATTGATGGATGGCCGGCAGATTTCCAAGAATATTTAAGCTTCCGTGTTCTACCCCTTCTACGAAGCAATCGTGGTCTTGTTGACATCTCTTGCTCCTAAATAGCAGAAAGAATGTTAGTAGGGAAAAGTATGTATAATGCAACGTGAAGTGGGAAAACAAAGGTCCATAATGGAGAGCAACTTTTCACCCTAAAAACACAATGCTCACTTTAAAGTGGTAGAGATCAATTGATAATGAATAATATTAGAAGTAGCAAAACTAAATTAAAGAAAATCAGACTGCAGTAATCAAGTCAGCTTTGTTCTATTTTACTCTTTGCCATTGTTCCTGAAAATCAGCCACTATAAAGATGGGTTTCTTCTTTTTACATTGTTTAACTAAATGTCCAAACCTTAATTCCCGTGTAACTGTAATTGCAGATTCTAATCCCACTCTCTATCTATGGATTCCCATACTTTCTTTGTAACTTAAAAGATTCAGAGAATAATTTTATAATGATTTTCTTTTTCAATTGAAAAACATTTAAACATACAATGAAGTGTTAAAAGGGCTTCTTGCAATTGTATCTTGTAAAGGTAAGAGTATCACTGATATGGCCTCAAGAGAATCATGCGGGTTGGAAACCATTTTTTTCACCCCTTTATCAAAGAAAGGTCATGAAGTAGGAAATGGGGAGAAATTAAGGTTCTGCTACATACCATATAATCTGTTTCAGATTTCCCATTTTCTTCCAAAAATGAACTTGTCACGATGGACCTATGAAGTGTTGAAGCTCCAGCATCACACATGTAACTCGATACTTCTATGCAAGTCTTCAAACCAGAAAGTAAGTTCCTGGCTATAAGGCAACTGCAAAGCACGTGATCATGCATTACTATAAATGGAAATATGAATATTGTCACCTAGAAGGGAGAAGACAGATGTCTACACTTGCAACTGTCTAAATGTAAAAAGTCCATCAATCATGACCAGAAAGTAAAGCAGGTGAATTTTACAACAATGAGCATGTTACACAATTTTCATTATGGTTTTTTTTTTGCCCCGCACACACATTTTCGCTTTTCTCAGGAGCTTTTGCAGATTAGTCCATTAGAAAGTTAGAACTGCAGAAACTAATGCCAAAGATATAAACATTATATTTAAACAAGCAGCATCCATTTGCATTCTGTGCTGCGCAAAACTCTGATGAAAGTTGTAATCCCTTCTACCTGTTTTTCCCAAATATCTCCACTCCCTTCAAGTACAATTCTCTCTCAATAGGTTTCCACTCAGAAGACGACCACTTCAATTCAGGCACCGCTGTAACATCTTTGGCTCCCTCGCTTATGTTATCCTCAGTCTTATCACCAGAAGCACTAGCAGGACAGGCAAAAGTTTCTAATCCCTGTTCACTAGATTCATTTTGGGTGTTTTTGGCTGTAATTTGAGCTTCATTTTCATTAAGAGTACCAACATGATGGTTCCTACTTTTATTACTTTTAGCCCTGGAACTCTGATCCTGACTTGGTATAGCTTCAGAAGACTTGATAGCTACACCCAAAGCCAGTACTGTCTTTTGTTTCTTACTTCCAGAATCCTGGCTGCCATCAGAACAGTGTTCTGAATCATCTAATTGTCTATTTCTTTCTTGGGAGGCCTTGCGCTTTCCAGAACTTTCACAGTTATCTATTGGCATGGAAGATATCTCCAAATTTTGAGCTTCACCAGCACCTTCTGAGCTACAAATACCTTCTGAAGTAACAGGCCTCGCTTCTTCAGAGATGCCTCTTTCATATTGCATGAGATCTGCAGCAACATTAGTCTTTGGCTCTTTGGCATCAGATGATGCAGCCTGGTCTTCTTTCTCTTCTAAAGTTGTAGTCTTCACTCCATGCAATGCATTACTAACTGAACCTTCTGGCACATCTTGGAGAGCTCTTAACTGCATGAATGGTGTTGAAATCACAAGATTTGATTCTTTTCCAAAAAAGATATTATCTTAAATCTAAATAAAAGTTAAATATGGCATATGATGATAATGATAACTATATACTTGAAAAGAAACTAAAAGGTACTCCAAGGATATGAATAAGTGCAAATACACATTAAATCAAATGTGTCTTGGCAAACACACACACATATAAGCACTAAAATAATCTTCTTCTCTTTGGTGAGTAATAACAAATTAGACCACAAAAAATGTGGAATGACCTGCACATAGAGACCATATATAAAAATATGTAGAACTATAGTCCATAAAATTATCAGCACTAATGTCATTAACCTAAACTTTCAATTGTTTTGGCAGTACCAACTCATAACACAGTACAAGACATAAGCTTTTCGAGAAAAGAATAAAAAGACCATACCTGAAGGTAACATTGATCACTACAAGGTTTTCTGTCATCTTCATATTCTGACCAATATGGCTGCTTTTCGCTCTGTTAAGCAACAGTTCCAATCAGAAAAAGTAATGAAACAAACTCACATTAAATGGAAAGACAAGAAGCACATTGCTTACAGGATTAATTAAAGTTTGAGAACAGCCATGAAGACGGCAGTCAAATAACTGTCAGATGGATAGAAAGTAGATGAGCAAGGGAGTTAAAAAAATTCAAAGAATTACATGTGATATCAACATGCCAGTGCTTCTCTTCAACAAATACTATTGAGAATGCGTGGTTAGAGACAAAGTACCAAGCAACGGCGGCAAAACAGATTATCAAAAGAATCTAAAGCAGCACTGAGGCTTAGGCTCTTGTCCAAAGAAATGCCTTTCTCAGATCCAGAATCCTCAGAATCTTTAATGTTTTGGTCACTGTATTTCTCTGCGAGTGTGCCATGCCGTTCCTGCAAATCTCATAAAAAAAACAGTTTCCAATAATTATCAACAGAAAGGGTACCTAAATACAAACCTTTGGAGGAAGGGATTAAGAAAGCCAAATATCATCCAAAATAAGATTCACATGCTAATAATACGGGATACCTGGATTTCAGAAACGGTGACTCCAATAAACTGGCTGATAGCATTCAGTATTTCCTCACCTAGACCATACTCCTGAGAGACAGTCCTGCCAAATTCAACACATTTAATATAAAATGATTGAATGGTTTTCTTCATAAAGTGCAATAGAAAAGAACTTATCCACAGTTCATCAGAAATCCAATAAACATATCCTATGATGATTGAAAGATTATGAACAATGTCTACCACTAGAATTTCTGTAGTTGATTTTCACTTGTGACTAGTATGAAAGGCACAAGAAGTTCAACTTTCTGAGTGCAACTGTGTACAACTTTCTTTTTCTTCCAAAGGAAAGTATACAATTATATTTCTCTTAAAAAAGAATAGTACTCCTTATTTATTTAAGTTGCATTTTATTTTACTTACCACAAAATACGATCTTCACCCTCAGAAAATTCATGTTTTTCTTCCTCAGGCTCTGCAATATCCTCCTCACTATCACTACAGATCAAGGCTTCACTGCCACGTTGGTCATAGTATATACGTCTCCGCCCCACAACAGATTGGTCCTCAGCCATTCGCTGATTTCTGTGCTGAATGATGCATATTTAAGATAAGACAAGCAAAAACAAAATCTCATGCAAAACAAGATGGGGTGAGAAAACGTGGTAAATTCATGTGTGGATACTTAAGCTTCTGAAATCTCCAACTTCAAATTAAAAAAACAGTAACAAAACCTTGAGAGGCTTAAATAGCACGGGTAGTTTTTCCTGGTAGCTTAAGCTTTTAGGATTAGGTGTTCAATATGTTATCAAGCCCTTTCATGAAATCTCCCCAAATTATAATCCTCAACTCGAGATGACCTATGTAGCATGGCTAGCTCATGACCTAATGGCTTAAGCTTTTCGGATTAAGTGGTCTCTAGTATGTTGTTAAGTATTTAAATGAAATTTGCCCAAAAATTGTCCCTAATTGCAAGTAATTTTATTCCATGACCAACTAATATAGTAATCCAACATACTTGTCCAAAAATATCCATGTTGTATATGGTGGTAACTTCTCAACATACGGAAGCTTGGCACTTATTGAAGATACAACTTCATGACCATTAGCATAGTCTCTATCTCCTGAGCCTTGAGCAAAACCAGTATACTTACAGAGAGGAATTTCGATTCTTGAAGAAAGCATTTTACCAAATCCATTCTCCTCCATGCACAGAACATTCCTACTTGATGTGGCTGACAAAATCTCCGATATATGACTCTCTATCTTCAATCTGTTCTTCTCAACTTTTTCCTGTGTACACCACACAATGAAAATACTAGCACGATTTATGTACATCTTGCCTAGCAGGTTGAGCACAAAAGAGTCACAGTTGGATACCTTTTATAAAAAAATGGATCGTGCTAGTGAAATTCAAGGACAAAAAGATAATCTGGCATTAATTTATGGTAACAAGAAAGAATCTAATAAGCAAATTTTAAGTGACTAATATAACTATGGCATAACTAATCTACCTTTATTAAAGCAGTTCTCTCCGCTTGAATTTGTCTTTTAAGCTGATTTAACTTAAATGTCAAATTTCCTACGCCACCACCAGAGTCTTCTCCATGTGATTTCTGCCACATCAAAAAAAAAAAAAAAAAAAAAAAGAGCAAATTGTTGATGATAAAGCAAAATAGAAATTTGAAAAAACTCAACTCCGAAAGATTTTTCCTCTTCTCCTTTTTGTTTCTGCAAAATTCATTAGCAGCCAAAAAGAGCATAAGTTGTAGTGAAATGGTGATGGAATTAGGAGAAAGCTCTGTTCCCACAAAAACCAGGTGACTATTTTGGCGAATCATATTCCGTGGAATTTCCAGTCTATCTTATCAATTATAATCTAATAACCAAAATAGGAAAATAAAGAAAATGAGTAAAAAAAAGATCCGAAATTTATTTATATTCCATGTTAAATGAGACGGTGAGTTATGCAACTAGTCTCCAATTTCTGATGATAATAAAAAATTAAAAGACTGAATGCAAATGAAGAAAGCGCAAAAAGGAAAAAAAAAATTGAAGATAAAAAAGCCAAGGAGGAGAATTTCTAACTCCGGATTTAGAGGAAGAGTCGCTCGCCTTGGAGACCATGGCTGGCCGAGTTGGGCTTGCTCTGCGACCGACTCACTCGAGACGAGTGAAGAATCTGAAGAAAAAGAAGCCCAGCAAATGACAGACACGTGTGAACTTCAGTGACGTGGCCTCCACTGTGGGAATCAGCCTTTCAGTCTCTCTTTTATTTTCCACACGGGCCCTGGTGGGGGCCCAGCCTAGGATTTACCTGCTGTTTCGGTTCCTTTTTTCATATCTTAAACATGGGCCTTATGAATTTAACAGGCTTGATGCTGTTGTTCTGAACTTTACGGCTTCTATAATGGGCTTTAAAGGCCCAATTAGAAAGATGCTAATTTTATCTGAGATTGCCTTTTTCATTAAAAAAAAAATACAACTTAACTAAGGGGAAAGTGTATTCTACATCTTTTTATCACAACAGAATTAAATCATCAAAAGGAATTATTTTTTTCTGATTTAAATGAATCTTGGTACTTAAGTCACAACCAATGACCATAAAATAACTTCTTGTTTTATTGTTTCACATATTGTCCAATCGGGATATTATAAACAGTTCATAGCCCTGGGCTTTTACTTTGTTTTGACTGTAGGTTTCAAAGTTTTGAGCCTTTGTCGGAGGTAGATCAACACCTCATTCGCCATCAATTACAGCTTTACAATATCCCTAGATTTAAGACATTTTTTTTGTTTGGGGGGGTGCGGTGCTTCTAAGACATTAAGAAATAACAAAAGAGAAACTACTAAGAAATTTACAAATTGACAATGAAAGCAAGTTTCTAGACCTTATCTACATTAGCAAGTTGGAAATTTTCATAAATAAAAATATAAGTATTATAAGTTATCTTTCATCTCTTGTTTGCACACGAAGTTCTCCTACAAACACGTAAAATAGTTTTTAAATTATGGACAATGACATATACGCATAAAAACATACACATATGCACATATAATTGTGAGAAAAATAAGGATATGGATGTGATATATTCACTTTATTAAATAGATTGCACTTGTATCTTTGTGGATAATATGTTGCCTATAACAACATTTAACCTCCCAAATAAAAAAAAAAAAACTGTGACCACGTTAACAGGGAAATGCTGTTCTAGTTAGCATGCCGATTGTTCCAATGGACATAAAATATATGAAACCTGGAAATCTATGACTGGTTAACCTTAAACTCAAGGAAGCGACAATAAATTAAAAAGCTAATAATTTCAGACTAGAACCTATAGTTTCCAAATACCCTCCCTCTATCTCTAGAAAACTTCCAGGCTGAAACGGAATGAATTGGAGTTCCCTTCCATCCAACAATCACACTCTTCCCAATCCTGTCAAGTGTGCAAGAACTAGCACAAGGAAACTGTTTGATTACTAAATTAGCTTGGTACAAGGACGAGTCGCTGAACTCCAATTCCACCATTCTAAACCTTGCAAAGAATGCCGACCACACCTCCATCTTCACACTTCTACTTATCCTCTCGTTGCCCTCTAATGCTACAATGTTTCGGATTGAGTCGCATAATATAGATTCAACCCCCGTTCTCAACTCAACATCATGTCCCAGGCAGGTGTCCAGGCAATCAAAGAAGGCGCTGTAAAAGAACAGTGCTTCAATGAAGCGACTTACAAACGAGGGAGAATTGTGGTTTGCTTCGACTTCAATGACCACCATTATAGCAGGGTTCAGATTTTTCATCACTCGCATTAAATTTTCCAGGCAACTAGGCCTTGAAATCATTGTTCTAAGCACCAATGGACAGTACAGAGCCAAAGTTTCATCGCTTCTGATTTTGAATAGTCCTTCCTTGATATTTTTGATGTCTTCAACATACACTACATTAAATGAAAAGGGCAAATTTAATGATGCAGCTACGCTTTCCAACCTCTTTGCAGACTCTTCTATCTTCTGACTGCCCACAAGTCCTACCGCTGTTATCTTGAGAAGCTCAACGCGGCGTTGTTCTCGTTCTGCCAGAGCTTGCATCAGGCCCGTCCATTGAACTCCACTCCTGATTTGGAGATCGATTATATGGATCTTACTAGCCGATGCAACATTCTCTATAATGGCTTGTAGTCCTGTGAATTGCATTACTTGGAAAAATGGAAGGTACTGGTGAGCTGTGACTGTTGTAACGTTAGTACCCAACCCTTGAGCAACTTCATTCTCCACCTTTGCCTCCAATTCCTTTGTTATGATGCTTCCTGTTCCTTTATCAATCCTCTCTCGAAGAGCTTCGGCAAAATAGTAGACGATTCTCTGGACCGGATTGCCTCTCTCGGATGCAATCCATTCACAACGAGAAAGCAATCTGCTAGCACGTTCAAATTGTTCATAGCCTACTTTCTCAGCCGCTGCCAGAAGCAGATGCACAAGCTCCACATCTTTTGTCTCGTCATCGGACAAGCCGGAGAGAGCATGACCAAATGGATGCATAACCATGCAAAAATCATCGTACCTTAGGTCAGAAAATTGTACATATCTTGCTCCAGCTACTCTCATGATTTCCTCTGTTGAAAGTTTCTTCGGGCCACGAGCTTTAGTTTCATCACCAGTGCCGCTGGATTTGCTCAATTTCAATTTCTTGAATCCGTTTCCATAATTACTTAGGAGTTCCAGAGATGGCAACTGAAATGAAGACGGCATCTCCTTGATGGTTTTGACAAGTTCTTGACTCTTGTCTTGTATGTGTTCTTCTTGGAATGCTATATTTGTTGAGAAAACAGAACTGAAATTGAGTTCATCCAAATAATCTAATTTGGTTGCTTGTCCCAGCTGTTGCTGTTGTTCTCCATGATCTTTAGGCTTCTTTGCTACATTCTCTTGATAAAGACCATACTCAGGAGAAAGAGGATCATTGTCAAGATCCTCTCCAATTTCTTGGATTCCAAATAAATGGTGCTGTTTGCCTTTCATAAAAGCAGCCTCTTTCTCATAATCTTGAAGATTGTAACTTTCTTGAATTCCGCTGAAATCAAATGAAGTATTGAAAGAGAATAAACCGCTTGACATTTTAGAATTATTGAGACTTTTCATCAAATTTTACTTCCATGAAAGCATATGATAATCTGAATAAATATGGACTGTGATCTCTATAAAATTTTGAATTTCTTTATTCTTGGCATATTGCAAAGATCATAGTAATCGCTGACGTATGTAAATTGTAGTAAAGAAAAAGAAAATCGGCTGGATCGCGATTGTGATTTTGATATTTCGATGTGCGCAACATGTCCTGCCGCCTGGAAATGCCAACTAATGTTTGAATTGAATAGTAAACGACTGCAGTTAAAATTTTAGTAAATGCATTTGTCACAAAGGACGATAAGATATAATTTTGATGATTATTTCCACAGCGAAAACTAGGGCAACGATCCAAAATTAATGCTGTATAAAATTCTGTGGAACCGAAGCAAGGTTATTAGATTATAGCTTGCTCAATAAAATAAAATGAACAAAACTAAATGACAAGGATATATCAATATCTTTGATAAATACGAGGGAGAGCAATGACATGTTTAAAAGACAAGTACTAGTGTTTGTTCTAGTTTAGGACTTGCACATGTATAAAATATATATATATATATATATATTTGTTCAACATAATGGCGCAAGGCCTATATTGAAAAAAAAAAATTACATCCGCAACAGCACTAACAAATCATTAGGCATACAAGAAACCCATCCAACAGGGCAGCACCTCTGTCGAATTCTCGTGGCAACTCAAGCAGCGACACAATTGACCTCTTTCCTAACATGACAGAAAGAGATGAACTGCAATCGCTCTGTCATTAACAGGAGTTGCATATAATTTTCCTCTCCATACATATATTTGCAAGATTAGAGGAGGGTTTTATACGTTGAGCGTATTCACTTAATTAGATTTCATAATCTATAATTTGCATATTTTGACCATTTAATTAAGATAATTTTCATATTTTGAGCCTACATTCAATACTCTTGATGTTTTAACAATCGTGTGAAATGATCGTGAATCTTACATCTGAAATTAGAAAATTGAGAGTAACTATTGAATATGATATTTCATTATTTATTTAGGGGAATATAATTAATTAACTATTATAACATAGATCCTTTACAAGGATGCCCTTTTGGTGGCTTGAGAAATTCATGGATTTAATGTTGTCCGACCATAGCAGCTTGGGAGTCACGAGGAAAGTAGCCGCAAGTTAGGTCGTTTACGCAATAGTATTGGACTGGTTCAAATGGTTTTGGCCCTTTTGGGAGCCCAGAGGGTAAAGTAGTTTCACCAGTTCCATATTTGCGGAAGGACCATAGAGTCATAGACCTGATAAAAAAAAAATCCAAGTCCTCTATTTAATTCTGCCGTCTGTTCTTCAAAACAATCTACTTGTCTGAACAGAACTCCACAACTTCCATGTGTCCGCTTGTAACTTGAAAAGTTACTATAATATTTGTTCATTTCTTGAATCAATGTTTAGAATAGATTATAGAGTCATAGACTTGTAATTCTCACACCCAACTGAAGTACAGATACGGATTTGTCACTTTTAAAACCCTTTGGTTTCTTGTCGCTGAATTGGTCCATCTCCTTTATTGTCTAGGCATGACACAAATCAAAATTTTGAAATTTTTGTTTTTTCCCAACATTGTGCCCTTATTGTCATAGCACAACTTAATGTTGTACTAAGTTTTCCTTTGCGTAGCACCTACTCTCATAATTACTGTTGACAATCATTTGATTTTCTTTCCTTCTAATTGATTTTGCCCATTTCTATGAGGCAGTGACATCAATAATACAGTTCATACATAATAAAATACTTTAGCATCTCTTCTTGAGGAAAAAGAATTCCTATATATTTGTTTTACAAGTGTACAAGTTACATTTAAGAATTACTTGATCGTCATTTTTTTTTTTGTGTGTTCATAAAAGGAGGATCGTCATTGACCCAAGAACAAGAAACACGAATGTTTGGTGGGAAAGAAAGAATTAAGAAAGGGTCAGCTTTAGACCTTGTCTTGATCTTCCTCTCTAGTCTCGTCATCGTTCCTTCTTACCCTCCTAGAAAACAAGACAATTCCGAGCCAGAGAAGAGCTTTAACAACTCTAACCATTCCAATTGTCACAGTCAAGTAATACAACCACCAACCAAGAAAGTCAGCCATCTCAATGCTCATTGACAGCTCCTTCTTAGCTTCTGCCACAGCCACCAAAGACTCAACTTCATCTCTCAGCTTCCACCACCACATGGTGCCAACGCTCAGGGCAATGGCGAATCTATGAATCCACCTCTCTGCTATAGCAGCCCCAAAAATAGTGTCATCTACCACGGGTTTTACCACTGTTCTAAACCAAACAAGCATAATCTCATGCAAACCCAAGAAGAATATTACTCTACTTAACAGACTCCTCTCAACGCCAAAACCAGAACCATCAATTCCTGATGCGATACTTCCTTCAATCCCCAATCCAACAGAAACTTGCATTATGCATAAAACTATCCACGCAGTGTACAAACGGGGAGCATCCGGTGACTCACTTACATAGGTGATTTTCCCTGTCAAGCCATGGAAGAGAGTGACGATGCTAAAAACTGAAACAAGAACATATAGAACAGCAGGATTGGTATAGAAGTAGACAGACAAGAGAAAATATGGGGAAGGCTGAGAAGGATTTGAAGTGATGACGGTTAAGAAATAGTTAAAACAAGAGAGCCTGGCAACCAGGAGAAACGAAAGGGGAAGCAAGAGGCTGAGGAGGGTGACTGTAAAGAGGTGAAAGGATTCTTTCAGGGTGGAAAGGGTCAGGCGCTTCCTGGCTTTCTGATACAAATTCTTCCACCCCATTTCTCCCAATAGCCAAAAAAAGAAAAAAAAAGGGAACTGAAAAACTCTCTTGTTTCTGTGACGAGGAACATAGATCCATTTATGTGATTGGATTAATTTCTAGTTCCAAGGGAAGGAACGAGTGGTTGCCACGTCCATAGTTTGAAGTAGTTGACACAAAGACATGATATCTTATTCCAGGCCTTTTGCATTTTGTTTTATCAGGGAAAATTATAATATCCAACATGTATTAATCGGTCCGATCAATTATCTAATCTGCCTATGGAACACGCTACTACAATATACAACCCATCCGATTTGTTGAAGCCATTAGAATTAGTAATTATAATTTAATATTTTTGTTGTTAGTTACTTCTTTAATCTTTGCAGATTTGTCGGCATATTAAGTTTTGGGAAGTAGATAAAATAAACAAGTGGAAAGAGCCAATTCAACTCAAGTTTATTACTTCACATAGAGGGCGAAGCTTAAGTTAATATAATTTAATGATTTAATTAATTATGATAGAAGTTGAATTTAAAAAAATTTACACCTAATCTTAACAGTCAATACAACTTAATTTAATATTCCACTGATGAATGAATCCGCCGGGCTTGTCAGATTACTTAAAAACTTGTTTTACCCGAACTGATTCCTACATCTCTACCACCGGATGCAATATTGGTGATCTTGGAGTATGTTAAGGTTATCAAATTTCTGAAACCAGCAACGGGATCGAGGACCTTAATAATTTAGATATGATAATTTATATATTTATATAATATAAAATATTAATAATTCATATATTCGTATTTTATTTTATATTAAAATTATATTTTATAATTTGTATTTGATATAAAAATATAAAATATTTTTTTATTATGTTAAATTTATATATGATTTTTGTTAAAATTTTAAAATGAATCATTTTCATTTTTTTTATCATATAATTATGTCATATTTTAAATTATTATGTTTATTTAATATAATTATAAATTTAATTAAAAAATGTTGAAGATATATACCGGTAAGTATAATCCTTCAATTTATATCAATTCCCAAAGTCAATCTTGTTATTTTAGTGATAAAAAAAATATCAGCGAAAGGCTGAAGCTCATCATTCTTCTTCTAATCACATATATACTGGTAAATATATACAATTCTTCAATTTTCTCGTTTCAACGATACTGTGAGCAGTAAAATAGCTAGTGAACGATGTTTTGACGGTAAATTCACCTCTGAAAGTTGTCTGAACTAGTCGTTTCCATGATGTCTGCCGAACAATATTCTTCCATTAATCATATACCTTATTTTCTTACCATATAAGGCCCCCAAAGCATCGTATTTGGCTAATTTGTGCTTACATTTTGAGACGAAAAATGCATCATGTCTTTAGCCTAGACTCTGGTCTGCCAACAAATTCTCTTTGTACTTTCATGGAAAAAAAATATACGAAGTAACTGGACAAGCTTCTATAGAGTTCGTCTTGTTATGTCTTTTTTTTTTTTAAAAAAAAAAAAATTTTAACATTCCAGTTCGTTCAGATTTAAGTTAACGAAAACACTGGTTGTGACTTCTGAAGTTCAGTCAAGATCGATCAGCACTTTTTAAACCGAAATTGATGACTCCATTTGGGTGTAGAACTTAATTCCAGGAGATGGTGTTTTTACCAAAAGAATATTGAATATAAATAAATATATATATATATATATATTGTCGTTAGGCTTCGAGAAAAATTAAAAGTCTGGTAATAGATGACTCACTAGCAACTTAAAACTTGTTGGATTCGATGTCTCCTTGTCATCTGCTTCAAATTTTCGCTTGCAGCAATCATGAAGAGTGACCATCAACCTGTTGACATATGATAATTATCTAGCAATATACACTAATGATTGTGTTTTTAGTTAACGGTTGATTCATATTGAACTTTTACTCTAGATTTCATCAGATATTGATAAGTTACGATTATAAAATTCATAATGTGGAATTTGGAGTTTAATTAAATTAATTAAATTTAATTAGTTTAGATGATATTTAATAAGTTTAGATTTAAATTTTTATATTTATAATTTTTTTATGTTTAAATTGTAATCTTTTGTAATAAAAATTCATAAGTATTGTAAATTTTAGTATAATAATGTGTAAATGCAGATAAAATAAATGTTTTTTTTATAATTTTATTATTTCTAACAAATAGTACTAGTATATAATTCTTCAATTTTTTTTATGGAATTTAGCATTGTATCTAAAACTTGCAAAATGAATTTTCTATAAGTTAAAAATGAGAAAGATTTAAACAAAAATTTTTAAGTAAAATTCATAAAATTTTTTATTAAAAAATATTTAATAAAAATTACAATTAATAAATTGGTAAAATTTAATGAAAATATCAATAATATGTAAAAAAAATAAAATAAAATTACCTTTTATAATTCAAATTTGATTATAGGTTATTAATGGTAAAAATTCTGTCACATTTTTACTAAGAGAAAAAGTATAGCAAAATTTTTTAATTTTTTTTAAATTTATATACTGATCTATTTAACAAGATTTTTTAATTTATCAATTTTAATTTTAATTTTTATTTAATTATTTTTAATAAAAATTTCATTGTCACCAGAAAAACTTATCTGAGCATTTTTCCTAAAAATGATAGTAGTTAAAATGGAAAGATACAATTTTTTTTTAGATATTCTTTTGATTTTTTATGATTTTTTATGATTTTTATAGCATCTGAGTACTGCTTATTTTTTATAAAGTCAGCTGAACTCAATGGTTTGGGTAGAGGTGTGGTGACAAGCTGATAATGTTTGATAACCAAACTCCAACAACCCAACCCTTTTATTTAACCCGGGATTCCAAGTTCCAACAAAAAACGTTGCTATTGAACTTTTAATTCTTTCAGTTTCAATCCAAGTTTCGAAAACCTTGTAATTCCTACGCTAACCTCCACTGTTCAGATAATTACAAGTCTGGTTTTATCTACGGGTCTCAAATTTCTCGAAGCTTTGGCCCACTAGTTTCTATATGATCAACAGTTCAAGACAAAATTTTGCCTGTTTCGTGTTTCACTCTTTATTTGAATGGTCTGATTCACATGAAATGTAATCTGAAATGATTTTCTTCCCAAATTTTAATAAGTAATTCCTGACCCCAAAAAATCCACAGGCAAAATTCTTTTAATTGAGATGCTATACATGTAGTAGCATGTTTCATGCTCGTGACAAAACTCTGCCTACAAACTACTGTACGTGATTTTTCTCTTTTCTTTCTTTTCAGTACTTCAAGCCAAATCAACAGAAATTTTCAAGATTTGATCATTAACTTTTACGAGAACTTTAATATTAGATTAAACCTGAATTGTCGGCGTGAGTGATTTTGGCTGAGTTTGGCTGCGCCGCTCCGCACCTGCTCCATTTCCAGTAGCAAAAGTAAAGGAAATGAGAAGAAAACAAAGCAAATCTATGATCATAACCCCATGTTGTACAAGAACTAGAGTTAGATTCTGTTGAGGAATGAGAGTATAGCCGAATTCAAAAGTAAAAATGAAATCCCAACACAGTGATCCGAGTCTGGCCAACAGTTCACTAACAGAAGATATCTAACTTGTGCTTATGACATGTTCTTTCCACCAAATCCAGCAAAATCCAACTGCAACTTATCTTCTTCTGTTTGGGGAGGTTGAGAAACGTGTCTGCATTCAGGAGTTTGGTTTAAGATAATTTCAGGATTGGCAGTTTGATTATAGCAATATCCACGTGGCAAGTAGAAATTGATTGTGTGTGGGCACAGGACTTGGCCCAAATTTGCTCAAGCCAGTCGAGTGGAAGATGGGCCCGGAATGTTTTGTCCACGAAATATCAAAACATTTATACACGGCAGCTGTGCGGATGGATTATTTTATTGCAAGGTGGGGGTGGAGGTGATGGTGAGTGCTGATTTATGCATAGTTGCTCATTAACTTTATATTAAATGAGTGACAAGAAAGGGTGAAGCAAGTTGGGGGTTTTGTCATATTGCCTAACTTCCTCTTATCTTTCGCCCTTTCTCTCTCATAATCAATAGGTTGTATCTTAATCCTCTGATTTTAATTTTCCTGTAACTAGTATTCTAAGTGCATTAAATCTGCACACAGCTCTGCCTGTTTCTTTTAATCTTTTTGGCATAATATACAAGCAGAAAAAAAAAAACAAAGCAGCAGGAAACAGAAAGTGATCATGGAGGGTTCTGTCTCTCCAAAATTGGACTCAAAGGCTTCATCAGAAGAATCAGAACTCAAACCATCTGAAATTCAGGCATCCAAAAGAAGGTTGGTATATACTCAATTTATTGTCTTTCCTTTTTTGAAAGCTTGCTAGTACAGGAAGTTTACAGTTTTGAAATCCTTAGTATTGGTTCATTTCAGGGTGCTCCTTCATGCATTTAAGTTTGTTTGACATTTCTAAAATTTCTCATGTTGTATTACCAGGAAGGTGGTTGAGAAGACTGTTGTCACAGTGAAGATAGGAGAAAATGGTGTGAAGTTGAAGAATGAAGGGCCGCCATCTGATTTATGGTCCTGGAGGAAATATGGGCAAAAGCCTATCAAAGGATCTCCTTATCCGAGGTGTATTTCTTCTTATGATATTTCTGCGGTTTTATCTTAACAGTTGTTAATCCTTACGAGTTGATAAACTTGTATTGATACAAGAGAAGAAATATTTCTTCCCGTCTTGGCTCTTGGTTTCTTCCAACTATACATGTTTTTTGGTGTAGCTGAATTAAATTTGTTTTTCCTCCACACCTTAAAATTTAGCCAAGAGGACTGTCTCTTTTTCTCTTCATTTTGTCCCATTCCACTTTTCCCCATCAAGAATTCTCACAAAATTTCATGTTTCATCATGCAGGGGATATTACAGGTGCAGCACATCAAAAGGTTGTTCAGCCAAAAAGCAAGTGGAAAGATGCAGAACAGATGCTTCAATGCTCATCATCACTTACACCTCTAGTCATAACCATCCAGACCCTGATCTCCACACCACCAACCTAACACAGTCGCCAAAAGAACCCCAAACCAACCATTGTGATGATCAGCCTCCAGCTCCTAAAGAACAACAGCTGCTAGAAGTTTCGGAACAAGAGCCAGAAGAAGTACAAAACGAACCCATCAAAACAAGCAGTACTGATGAAGATGCAAGCGAAGAGCATTTTCACTATCTACAATCACCATTAAGTTCTCCCCAAAATATTATAATTAACCAAGAAGATCCTTTCGCCGGGAATCTGGAGAAAACCCATGACACACTGGGCTTTCTGTTGGATGAAGAGCCACTGTCTTGCCCTCATATGACGACATCATCAACACCAAAATCAGAAGAAAATGATTTCTTCGATGAGCTTGAAGAACTGCCCATATCTTCAGCTTTAACAAGTTTCACAAGAAGCAAGTTTTTCGATGAAGGGATTCCTGTTTTCCCTTCTTGATCAAGTACTTTTCAGTCTTGGAAATATGTAATTAAGATGTTGATATTGAAGTGATTATGGCTCCACTACTAGTGATTCTAGTTTAGCATCTTTTAGTTTTTTTCTTTACGTGTCTGAGGATTCACAAATTAAATGAGAAAGTTGGATCACTTTGGCATGAAAAGTTTAAGGATTGCTGCCTTTTTGTTTTTTTAAATCTGGGAGATTGGGATGAAAATGCCTTTCGGCAGAACGGGAAAAACTAAGTCCAACGGATAGAGACACAATCACAGATGCACGCCCAAAAGGAGAGATCGAGGGGTGGCTCTTTGATTGACGGTGGCTACTTTTGTTGGTTGGAGCTATTTTGTACATGAAGTATTATTAATTAATGAAGGCACGAGGTTCACGCGAGGGTGCTTTCGTTGAGAGCTTTTTATCTTGTTTTTGGTTCCTGTTCACTTTCTTCTTGTAGTGGTTGGATAATGGAATACTTAATTCCATGGGAACAGAGGTTGGGCACTGTGAGTTGATGAGTTGGAAGCCTTTTCTTTTTTGTTGAGCTCCGGGGTGAGAGATTTGGATAAGGTCCAGAATCTGTCTCCTGACAAGTATACGGTTTACTTTTTTGGATTATTCGGTGGGTTTTTGAGTTGCAGATTCCTTCTACAAAATGCGAAACTAAACCCAGTACCCCTTTTGTAGGGGTTAGAGTTTGGCCTTTGGCGTAGGTCCAGGGTTGCCAAATCTCTCCAAAGGGTTTCTAAATACGTCATTAAATTTTCTCAATATATCCCTAAAATTTTTTAAAAATAAAACTCGTATATGAAATGTCAATTTTAACCTTTCATGAATCCTTAATAATTTATACACTCAAAAATTATTTCATATTTTTCAAAAATAAATTTTCGAATATTATATTATATTTTTTAAAATCTATTTTCAAAAAATTAATATATTTTTTGAAAATAGATTATCAAAAACAAAACTCATTTTTTAAAAATTTATTTTCAAGAATACATAAAAAAAAATTAATTATATTTAATTATAAACTATTAATAACAAAAAAATTGAGATCTCTAATATTAAGGCTACTAAAAAATATCAACAAATTGATAAAACTAATAGTAAGAATTGATGATAAAAAAATTAAATACTATCAAATTTGTCAATCCGCTATTAACATTGTTAGCAGAAGGTGTTCAAGCTCTAACAGATGAAATGTATAAATCCAACAGAAAAACTTTTAATCTTTCAACCACACTGTTATTTGTAACATTTATCCAATTCTAACAAACATATACTTGAAAGATATCACTAATTATAAAAAGTAATAACAAATGTAACTTCGACACTACGTATAATAAAACAATCACACTCCATTGCATATGAAGCAGTAATTAATTTACACGAGCATCTCTTCACATTTAGTAATTCCTCTTAATTGCACATCTGTTAATTTTACAAAAATATTACAAACGTTATTATATTGACAATGCTTGAAGGTTGAAAGATTAAAAATCTCCATTGACGGATTTATTTTTGCTCAAAAAATAAAAAATTTCAAATTTCTCAAATATTCATTTTCAAAAAACTTAATTTCAAGATATTTATTTGAAAAATTCGATTTTAAAAAATGAAGAGAGAAAATGAAAGTAGAGTGGGAATGAAAAATAAAAAATTAAAGGTGAAGTGTATTTAATAAAAAAAATTAAATTTGAGGTATATAAAAGAAAATGCAGTGTACGCATGCACGTCAATGGAATTTAAAAGTTTTTAACTCAGAATTAATAGACATTTGACAATCAATATTTATAACTAGGAAAAAAAAAAAGAAAAAGAAAATTGTTGCTGATTTGTTTCGTTTTGGGTTTGCCTCGTATGATGACTGAAATTATATATATATATATATATATATATATATTATATATTTGGCGATTGAAATTTAATCATTCAAAAGACAAAAAAAAATGCTTGCTGCCCCATACACCGAAACTTAAACAAACGAGAAACAGTTTAAAACAATCAGTATAATCAAACTTTCAAAATCTTTATATTTAAATTTAAATTTATCTAATATCACTTCTTAAAATAACCACATAAATTAATTAAATTCATTAAAAATTCCTTTAATCACCAGTTGCAGCAAAGTTGGAAAATTCACCATTTCCTAATTATTGTTTTCTTTGAAAAAATTATACCTGATAACGTCTGACAAGTTGTTCAGAATAGCTAGTTAGTTATATGGTCAGCCACCTTTGCATTTTAGTGAGAAAAAAACTTCCAAGCATTGCTTTCCTCTTCGTCGTCTCCCTCGGCTATTTGTATAGATTGAAGATCAGGGTCATCTAAGAACGATCTAATTAGCATGTGCTTTCCACTATCCACTATCCACTATCCACCTGATTTCCTCTCCCTCAACTCACTACAGAGAAACGTTAGCTGCAACTCATTCGCATTTCAACGTTGTTGGCCTACCTCGCGGTTTTCCTGAACCTGTCAAACCGGTACGGTTGCGGCAATCAAGAACAAAAATCAAGTGTTGGTGGAAGGTCACGTCAAAGCTAAAAAAAAGTAATAAATGTAGTGATCCTTCAAAATATCGACTTCTGATGGTGATCAGTGTCCATGTGCCAACCTGTATCCAGTGTTTAGCATGTCCCCATTTAAAAAAAAAAAATTGGTCATGTCAAAACCTGACACCACTTAGTTAACCCATCAAGTAGTAGTGTTTTCACTTTTCACCAGGTTCACGGCATCTTACATGGCAATGGTTTGCCACATAAAATATCTGAAACTAGATTAAATGTGCTACCAGTCTTGGTGCATTTCAATCTTGATTCTTGATCCCTTTGAAGGTCCAATGGAAAAAGTTTTCAGTCCCGTTTTTCTGGACTACTCTAAGTAAGTCATTTAGTGATTTCATCCAAGAATCTATCAATTACATACTTTATGAGATAACAGGTACTCAAAGGTTAAAAAAAAAAAAAATCCTCCAAGTGCATGCGAGAGAAGGAAAGACTTTTTGAGTAGCTTTGCAGCAAAAAACAAAACCCATATTCCCGCTAAAGACCTCGATTTTTCAAGGTTTAATATTGTTACATAATTAACATTAAAATCCATATCATCATTCTTCAGTATCGAAAGAGACGCTCAGAAAACTGCCCAATTATTTCCAGTTATCTCTACAATATACCCACGTCATCGATAGCAAAAGTTCCAAAAGGAAGATTACTCACAAGGCTATTTATTATTATCAGCTGTAGGTGCTAGTGGCTGAAGAGCTTTGAGAGGATTCATGATGACGGCATCAATTAGTCCATATTCCTTTGCTTCATTTGCACTCATGAAAAAATCACGGTCGGTATCCTGGTAGATATTCTCTAAACTTTGACCAGTGTGGAGAGCAAGATACCCGCTTAGGTTTGCCTTATGATACAGCATTTCATCTGCCTGCGAATCATGTCTACTGGTCAGGGTACTGTATAACAATTGAACAAAAAAAGGCTACACATAAGGCATTTTAACCCAAACTGTTCATATTTGGCAAGAATCTTCATGAAGGTATTCAACTGGTCCACTGTTAATCTTTTTTTTTTTTTTTTATTTGGCTCCATCATTAATAGTAATAAAGTTTAACAAGCCTCCCATCCTCCAGCCCACCCCAACCCCTTCCCCCCCTCCCCCCCCCCAAAAAAAAAAAACCATAATAAAGAATAACTTGATTGTATCTGAATTACGCAGAAGGTAGGGGAGGCAGAAGTATAAAATTTAAACATGAGGTTTGCCAAGAAAAACACATACCTGAACTTCGATATCAGTTTCAGTTCCTTGAGCTCCACCAAGAGGCTGATGTATCATTATCCTTGAACTACGTAAACTGTACCGTTTTCCTAGAGTTTTGAAGAAAACAAAGGGATAAACGCATTAGTCAACTTTTTTTTTGGGGGGGAGGGGGAGGGGGGACTACACCAAACATCAAGCTATGAATGGTACAAATCACGATCGTTATATACCTTTGGTTCCGGCACTAAGCAGAAATGCTCCCATGCTGTTCATGGAAAAGTAAAATATATTCATTACTAATAGCAAACAATTGCATCCCCATGAAAATAGAAAATCTTATTCTCAGGAACATCCATAGACATCCTAATTTAGAAATTAATTTCACATCAAAGGGTTTGCAATTTCCAAAAATCAATTATTAGGTTCTCGCACTAAAAACATTATTTTGTCATATAATTAACAAAAGTCAAGCTATAACCTAATACTCAGCTTCCAAGCATCTGGGAAAGATTAAATAAAGAACATAGGACTATTTTGTCAGTCCATTGTCTGTGTGATTATATTGTCATTAAGATTATAATAACAACAAAACGATTTACAAGAAACTTGAAACTGCCTTATATCATCCATCTCAAAGTGCCAGAAAGTAATAAAAATTACAGCCAGACAATTCCATCACAAAAAGAAAATTATTTCAATATATTAAATAAAAATGCTTTAAACATTTCAAACAGAATCAAGAACCAGCTTTTTAGTGGAATTTCAGTCCACAGCCAAGTAAAGGTACTGACCTTGGCTCTGTAACAAAAGTTATGACTAGCTAAACCCAAACTGTAGATCCTCAGTTCTTACCAGAGAAAACAAGGATAAGTAATTAGGCAATTAATTCTCCAGAGTTAAATCGCTAGAAAAGCGATCTAAAAGTTCCAATATGTATAGCAGCAGTTGGGTTTCTAGGCTAAACTATCTGATGTTCCATATTGAGATTTGAAAATATAATTGCATTATAAACAGAAACAATTACATCAATGAATTTATACCTAGCTGCAAGTCCAACACACACAGTTGAGACATCGGGCCGGACATGCCTCATAGTGTCAAATATGGCCATACCTAAGAAAATTGAAAACCAAACAAGTTAGGCAAGTCAATAAAAAATTGTTCCTAGCTTGCTATTTTAAACAAACCAGTGCAAGTACATATACATGATTCTCATCAGATACATTACCAGCTGTAACTGACCCTCCAGGGGAATTGACATACATGACAATGTCCTGTTGACAAGATCAAAAAATGCAGTAGTAAATAATATTCATAATGGCATTTAAGGTTCCTCATTTCTTTAAGGAAAAAAAATCAAACTGTGTGCCACTGAGAGAGCGCAAGCATGGAACCAAACTGACCTTCTGAGGGTCAACAACATCAAGATAGAGAAGCTGAGCTACGATAATGTTTGCCATATCATCATCAACACCTCCACCACAGCGAATTATTCTCTAAGAATCGATTAAAACAACTGATATAAGAACTGGAAAGTGCGAAACCAAAATTCACAACCAAACCAAATCCATACATGTTTAAGAAGTTGGCCAACAACACTCTGCAATTGCTCTTGCACCATTGGAGGTGGTCCCTGCCCTCGTGCATATGCAGGGAAGTAAGGTGACAATGGGACTTCCAAATCATCCCTGCATAGTTGCAAAATTAAAATCTCTAATCTTTTATCGCATTTTTTTATTTAAAAAAAAGGTAGAGAAAATAGGGTTGTAGTTTCATACGAGCTCTTACCTTATTGACCAAATTCCCTGTCGAGAGCTTGTCTCTGGAGCCCAAAACTCTCCAGTGTAAACAGCCTTTGGCTGAGAACTCATCACATTCTTTTGATTGCTAACTAACTTCTTCAGTTTCCTGAAAATTTCAAAAGAAATTACTTTTCAAACTTAACGAATAAGGTGAAAAGTAAATAAGGAAAACATCAGGAAAAAAATTCATCCTGCACCCTATCTAAAGAAACTAATATTAAAACAAAAACATGGGTTTTTAATTAAGGTTGGAAGAACGGTAACTCTACCTCCTAGATTCGAGAATGTCGAATTAAACGTTTAATTCAAAAAGACTTGAAATTTAAAATTTTTTCCTGGTTTGAAAAGAGAAACAGAGAATAAAAAAAGGAAATACCTGGGACGAAGGGGATGGAAAGGAAGAGATAACGTATGAGAATCAAGATTGGTGTTTGTGTTTGGAGAGGAAAGGAGAGAACTCAACCCAAGAGATGACGCCGATGTCGAAACCCACGTGTGTGCCATTCTTATCTACCTTACCGGTCTGAACCAGATTTATACCCAAATTGAAACAATTTTTGGCTTTTATTATATTGGACTGAGGAATGTAAGTTGACTTTTAGGGCTACGAGCGGCGCTGGGATTCGGGGACGATAAGGGTAGTGCAACTTTCCAGAGAAGTGAAGTGGAACAAGAAACTAGTTTTAGTTAAACAGCGAGTTCCAGAATATCTTTTCCCCAAACAACAACAAATCTTCTTGTTTTTGTTTGACCCGAATGTGGAAGCGGACGGGTTACAAGTTGCGACCCAGAAGCATCTAGTATATGCGATCGTTTTAGTTTATATACTTTTAAAAGCATCTATTAACAGATGCTTACAAACATGGTTTAATTATAATTAAATATTATTTTAAAATTTTATATTTTATACATTATTTTTATTAAAATAAAAAATAACATATTAATTAATATTTTTTTAAAAATATTTTATTGATTAACATTTTTAAAATAATAATAATAATATTTTTTTACTCAATATTTCGAAGATTTGAATTAAAATTACATTTAAAAATCAATATTTTATCAACAAATTATATAATTGCTAACAAAATAATATTAGTATTATATAATTAAACATTTTTTTGTTTTATTTATACGTATATGACAATTAATTTATTCTTATACTTTTTTAATATTTGATTTCAATAAATCCAAATAATAAAATTAAATTATTTTTTATTTTTTATTTATCTTTCTTATTTATTGAATCTATTAAAATCAATAATTAAAAAAATATATAATATAAAATTTTTTATATAAATTGATCCTGCTCTATATATATATATATATATATATAAATGCAACTGTATATGTACGGTAAATAGATAATGATCATCTTAATTATCATGTCTTTTGGCATTAATATTCATTTTCTAATTAAAATCACCATACTTGACAAAAATTTGATTGAGTTAATATTTTTTTAACACTTGATTGCATCAATAATTCAATATTGACATACATTAAAACATACAAGATAATAAATTTTTTTAAATAAAATTATCTGCAAGGAAATTTCTAGTATACATATTCATGCTTGCACTGTTAATATTGGAAAAATAATCCGAGCCACGTATCGTGCTTTCTTCCAACTTGACAGTCAACGGTAATAAGATTAATTTCACTAATTTGAAGGGACAAAACGTCTGAATATCCTTTCAATGAGCTGTAAAGGAGGGCAATGAATACATACTCAGTTTAATCTCTCTATGCTAAGTTGAAAATTATGCCATCATATTGATCTCTGATTGCATGTATACCTTACACAGAGGTTAGAACTGGATTTTAGCAACATTAGCAGGGAGTTTCAGCCAGCAGCTGTTCTTGAATTGCTTTGTAGCACTGCAGACTACAAAGAGGTAGCTTTGACTTCGAATCTCGATACTTGTATGAATTAGCACACGATGGACCCGCACAGTTTTCACGTGGCGGAGGGTAACTGAATAATCAAACCAAAAACATTCAGATTTCAGAAAGTAAACATTAGTGATTGAATCAACTAAAATTTTGCTATGGGCAATACCTAGAAGGTTTGGAGTCGAAGATACTAGGGAAACCCATATCCCTGGGAAATGTGACTGTTGTCCCTGTAGGACCCATGACCAATCGGATGGTTTTTGATGCGAGCATCTCTGCAGTGACAGCCTTTTCCTGTATATCATAAGGCAAGAAAATTAGAAGAAATAGCCTTGTAATGAGACTTGCCAAACACATTATATTTAACATTTTCTTCAATCAAACAGATCCAACTTCCAAGTACCTGTGCCAATTCTTCCTGACGCTTTTTCATTTTCTCTTCCCTCTTCTTCCTGCTGGAATCTTGGCCAAGTATTTTTCTAATAGCCTCAGCCTACATAAATTAATTCAAACATACTCAATTTTTGCATTGCAATTCTAAAATCCATATGCAAACATAGGGTAACCCAAAGCTTAAAGAGAAATAAACCTCAGACTCCCTAGCAGCCTTTTCAACTTGCATCCTTCGTCTCTGAGCGGCCTCTGCCTTCTTTAGCTGCTGCTCCACTTCTGAGAGTTTCTGCTTTTGCTCTATAATCAACAACAATCAGTCAATCACTGTGAAAAAGAAGGAAAGTAACCAATAACTTGAACATAGAACATCTATGACACAAATAAATGCTCACTTCTCGATGGAGGAGGTGGTAAACCATTTGGAAACTCAATTAAGCTTGAGCTAGGGGCAGAAGAGGCATCTTTGCTTGACTGAAGGGCCCGTTGACGTGTTGTGAGAGTTATTTCCCTCTTACTCTCCATCAATGCATCAACAGACTCTTTCCTCTGCTTCTTTTTCTTCTTATCTTCAAGCTCACTACCAGACACTAGTTCATCTTCTTCCTCATAGTCTGTATCCTCGGATACCCTATCTGATCTGTGCTTCCTTTTCTCATCTTTGCTAGACCTTGAAGTGCCAAAGTTTTCTATGTTGGAAACCCTAGAGAGTTTTTTCTGTTTCTTAGCTGATTCATCTTCATCTTCATTATATGCTGGACCTATCTTTGAAGTTTTAAGTTTCTCCAAGTAGCGGATCTCATCATCCCCGTCATCCTCACCAAATTCCCCATCCAGTACACGTCTCTTTGGGACCCGCTTGCTTTTACGAACCAAGCCAGCCTGGTCTTCTCGTTTACCAGAGATATTTTTTCCAGACGTCTTTCCCATCAAAGAATCCTCCTTCCCAAAACTAAAACCACCCTTGGAGAAATCTTTCCAGGGAACTCCTTGCAAACCAGTCCTTTTATCTAGAGGGGAGTGAACATCATCAGTACTTTCCTGCAACAAAGACATAATTAATAAAAAGATTATATGGGTTCTAAATGTTACTTAAAGATATGAATAATCATTATGCTCAGAAAAAGCACATTAACACATAAGAAAATCTTCCATAAAAGTAATAAAAGACCTTGTAATATTACTAACAAATCATTTTTTAATCCCTCCTAATCCATTCACAGTATATGTGACAATTCACCCTAAGGAATAAAATTGATATTCTAGAGCATGCAAATTTATAAGGCATGCAGTTTCATCAGGTATTGTAACCCCTAAACTGGATCCTTCTTTAACGCATTTCAGTGGCTACTGTAATTCTGTAAATACTAAGTACTGACTTAACCGAGAAGAAAGACACCCACATCAAATAACAAAAGAAAAGCATTTCAATATAAATGTGCCATAATTAACCAACTAAAGCAGAAGAGAAACAACTTCCAACTACCTGAAGGTTGCTCTTCCTTGTAGAAGACCCATTCCCAGGAAACCCATTAGCTGTCGAGTTGGCATGAATTGTGCGTGTAACACCACCAACCTTGAGCTTGACTTTTTTAACCTTGCTTTCATTAACATCAATAACAGCTCCTTGCACTGAACTCTGAATCTCATCATTCTTTCCACCATATATTTCTATATTCCTCGATTCTAATTCCAGCCACTCCTTCTCCTTGCTTGTTCTTTTCCAATTAGTAGGGGCTAGTACACCCTCACTGGAACGCTTACTGTTTGACCCACTTCGGCGAGGCTCATTGTTGTAAAACGCGTTGAATTCTCCATCTTTCTTTCTTTTATGGGCTTTCTCAACTTCAAAACCAACAGCAGAAGAAATCCTAGAAACAAATTGATTGACATTGAACTCTTTCCGCTTTGAATTAGCATCACCACCAGCATTCTCATCACTAGAGACCTTGCTGACATCATCTGAAGGAGGTGTTGATGACAAGGGCGAGTTATCTTGACTTTCAGCAAAAGACTGTGAATCAGGACGAGGCCGACGAGAAGTTTGGCTCCTCTTCTTCCTCACAGCATTGTTCACACCATCAAAATGAGAGCCGGAAAACTCTTCCATGGAAATAAAGTTATTATCACCAAATTTCACCAGAAGGACAATCCAGCAAGACCACTAATCCTAAAAGAACGAAAATCAAAACACGTGACTTTATACTGCACAGATCGCAAATCACTACAAAAGCAACGGTAATTTATCACGCGTCAAATCAGATTAAACAAGAAATTGGAGAAAAAAACGGCTAAAGATTCACAAAATAACATCAATAAAAACGTATTAAAGGCATAATGGAATAAAAAATTAAGAGCAATAATAGAGAGGCCGAAAACCGATAGGAGCGTAATCTAGCAAAGGAATTTCACCAATGTAATCAACAGGGAGGTCAAAGAATCAGGAACTTGAACTTTCATATGCAAATTGATCAAATTATCCAGATTAAATCAACCGGGAAAAAATTGAAGATATTCAAAATGTAGTAAAAGGGGAATTACCCCTAATCCAAATGATAAAAACCAAATAATTCTATGAAATAGATTGATACAAAGGATTAGAGAGTAATATTATCCCATAATTCAATATGAACCAAATCAAAGGCAGACCCGAGATTAAAAAAAAAAACCCAAAATCAAACGAATCAATCCATCAAACAAAAACCCATCATCGAAAAGCAACCCAATTCGACCCCCCACTCAAATCCATAGATCAAATCATCAATAATAATAATAAAAAAAAAAGAACCCCACGACTAATCGATTATTTACCTTGTCGATATGGCCGTACAGAAGAAATCGAGGAACCGTCGATAGAGAAGAAAGAATAAAAAAAGATGATGACGAAAGAGCAGAGAGAAAGAGATTAGAGGGAGAGTGGAGGGTAAATAGATTAGGTGGGAATGTGAAAAAAATAGGGATTTTCGTAGAGAAGGAGAAAAGAAAGGGGTTAGAATGTTAAAAAGATAACGAAGTGCCAGGGTTAGAGAAGGATATATAGTAGTTGTAATAACAACGATGATGAGAATGAGAAAGGAAAGATAGAGGTAAAGGACATCGTTCACCATTTTTTGGCTATTGCCACACCAACCCCCCTGTGTTTTTTTTCGTTTGGATGGATTGGACCTTGGAAGCGGGATTTTAGATTTTTTGGTCTTTGATTCGGTCTCTTGACACGCCGACCCGACTCACCTCTCTCTCTCTTTCTCGCGCTTTTCTTTCCGTTCGCTCTTTCTTCCTTTCTTTGCCTTAACGCTTTTTATTTTCCCTCTTGTAGTACTACGACTACTACACACGGTTTACGCTGCACAGGCATGTGTAGGTTAAGACCCTGCGCACATGGCTGCACACGATAGAGCCCCTCTCCATTTATTCTTTGTGCCACGTGTCGCTTTTTTATTGTCCTATTCCTCCGAACAATTGGTGGGTCCTTGTGTTTTATGAAATTTATGAAAACACTCCTTGCACATTTATCGTTCTTTTTTTTTTCTTCCATATAATATTAAATTAGTCCAATCATATATATAATGTTTGAAAATATGAATTTGAGATTTTGAATTTAAATTTAATTTGTTATATAATTTGCGAAATTGAAATACACAAGTTATATAATAAGTTAGTTAAAATCTAATATGTTTATATATTTGAAAAAATATTAAAAAACGAATTTCAAATTCCCAATATTTTAAATTTACCACCAAATAAAAATTAAAAAACCTAAATTTTTTTGGCCAATCAAAAAACCAAATTTGAAAATAATAATCTTATGTATATTATGATACAATTTATACTAAATTTAAAATTCAATTTTTCTTAATCAAAGATATCAAATACAATCTAAATTATCTAATTGTCAATCATATGTTTATTAAAGTTTGATGAGATATTGGATAACCCAAAATTTTTAAAAATCTTTAATAAGTATGTGTGTGTATATATATATATATATATATATATATATGTATGTACATATAATAATTTTAAGTTGATATTCTAAATTAAAATTGTTAATTTCTTTGTTATAAAAAAGTTATTAATTTTTTATGATTTCATAATTTAATTTTTATGCATTGATTTAAGAGAGATTGAAAACATATTATTACTTGTGAATTTATTGTATCTAACAATTAATAATCACTTACAAATCCTTAAAATCATGTTACTATTTACTTTTTAAATCACAATTATCTGAATTTAATAAGAGCCAAACTAACATTTAGATTTCAACTTTATCAACAAAAATCTCCAATTAACTACTAAATATGTGTATGTTTGTTTGTTTTTTAGCTTCCCACAGTTTCTCCTATTTATATAATTTTTTATTTTTAATTTTATCATAAATATTTATATCATTATATCTTCTAATCCTTTTTCAACAAAAAAAAAAATGGAACCATTTTAAAAATATTATAAAAATTATAACCAATAATCTCAAAATTTTAACTTTTTTTAAAAATATATTTATTTTTCTTATTTTGATAATAAAATATATTTTATAACAATTAATTTATTTATACCTTTTATTTTAATTTTAAATTTTCAAAAAATAAAAAAATATGTAATTAGTAATTATATCATAATTTGAAATGTCTTGCTATTTTTAACATTTTAATGTTATCATAAAAAAATTTTTATTTTATAATTTTATTAAGCTTGTTATTTTTTATTAGTATATTGTTTATATAAATAATAAAATAGGTTTTATAAAAAAAAAGAGAGATAAAATATAGCATTAATTGATCTCTAAATCAAATGTAAAATCCGTCAATGGTATAAAATTTTCAATTTTTTTGCATAAACTCAATTTCTTAACCATCATTATACAATTTTCTTTTGTTTCTTTTTGCAAGAAAGAACAAGCAAACACATTTGAGTGTAGAAAGTGAAAGGAGAAATTAACATGAAAATAATCCATCCGAAAATTGTAAAACCCAAAATCCATTAAAGGGCCGTACCACTAGTTAACGATAAGAAACCCTGACAAAGTTACTTATCTTTTCCCACAAAAGGACTCTGATTCACATGGAAGGAACGACCAATCAAATTATAAGATAACTTATTTTGTTACTAAAACACAATGGTTATTGGGCTTAATTTCCTTTGTTTATAGACCTTTAGTTGTTCCTCTAAAAGTGGACCATGTCGACACCAATGGCTAAACTGTTGCTAATCATCTTTCCAAGCAATGAATCCATCTCCTTTATTGGCGACTCAAGGTCGGCTTCTTCGAACGCATCCTCACAGCCGTGTACATTCTCCACATTGGAGCTCAGCTCCATGCTCAACTGGTAAAGGTCGCGAATTGAGATGGCATCGAGGACTTTCTGATCGCCGTCGAGAATGGAGTTGTAGCTTTCGATGCATGCTTCAAGGCAGGAAGCGACGGGTTTGGTGGTAGAGGGATCCTGCAAGAGCATCGTTGCCTTAGCCAAGGCTTCCTTGGTCTTGTTATTCATTGCTTCGATCCCAACTTTAAGGATAGAAATAGGTTCTATAGCAACTTTTTCATCACCTAAGAATGGAATAGTTGTCGTAAGACATTCGATGGGGTGGTCGGTGTCTCCACAGATTCGCTGAAGTCCAGGATCGACGCTGCCAGGTAATATACTAAATGTTTGATCAGTCTTTTCCACTTCGGGTTCAGGAAAGCTGAAAGTCTGGCCATCGAATGAAGATGGAGCCGAAGCGGGTGATCCAGACGTGACCTCAGATATATAGGAAAGGGGTGAAGGGGCAGCGGTAGAAGCAGAGAAAGAGAAGAGACAGGAGGTGGAGATGATGACGATGATGAAGTGGCTGATCTCCATGGTCTCTTCTCTTGGAGGAAAGCAACGCAGGATCAAGGAAAGAAAAGGTGAATGGATTTGTGGGTAAGGGAACGGAACTAGCGAAACATTTAAAGTAGTTGAAGGCATCGGTTGTGCATGGAAATAGCGTCTCTGTGCTAGTTTTACCACAGAATCTAATTTTAACACAATGGTTTACATTCAAATCCTCTCTTTTCCTTCTTATCAGTTAAGAGGAAAAATTGGAACCATGAGACCGAAATATCCTAAATCAATAGTAATGAGTAAGCAAATGAGATTTCCGTTTGATTTGGAACTGTTAAAATTAGTGAAGGAAAGAAAAAAAATTCCAAGGTAATGACTAATTATTTAACCATATTGGCATCACGTTGCAGTTTATGTTCGATACAAGTTACAGCTTATGTGATTCGAAATAAAAACAAAGACCCAGAAAGAAAATCAACATAAATTTCAAAAACATTATGGAACCCAAGGAAATGTTTAATATAAATCCTTCAAAGCCAATCCAATAGAAAAAAGCTAAAAGGCATATGTACAAAATTTCATCCACCACTGAATGTGGGGAACCTTAATAGTGGTACAACAATTGGGACAACAAGAAGCACCCATTCCCCATCTATGGAAATTACAAAATCTACAACACTTCTGAAAATCCTATTTCAAATTTTTTCATTTTCCTATTGAGAAAATTTGTATTGGATTCTCAAGAGCTTCCAACTGGAGGCTTCTGGTTCACTTACTCTCCCTTGAAAGTGTTCATCTTCCTTCATGAAGATCTTCAGAGGAAACTGCTGCCCGCGAGATGTTGTCATTGTCAAAGGCACTTAGACCAGAGAAAGGACCAGAAGAGAACATTGAAGATGTCTCATCAGACTCAAAAGTAGTAGAAGACTGCCTCTGGTTGGGCCGGTTATTGGAAATGGTTATCATGGAATCCTGATATTCTGTAACACGTTGCACCATTTTTAATGACTGTACTACTTCACCCATTGTGGGCCTTTGACTTGCCTCAGGAGCAACACAAGCAGCTGCAATTGTGCAAACCCGTACAAAATCTTCCTTCGGGTACTTCACTTCGAGCCTTGGATCAGCAAGCTCCTCCAGCCGATCCCTGACTCTCAGAATTGGCCTCGCCTGAAAGAAGTACATCCAACTTGTAAAACTCATCTAGCAGATCAAGTGATTAATATAGGTTTATTCTCTACAAATTCCTAATTGCATAAATCCAGATACAGAAGCATTAGCAACAAACAGTGAGCCTAACTCTTAGGTTACTACTCACCCAAGTGACAAGGTTCTCCTGTCCTGATGGTTGTGACATATCTACAGGTGTCCTTCCAGTGAGTAACTCAAGCAGTACAACTCCATAGCTGTAAACGTCACTTTTTACCAGTAGATGTCCAGTCATAGCATACTCAGGAGCTACATACCTATAAATCAATCCGGTTCTACTTTAGTGTCAATTTAAACAAGAAAGAGCAAAATTTGAAATAGTGTAGAAACCAACCCAAATGTGCCCATTACACGAGTAGACAGGTAATTTGTTCTGCCTTCAGGTGCTTGTTTGGCCAGGCCAAAATCAGCAACTTTAGCATGAAAGTTGTTCTCAAGTAATATATTGGATGCTTTGAAATCTCTGTGGATAACACATGGTTGTGAGTCCTCATGCAGGTATGCAAGTCCTCTTGCAGCATCAAGTGCAATCTTCATTCTGGTGTCCCAGTCCAGAGGACAATTTACTCCCAAGGGGCCTGAGGCAAAAGAGGAGCAAAGTCAGTACCATGTATCAAAAGTGACCCCAGATAAAAGGATAAAAATCAACGAATAATCTGCCAATAAGATCAAATTTAGAGAGGCAAATTACCATGGAGCCAGGCTTCTAAGCTTCCATTTGGAACAAGCTCATAACAAAGCAGGTTTTGTGAAGAGTCACGACTGCTATAGTAACCTACAAGTTTCACAAGATTACGATGATGCAACCTACTAAGCATCTCAACTTCAACCAAAAACTCTTTGTCTCCTTGAGGCCCTCCACTGGTAAGCCTTTTAATTGCTACAGCTGTACCATCACTTAAAACACCCTTGAAAACTCTGCCAAACCCACCCTCCCCCAGTATGCTCGCAGGTGCAAAGTTATTTGTTGCTTCTTTAAGTTCTTCATACTGTAGAAACCGTGTACTGCTTGGGTGGGGAAGAGACCCTGCTCGGGCAACCACATCTACAGCACTTGGCTTTACTGCAGGAAAAAAATGCTAAGGACTAATAGAACATTTATATTCTCTACAAGAATCTGAATTTAAACCAGTATGCGCAACATCAATTTGCATTCTTTTTCACAAGGTGTGACTCAAAGTGCAAATCAGGCAAATTAAGCTTTAATTTTTTTTGTTATGCTAAAGCTAAGGGTTCTAATCCTTTTTCTCCCCCTGTACTTTTAGCTCAAAAGTGAGATTCA